AGTTCACCAAGTAATCTGGAATTCTGGATCAGAATTTTCGATCTTTTGATAAAATTCACAAATAAAATTTAAAAGCGTCGTCGAAGCGGCTGTCATATAGATATTCTACCAAGCAAACGAATTACGGTATTGAGCGATGTATCCATCCAGTATTATAATCGGAACAATAATCCGTCTACTTCCGGAACACGCAAAATTATAAAATCTGTTAAAAGACTTGCAGATGTAAAATTTGATTGGACAAATCAAACATTCATAAACACCCAACAGAAGGTATCTAGTGGGCATGAAGAGGCTTTCCTCCGCTTTATCAATGAACGGTCTTTTGAGAATACGGAATAAGAAAAATGGAGGAATAGAAAGTGATGGTAACTATAAACATAATCAAGACTGATTACATAATTAAGTTAATACGAAAATAAATCAAAGAATTGAAATTATAAAAATAAGAAATCAACAAGAGCTATAAGATTTAACTAAATATAATAATATTACCTATCCAAAATGACTGAGTAAATAAATGAGGTAGAAATACTTTTATGAGAAATATATGCCTACATAATTATACATTTTGTGTGTGTATATTTTGTAGATCACAGATATAATTATGTTACGTAATCGTGTATTCTTAATATTTGTTTTGTATTGTTTTTAAATGTCTTGATTAAAATTTTAATAAAAGTGTTTTTGTTTTTGTTCTCACCTAAAAGTGCTAACATACATATTTTCTTGTGCATTTTTAAAAAAGACTAATATCACAGAATACGTAATAGTACTACGTACCCAATATTATAATCGTAAAGTATGTGATTTAGTTAGCCAATATCATTAGTGTCATGCAGACTTCATTCGTGTTATGAGAGTTTCATTCGTGTTCCCAGGTATATCATTTGTCCTACCCTGATCTTGATTTTTTGTCACTATTGAGTAGATACGCACCGTGGTTTTACATTCTGATGTACTAACTTCGTAAAAGTAAACATTATGGACCGTCAGATAACAACAAAACGGGTATTTGCACAAAACGAAAAAAAGTGACAAATTAATTCGACTTGTGAAATCGACCCCATAACTGCATCCCTACTACTGGAAAGCATCTTATAGATTCAGCATTACAATTACTGCCTAAATACAACTCACTGTAAGGTACAGGTTTTTGCTTGTTTAGCTATGGAGCGGTTAGACCGACACACACTGGCTGTTTTTGTCTCAGTCTTGTAGGAGATGGAATAAGAGTTGATGGAAATCTGACACAAAGGCAAATTGAAATAGATAATATAAAATATATTTATTTAATTACAAACAAATTTATCACCTTTTTCATATTACAATGGTAAAGACAGTCTAAATCGATATTGCAAAGTCCTGGGCGAAACTTTCTTGGTTATTAAAAACCATAAGCATATATTGCAGAAGAAAACTGCTGTTAGCAACATGGTTACATGCATCATACGGTATAAACGGAGAAAGCTCAACTTCAAACTGTAACTGTAACAAGATTTTCTACATGATATTTCTACAGTATTAAACTTATGTTACTACTTACTATATAATGTGCAATAAACAATAATAAAAATGGATTATTTTTAAAAAAGTGAACAAACTTCAATGTCACTAGAATGGTTTAAATTTAAAATATACCATAGGATCACTATGGAAATACATCAGTTGATAGAAAATGAGCAAAAACTGATATAAAACCTCAGAGGCATTGTTTCATAAATAAAAAATGAGCTTCTCAATTGATATCCTCCTCTTTTTTTATTTGTTGATCAAAATTATCAAAATGTTGTATGGTTACAAAATATAAAACAATGATATATTAGTTTTCATTATTTCAATTTTCCACCAAATAATTCATGAAAAATCCTGAATTCATTGTTTTCCTAAATTGCAAACTATTATTATTTTTTTGACAACTGATGCATTGAAATATTTTTTTCTTTCCTTGTTTATTATTATGTACTTACTCTCTGTTGGCATAATCATCAATATCAGATATTAATGACATACTAGAACTTGGTGGATCAGGTAACAAAGAGAAATCTTTATCAAATTGCTCCTGCAAACAACAAATTCTTTCCATAACAAATAATAAAAGTATTGCCCAGAAATATTCAAATTCAAAAACCATAATAGTCATTTTTTTCCTTCAACCATTATAATATGATAGCCAAACTTTGTTTTAATGGGAGGATCGGTGTATATAGGATTTGTAACTGAAGATATAGGTAAAGCAAATGCTGCATCTTGAAAAGGGCCGACCATTGAACCACGGGTCATCCAGCCCAAATCACCTCCTTGGCGCGCCTTATCTTCGCTGTATGCTGCAGCTACATCTGGGAATTTTTGTCCAGCTTTTAATTTTTCCAATGCTTCTAAACATTTTGACTGTTTTTCACATAATATGTGACGTACTTTGACAGCTGTCCCTCCTTTTTTGTCCTTTACAGTCGATTCTAAAATTAAATTTTTTGGACTTTATTCATTGTCATAATATTGTGTATAAATCTCGACGTATCAATAATTTGATGGCAAAACTGCAATTGTTATATTAGGTTGTTCTTTTTCCAGTTTAAAGGTTATTGGGATGTTACATTTGATATAAGTTCAGATGTCTTTTATAACAAATAAACCTATCACCATTCAAAAAATATTTTAAAATTCTAACCTAACCTAACCTTTCGTATCCCCGCCAGATTTTCCACCAGTTTTAGAAGTTCCACCTGATTTACCCTTTTCTGGTTGCTTTTTTGGAGGCATTTTGCAATATATAAAATAAAAGTACAATATTTAAAAAAATTAAATAGTTTTTTTCCAAAGATTTCCAAATTTCCAAAAGTTTCTATATTTTGTATATAAAAAAGTACTCTGTGATTTTGTACAAGACCTACGACCAGAGTTGGGAGATACTTTATTAGTGCAGTGTTGCCGTTCTACAAATTTTAAAGTCCCTAGACTAACAGAAAAAATCCGCCAGAAACCGGATTTTTCTTTTTCTTAAAATCCGCTAGAAGTCCCTAGGTACATTTTCGTGCTACCGTTGGTCTAACTGAAAAATCTTGCCAAATGGTATATCAATGAATACGTTATGAATTCAGAAAAACCTTTAAAAAAGGATTGATTGACTATATGAGCGGACTCTATTTCATATAAATCAGTTATTTATAGTGTAGGTTAATGACATTACAACCAAAACAAAAATTATTCATGTACAAAATAAAAAAATATTGTAAAAAAATCATCTTTAAACCACGTTTAAACATTAGTCATCTTATTAAAAATAAAACAATTAGCTCAGTACGTTCTTGTACCTTAATTTCAAAATTTATTGCGAAGTATGGATCCAGATCTTCAAAAAGAACTTCAGCGGAAGTTGAAGCTTCGCCAATCTCTCCAGTTCCCATCTTTGGTTTTTTACCGATGGTTGACAACATCTTCGGGAATATCATACGTTGCTCAATTCTTTTTTTAACCCTTAACTGATTTCTAATCAGACGAATGGAATTTAAAGGTTTTTCTGATTGCTTGTTTCGCTGTTTGCTTAGACATATTCTGTATAGTGCGGTAGTGATAATATTATTATTGCAAAATTACATAAATCTTCGAATATGCTTACTCCTGCTGCATTTTTGTATGTCGAAACAAATGGTAGGTGAAAAAAAGTGAATGAACGACATTGCATTGTTAGTTTATGTTCGGAAATTCCCGCGAAATTATATTACATATAGAGCGCTACCACCGGTAGATTACAAAATTGGACATACGATAAATTACTTATTTGAAATGGATTACCTTATAAAAAGTCGCTATCTCAAAAGTCCAAATGTCGCTAGAACTCGCTAAATAATTATTTCTCGCTAAAACGATTTTTTTATCCGCTAAACATTGTTAAAATCCGCTAGATCTAGCGAGAAAGTCGCTAAAACGGCAACACTGAATTAACCTTGGGCGAGTTGGGCATGGGCAGAGTAATAGTTAATAGCGTTCTGTGGTGTTCTGTGACTTGAGGTTCCTCAGTGTTGCCAAATCAGATTATCGAAAATACGGTGTTGCCACATAGAAATACGGTGTTTGCGGGGAAAAATACAGTGTTTGATTAAAAAAATACCATGTATTTTACAGTGCAATTAAATGACGTATCAAAAAGGAAATGTTTATTTTATTACGTAAAATATTCATTTATTTTAAACACAATATCCTCAAAGTAACTAAACATCTTAATATCTTTATGCACAAAATATTTTATTCACTGTCGCCACCCCTTTTTGTAAATTTCTGATTTAAAACATATGAGCTCCGTAAATTGCCCTCAATTGTTTAATTAAATAATCTGTTCCCCTTTTTAATTTTTGTGTTATTAATTTATTTGGCTGTACACTCCTTCACATTTGACATTATAATTCGGAAGAGCCAAAATATTCTTTATAAACTGGGCTAAAAAACTGAATTTATCAAACTGCTTCACCTGTATTGTATGTAATAAGAAAAAAAAAATGTAAAGTTCAAAACTAGTAATTGCTAAAAATGCATTTTACTTTTTGCCAAAATACATTAGGTTGTTGGCTTGTATCTAAATATTGTTTTTAGTTTCAGCAATTTCTACCATTGATCGTCTATTTATTGTAGCTCGGCCAGAGCAGTTAGTGTCAATCCAATCCAATACTAGACAATTTAAATGACACATAATATATAACATTAAAACTAAACTATGGCATATCCTAATCAATCTACCTAAATAATACTAATTTCTATGGTACGGCAATACGAGGAATACATGAATACCCTATTCTCTTTATGTTGTGTGTGTCGTTCATAATTCACGATATTTTTCATAAGAACGTTCATTATGTAAAGAAATTAAATTTTTTGTTAAAAAAATACTGTGTCTGCATACACTGTATTTATAAAAATACGGTATTCAATAGACTGAGTGAAAACGGCAGATCTACTGTAATTACACCGTATCTGGCAACATTGTCTAACTATTGGTATTTATCATGGAGTATAGAGGTAACTCCATAGTTTATAGCATGAAGGTTAGAGAACAGGAGAACGATCACTTCGTACTAAAGCATAGCCCGGCTGTACTTGAAAATTGTAGAATTTATAGTAGCGCTGACGTCGGTGAGTAGTGACTGTGAAGTTAGCTGTTTATGAGTACAAGTAGATGAAGTTAGTTAAATAATGTACAAATTTTCTCCGCGGCGTTGGTGAGAAAATAATTTATGTAATTTAATTAAATAATTAATTAATTAATAATTAATTAATTATTTAATATTTGACAAAAAGAAACATTAAAAAATGGAGATATATTTTAGTGTGCGGGGATGTGCAAGTGGTTTAGCATCTGATCGGAAAAATAGACTGAAAATGACTTTTATTGACCGAACTTAGCGATCGCAGCGCCTCACTTATGGTGTCCATATTTCTGGGACACTATTTTCTACGGCGATCATTTTCCTGTTCTCTAACCTTCATGGTTTATAGGTTTTGACTTTTGAATTTTAAGTTTTTCTTAGGGATGATCAATGTAGCAGAAACACCGATGATGACATCGATATTGTTTTCTAGAGCTTAACATCGATGTTCAATGTTTATCCTACTCAAAACATCGATGTTGGCCATTATCGATATTTTTGCACAAGTACCTATTTTATAGGTTAAAATTAGATCAATAATACAATAGTTATGTCTTTTATGGCTTATGATTAATGAAATTAAAAAAAATTATGAAAATTTTAGTGTAAAACAGTAATTAAAAAAAATTGGAAGAAGTTAACAAATATCTAGTTCATTTGTTATATTTTTTGCCAATGATGATGAATGTTATTTTAATCTTTAAATTTTCCTATGCACTCAAAAATCTGGTATGAAAAATTAACTATGGAACCTAATTTACGATTTAGACGGTTAAAACATCGATGTTTTAATTTTTAATATCGATGATCATCGAACATCCCCAGTTTTAGTAACAGAGTATATATTACTGTTCTCTGTGTAACAGAGACTTGAAGTAGTTGCATAGAGGAAAGTAATATATCGTACACAGTAGTTCATAGTTGTTTATAGTTATGGGGCATAGGGGCATAGATTTTAGTCAATTTTCTGAATAATTTTCTGAATGATAGAAAATAATAGAATAATAGTTTAAATAAGGGTTTAATTAAGTTTTCCTTAAGATTATATATTAAAGAAACGGTAAATCATTATGTTATAACATTTCTATGTATGACGTGACTTCTATCTTATTGTTTTGTTACTTTTGTAATATTCAATTTCAGATATTTCTTTATTTTGATACAATGGGAATTATGTATGAAAAACGGCCATTAAAAAGGCCTCGCTTGGGGCCTCCTGATGTATACCCACAAGAACCCAGGCAAAAAGAGGATGAACTTACATCAACTAACGTCAAACACGGTTTTTCCACTACACCACAATCTAGTGATGAGTTTGGAACAGCCAGAAACTTCAACTATTCAGCTTCAAAGGTATGTGATGTCAGATCAAACACAATTTATTTATTAAGTATATTTTCACTGTGGAGACAAATAATATTGTGTCTTTTTGACCGAATACTGAAACATCAACAATATGTTTGTCATTATCATCATACATTCTACAGCATTTAACTTATAAACAGCCTTCACATGCTAGAGCACTAATATTTAATTCAATGATGTAATAAATCAACTACAAGTGATAGTTTAATGTTGTTAAAGTTAATGAAATAAACTTAAATATTCAGAAGAAATTTTTTAGCCTATAGAATGAAGGATATCATGGGGCAGGCAATTGTAAAGTGATTATGATAAATTGTCTGCACTCAAACAAATACTAGATTAATTCAGCTATGATCATGTTTATTAGTAGTGTAACATTCATGTAAATCCATCACCAAGTTATTGAGATCATCATTAGCCAGTAAAAGTTCACTGCTTAACCTGAGTCATTCTCATTAAGTAAACCTTATTTTACAGATTTTATCACATATAATTTTGATAACCTAACATTTAATTTTAAACTTTTTATTTCCCGACGTTTTGGGTGCTTTACAGCACATATGGTCCATGGTTAAATTATACCTTGTAACAAATATTTGGCTATTATTCGGTATTAGGCTTATTCAACTACTTTTAACCTATTCAGTGGAATACAGAATATCTAGGTACTATTCGGCCAAATACTGAATACTTAAGTAAGATGTTTTGTTGTAGTGAGATGATTGGCAAAATGAAAATATTATTATTACTTATTTTATAATGATGTATTTTTCTTATAATGATTTATTTAATCATAGGCTGTACATAACCAACTTCTGTATTATTAAAAAAAAAAACTATGAGATAAATATCTATGCAATTGAATTATATAAATTAATGTGGAAGATTATTGTGCAGAAAGACTAATTTTTTTCATTTTCAGACAGTAGTTTACTCCTTTTCATCTCGTAGACAATTCCAGCTTCAGAGAATAGACACTCAGAATAAATACTTTTTCCTCCAATATTTGGTTAAAAAGTTTACATTAAAATGTATAAAATTAGTTTCATTTAATGTGCAGTGTTTGCCTCAATATAAGAAATCATATAAGCCTCTCTTGTTGAAAGGATGATTTGCCTTACTTGTTGAATTGGTCTTTGATGCTGGGTATTTCGCTTCCAGTGTTAATGAGCTAATCATACTGCCATCTATAGGAAGTTGTAAGATTTTTCCAATTATTACACCCATCAGATAAAATGGGCTAAGGGTTACTCTTATGTCATCGCCATAATAAAGTTTCTTATGAAGATACTAATTGAAAATTATCTCAATAGAACACTGATTAAAGATAATTACAATTGACCCTAGCATTTCTGTCTACATAGTTAAAGAATTAATGAAAGTTAATTAATTGTGTTCAAAAGATGAGATTTATAATATAGAGCAAGAACCAGTTTCTAATATTATTTGTGTAAAATTTAACATTGTCCCTGTAATAAAATATACTCAATAATTGTTTTACAGATAGGACAGTTTTTCTCTAGTATACTTTCAAAAAAAGAAGAACTAAACACTCTGCCGGACTGTGGACGAAAGAGACAGCAAGTAAATCCTAAAGATAATTTTTGGCCAGCTACCGCTCGCACTAAGCCACAAATTGAAGCATGGTTCAAGGATTTAGCAGGTATATATACTACATGGTATTTATTATTTGATGTTATGAGGATATGTGATGACCCAAAGTATAAATAATACTTACTAAAGTACTACAAGTAAATAATACTTACTAAAGTACTAAGTACTACAAGTTTCTACAACTTTTAATATTGTAGTTCAATCTGTTTATTTAAAACTTGTTCCTGCATGCTGTTCCTTTTTAAATATATAGAACAAGGGTGACAAAAACATGCCCATATATATATATATATATATATACATCACAATATTGATTCTACATCCTTTCATTTCGCATTATTGTAGCGTCCACCACTTGTAGGCAATTTTTATACATTATGACTGCGAATATTGGTCCATTAAACAATTTCAAAGATAGTGTTTAACTCATTTCTTTGAAAATTTACCATATGTCGATATACAAATATTCGTATATTGCCAGACGGAGGGAAACCAATCAGGACTCCCTTCCATATTACAAATTATCCAGAATCCCCGTAATATACATAGTTTTTAATTCATTCTCCTGCTTAACGCAATTCCTTTATATGGTGCTACATTGCCACTCTTATTAGTTATTCCGCTTTGTAATATTTTATTTATAGTAAGTGATATTTTGTTTATGTAGGTATTCGATAGATTCCTATAGTCTGTTTTTTTCGCAGGAGACAAAAATAACAGATCTTTATTAGATTCTTTTAGCACGAATAATACAGTTTTTATGATTCTGGTTCAGATTAGATTTAATTTTAGTCACTTAAGGTTCGTATATTGTTCAAAATCATGAAATAAATCCACAGAATGTGCAGTTACGAAAAATACGCAATATCATTTGTGTCTCCGGCGAAAAAAAAACAGATAGATATCATGATTAATTTACCAACTAGTTATTCGTTTACTAAGTACGAAAAAATATCTAGGATTGCCCAGCCGTGATACATTATAGATTGACTATATTATTATTTATTTTACTATTGTAAATAAGTACTAATTGTAGATATTGACAGGTTTAATAGAAGTTAATTTTCTTATATTGTCACTAATAACCTAATATGACCTTGGGAAGAAACTCATTTTAATATAAGGTTTTACTGCATTAACTTCCAATGGGTTGTTAATTTCTACAATAGACCGTGGCGTATTGTTGCTGACATGAATAACTCCGAAAATATAATTTATTTACTTGATCGTATTGAGTTTTGGTGCTCTCACTACGAGTTTATTTTAATGATCACTATCTTAAGGAGGAGTGCGAACTATTTACCTAACCTGTATAAAATTACTCTCTACTTAACTAGATTCATTTTTGTGAAGGGCTATTTTTGTTAAATTATGATATTATGTTTGGTTTTGCAGTTAGTTGAAATACAATTTGTTTGTGTTTGTTGTTATAAATATTGGACGCTATATTACTAAAAACATGCATATCGCGCTCTAATTGGCGTCCGTATTGTGACCTACGCACATTGAGAACTTTCCACACTTATGTTTGCTTGCATTTGAGTTTTTTTGGTTATATTTAGTAACTTAGGTAAATAAACTTGTGTAAGTTGATTAATGTACTTGACATGGACATTGAACGGAGTATTTACCCATATACCGACGTGAGAATATCCTAAAATATTCACACTAAATTTTATTTGACGTCCACTTCTTCGATATCCGATGTCCAAAGTTATTGTTGATAATTGGATTTTACTATTTATTTATGTTGACTATTTATTTAGTGCTCAAGGCATATTTTGGTATTTTTGTCGGTTTATACTGTACTCAGTGCTAGTAGATAATTTTACTTTCCAATTAGTTTTCGTGTCCTTAGATTTAGCTACATATAATAATTAATATGGACGTCCGAATATCCTAAAACAATCATACTGAATAATATTTGACGTCCATATTTTTGAATGTATTTCTATAAGTGGACGTCAGATTATCGGCAAAGTTTCATACCGCACAATATTTGACGTCCTATAACCATGAATATATTTATATTTTAATTTCTTGTGTATAAGACACACATTAATGATCTTTACTTTAATGACATTTTTCGCTATTGTTTTATTTTTATTTAGTGTAGGGAGATGCGGTTGATGTACTTTGGTGTTTTAATGCCCTTCTAGAAAGATAAAACAGAAAAATTAAAACTATGGCGTTAATGCATAAACTTTTGGTTTCTTCGCCAGACCATATTAGGTTATTAGTCAGAGGTTATTAGTCACAATATAATAAAACAAACTTCTATGATAAAAAATAAAAATATAAATTTCTTCGCAACCAAAACAAATTTGTTTAGCGGAAGGTTGCGAAGAAATTTATATTTTTATTTTTTATTATAATGGATTTCCGCAAAGTAACGCCTGATTCTATCAATTAAACTTCTATGAAACCTGTCAATATCTACAATTGAGTCCATCTTCCTGTACTCAATCAGAAGGTAACTTATACTCAAACAGAATTATGGGTTGCTTACGAAATACCTAACAAGAGTTCTTTTAGGCAGATTAGTACCAAATATAAAATGTTAAAATATAGTGCAGCATGAAATAAATCGATAAGCCGTCGTCCGCATCTACATTTATAAAAATATAACTAAATTCAAAAATACGGATGTCAAATATCATTCAGTATGAAAGTTTTAGGATATTAGGACGTTCATATTATGTGTAGGTAGATGTAAGGTTAAGAAAACAAGTTTAAAAGTAAAATTACTAGTACCAAGCGCAGTTTAAACCATATAATAATGTCCTGCAGACCGAATTACGGTTACGGCGGTCTGCCTCAACGGAGACTAGCCATCGGCGCAGGACAGGATTATAGTGCCCAAGTGTATGCGCAACCACAGGTGCACTCTCTATTCCCTCATTCTCATAATCCGATGGGATGGTAAACCGACACGACCGGAGAGAGATCAGGCGTAGGATCAACGGCTTTACGTGCTTTCCGAGGCAAGGGGGTGATACACCGTCAACTTCCTGACTCCGGGCAGCTATTGAGTATTTCTTGACAGAAAAACTCAATAATTGAATTTTTGGCCCGACCCGGGATTCAAACCCAGGACCTCACGTTCAGCAGTCGCACTACTACAACCACTAGACCAACGAGGCAGTCATAACCATATATCACCAAATACAAGTAACACGTTGGCAATGGTGACGGAATGGCAACGTCGCATGTCCTAATTTTGTGCGGAAGTCAAATACGACTATAAATGAAAGTATTCACAAATCGACAGCAGCGCTATTATTTTTGCAACGAAAATTAGCGGAACTACGTAAATATTCAGTACAGCAAGATTGAAAGAAAAATGACGTCCAATTTTTTTTTAGATTTTGATATTTCTGTGATCAGCATGACAATTTGCGAACATTGCGCTGTCTCCTATTTGACGTCCATATATTGGACGTCGTAAGCAGGTTGACGCCACATTATATGCAAAATTGGCCATAGTGGACGTACAATAAGTTACGGGATGTATGTATATAAATATATATATATTTATATATTTATATTTATATATATATATATATTATATTGTATGTGCTGACACACACCTGGGGACTGAGATGGAATGCCTCATTTCCAGTAAAATGGGTCTCCAATTCTGTACACAACGAATGTGCATGTGTCAACACATGCACATTCATTTTTAAGATTGATATAGATGTCTATAGGCCACAGCATCCACTTAACATCAGGTGGACTGTGTGCCGGTTTTTCATCCTTATTCTATTTAAAAAATGTTTTGCCACCCGTGAGGACACAGCGTTAAGTTGCATTTTCTGCAGAGATATTTGTCCTTCCCTTGATGAACCGGCCCATTTGTGCTACCAATATAATGTATCTTCAGAGTGGCTCTACCACATGTATATAATTATGAGAGTGACACTGAAAGTTCTTAGAAAATCAAAAACTGAATAAACTAGCAAGTTAATAGTTTTATTTTATCTTTTCAAATAGTTTCTATTTTCATCAACACATCACTGCATCCGATGGAACCACTTAGACAAGCACTTTGCCCACTTGTCCTTAGGAGTCTCTTCAACGGAATTTTGAAACACAACTACTGCTTCCTCGGCGTCCATAAAACGTTTTCCTTGAAGTTTTTCTTTTATTTTCAGAAATAAATAAAATTCGCAAGGCGCGAGATCAGAGCCATAGGGCGACCTAGTAATTACATGTCTGATGTCACCAAGTAGTCGATTGTTGCTTGCTTGGAGGTGTACGATGAGGTGTTGTCGTGATGTAGGAGGATCCTACTGTGAGGTTGTTTCTCCCGAACTTTTTCCAAGTCAAGTGGCAAACAATTGTTAGTGTACCACTCTGCAGTAACTGTTTTTCGATACTCTAACAATTATTGCATAATGACCTGTCCTTCTGAAGAAAGAGGCCACCATCTTTTTTCTCATGCTTCAACCTCTCTTCACTTTAGTTGGCAACTCCTCGGAAGGAAACATCTAGACAGCAGACTGTCTCTTAGTTTCAGGATCATAACAATAAATCCAGCTTTTGTCACCCGTAAGTATGCGAACACAGCATTTGAGTCACCTCCGTTACATCTTTGAACCATGTCACGACACCAATAAAACTAACGGAGTTTTCAGGCTTCTGTCAAATTATGAAGTATCCACCGGGTACATAGCTTCCTGACCACTAAATGTTCATAGAGGATTTTGTGCACTTGACTTACAGATTCCTAAGCTTGTCCGAATCTGCTGTAAGTCACTCTTTTGTCAGTTTCTATCATACGCCGCACAACACTGATGTTATCTTTAGTCGTCGCTGTAGAAGGCCGTCCCTCATGCAGATCATCGGTAAGATTAGTGTGACCATGTTTGTACTCATTAAACCAGTTGTAAACAGTGGCATGAGATGGGGTTTAATTGTGAAAGACCAATCAAAGTCAGTCATAACTTTCTTGTTGACTTAAATGACATCGAAATTCATAAAAAATCGTTAAAAAATCATAAAAGGTCATTAAATTCATGCTGACATAACCACAGACAATTTTCAATTAGCCACCAAATCGTAAACAAATGACAAATTAATAAAATACATACACATTGGGCTTTTTGCTTACAAGTGCTTGCTAGCGCTTTTTTCTGCCAAACGCACCCAATAATATTGGCGAAGAATTCCATTTTCAAAATTTGAACTTATTTTTTTATTATATTGTTTACAAGGTGGCCAGTTCTAAAAACTTTCAGTGTCGCCCTCGTATTTAAATCATAGTAACCTTTTTTGTAAAGATGTCATATATTTGCCTTGTAGTTTTTATGAACTAAGAACTAATACTGAACTCAATGGTCTTATAACATGTGTGCGGTATAAAAGCGTTTTAAACATTAGCCTATCTCTTTGTAGGGCGATTTTGCCCTAATTGTTATGCTTGACAAGTGGATTCACCATCAATTTACTAGACTCAGATTGTGTTACAATCACTTTTGTTATTATACTTTAGGTAGCAAGCCTCTAGCACAGCTGGCCAAAAAGGCACCAAACTTTAACAAGAAGGAGGAAATATTTATAACTCTCACAGAGTATCAAGTGGCAATGCCAAGAGCTGCTTGGTTTATAAAACTAAGCTCGGCATATACAGTTGCGGTTTCGGAGGCAAAGATTAAAAAAAGACAGTTACCTGATCCTACTACAGGTATATTATTAGTATTTTTAAAAAGCTTTATAACAATTTGACAGCAATACTACATAATATTAGAGAAACAGTCTTAATTAATTTTTTAAATCATTTAAAAAAATTTCAGAATGGACAACTACACTGATAAAATTTTTAAAAGACCAAATACCTAAATTAGCAGAACATTACCAAAGTGCCGTACCTAGCAATCCATCTGAAAAAACTCCACCTTCACAATCAGGTATCGAATGATCTCATCATATTCTTGTAGTGTTTTAATACTTATTTGATATGTGCTGGGGTATTATTACATAAAATATTATTAAAAATATATAAAGTATTATATAACAACAATTTATACTCAAAATATAATCACTCTTTTATTACGATCTTTTAGCATCCGTTGCTGAACACCGACATCCCCCATAGATTGCCTTATAGGAGAGATTACCTCATAAACCCTGTACAAATTAGAACCTCACCTTACCTAACTTTAGATATGTTGTGCTTAGACTATCAAATTATACATAATATTACATGTGTGTTGCGAGATATTTGCTTTTAACATTTAATGGAACATTTTACTATCACCATAAAAATTAGAATATCATCTTACCCAACCTTAGATATGTTGTGCATAGTCTATCAAATTATACATAATATTATATGTTTTTTTTGTTACCTCACTTAAAAAAATACACTAATTAGATTAATTCTAATTATTTTTTCTATTATTACTATGTAATATTATAGGTCAGGGAACTCCTAGTCATAATTCATCAAGTAATCCACCCGGTGGTTCTACTCCTAACAGCTCAACTGTGCCTAATTCAATGCACTCACCAGGAAATTCTTCAAGTAAGTAAATGTAAAAATATTGCCATTATTATTATTATCTTTGGGGTATTTATATAGTTTTCTCATCTGGTTGGGCTGTATAAATATATAAATTAAACAGATAAATATACATAAATATTAATAAAATAAAACAAATACTTACAATATATTTATATATATATATATATATTTTTTTTTTAAAAAACTCAACCAAAATGAAATCCCTCGGTAGGGGGATAACAAACGACTGAGGGTTAGGCGGAAAGGGCAGACCACCCCACATGTCGATTACCTCCAGCCATAATGGGTTCATTAAAAGGGGGGAATAGTCTTACATCGTTGACGTTGCGCCCAGCCTGAAACTTATCAGTCTTCCGATGAGTGCCCTAGCCTTTGCGATACGATCCAGAATTCTTCTTCTCTAGACTGGGATGGCGCTACTTTTTCTAGTAGCACGGTCGTGGGGAGCTTGGCGCCAAAAATACGGCATACTGCCAGTGCGTTGCAAAAAATAATTGAATCTGTCTTGCAAAGGTCCCGGCTGACTTCCAAATAGGTCACCAGTACACTTTACTTATAGGGCCGCGGCTAGAAAGAAATCTTAAATGCACCCATGAAGCTAGCTGTGCTTAGATCACCGGCAAGTTCTATGTGTACAGCTCGAGTAGTCAAACATACGAAAATAAAAACATACTCCTTTGTAGATCTTACACCACTCCCGCGAGTGAGCGTGACCTTGAACGGACCAGCAAAGTCTGACCTGGTGTACATAAAAGGCTTTACAGACTGTGTTACACAGCAAGACCTAAGGTCCGCCATTTAGAGAGCAGGCTATACATCTGTGCACCCGACTGCGAATTAAGTTATGTGCAGAAATAATCCAGTAATGCAGACGCAAAATAGACATCAAAAACGCAGGGCCAGCGTGACAATTCAATTTATAGTGGTAATCAACTTTTAAATTCAAAACATGATTTTTTCGCGGTAAAACTATAGGGCGTCGTACAAACACGAACAAACAGTACTTAATTACTTCCAAAACTACAAAGGCTATATATTGTAACAACAAAAAATTATTTAAATATCACACAGCGTCAGCGTGCTGCTGTGGCGTAACAACTAACCTATACATTTTATATGAAACACTAACTAGCTAAATTAATTAATAATTCTACTAGAAAAAAAAACGAATTCAAATCACACACGATTATATAATCGTAAGTATGCAATGTCTAAAGCGAATCGAAACCATTAAAAACTATAAGCGGTGAAGTTATGAGACGGACGCTTCGGAATAACAGTGCTGGTGGCCTGTTGCTCGCGAAATCTCCGCAATTCTTTCGATAAAGTGGATAGGTCTGATTGCAGCCCGACCTCCTTTTCTCGTAAGCACTTTATCTTGCTCCACCAAGTGAGATTAGTCTCAGCAGGTCCATCCTGTTGCCTCCAAGGCGGCATGCTTTCTGCCGCAGCGGCTCGGTGTATCCATGTGCCGTGGTTGCGACCTTACTCCGCGCTGCGCGCGCGTCTTATGCCGACGTCGATTCGAGTCCTGGCTCGCGGAACACGTGCACCGAATATGTCACCTGACGGGTTGCGGGGTGATCCAACCTTGTAAATTTAGGCCTTCTTGACGGTGTCTATAAACCTGGCTCCAGGGCTATCCCTTTTCGGCATTACCTTCGGCTGCGACGAAACTACTATAGGTCCTATTCTACCCATTCCCTTACCAAAAATCTCTATCGTTTTGCTTTTCAACTCCTCGCATATTTTATTATCCGAGCTTAGTATAGGCGGGATGTTCCCCTCCTTCATTTCTCGGCGGCGGTGCAACAATAAGAGGTTGCCGAAACATTATCAATGATAGAAGCGGAACCAATAATAACTTAATCCAAAGCGGTTTCTAATGCGTGAGGTGCGGTACACGAGGAGTTAACCTTGACCTTGTTGTGTAGCAAAAGGTGAGGGAAGATAGATGCCCCGATGAGCATATCAATGTCTCCAGGGACGGAGTAAGTGTCGTCCGCCAAAGCTAAATTATCGAAATTAGTCATTGCGGAAGTGTCGACCGAAACGGTTGGCAGGCGCTCAGTGACCTTATCTACTACTAATGAATCTATATTAAAGTTAATACTAGGATCCAAGCGAGAATAAAATTTTAATTTATCGAACCTTGGAGGAAGGAAGGGGGAACCCGAATCGTCGAGGGATACTCATCCCAATTTACCTGTCCGGTAGTTGTGGTATGGTATACGGGTATGCGACCCCGGCTACCCTAGCTATTACTGTCCTATCCCTTGCCCTCATGGACGGTAATATCCTACATTTCCTATTTTCCTACCCTAACTTACCTTACTCTTCCTTTTCACACCACCTATCCTTCCCGTTTTCCTATTCCTACCCTCCGCCAATCCAACGTCGGCCGCGCGGATGGATGCATGGCTAGGGGCGAGCCTAGTTGTTAGCGTGCCACACTGCCCTGGGACCGGGCGACCCCAGAATTAGGCTAGCCTTACCCTGGCATGCGGTGCTCTGCTGGGGGGGACAAACCTGTCCTTCGCTATTCGTGGGAACGCAATGGATAATCAAAAAATTTACAAAAATAGCGGCGATGTGGTTCGCCACCCATCACGTCTCGTCTCGTCTCGCGGGGGCGAAAAGCGGCCCACGGAGAGCCGCTTCGCTACTTTGAATGTAAGAGGACGGATGGATGGTAAGGTAGATGGAGTATGTCAGATGATGGATGAACGTTGCATTGATATTCTGTGCGTGAACGAAACCAAGAGGAAAGGATGTGACACCACGGTTCATGGCCCCTACACGGCATACTGGTCGGGGAGTCCCCCAAACCAGCCGAGGCTGTCAGGGAGTTGGTGTGATTCTTTCATCTCGAATGGTTGTAGGTGTGATGGAGCATGAATGTGTAAGCCCAAGACTCCTCTGGATTAGGTTAAAAGTCGGACTCACCCGCTTGTTTATCCTTGGGGTCTATGCACCGACGGATCTGCGTGGAGATGGGTCACTAAAATCACAACAAGAGAGAGAGGAATTTTGGGATAGCATGAGAGAGGTCTTGAATAAATGCGGAGAAAATCAACGGATCGTGATGTTAGGGGACTTTAATGGATGGGTTGGAGTAAAGCGTGATGGGTATGAAGGAGTTCTGGGTATGTTTGGGGACGAGAGAGTGAATGACAATGGGAGAAGCCTGCTTGAAGTATGCTTGGAATGGAATCTGTGCGTGACCAACACAATGTTTGACCACAAAAAGATCCATCTGTATACAAGAGATGAGGGTGAGTCTAGGAGTATGATTGATTTTGTAATTGTGGATGAAAGACTGAAGAAGAAAGTGCTAGACACTCGGGCATACCGCGGTGTAGGCCTCGACACAGACCACTTCCTGGTCATAGCCCGAATGCGTGGCCTCTTTAAACGGTGGCGACACCGAGGGGCCGAGCCTACGAGTGTTTTGGACAGAGTAAAAGTGGAAAATCTACAAGAAAAAAAAAGAAAGACGAGTATGTAGAGAAACTGAAAGAAAGTTTTAAAGGGATAGAAGAGATAGGAGTGATTGAAGATTTGTGGGAGACATTTAAGAAAGGGGTTGTAAATGTTGCGATTGAGGTATGCGGGGTAGCTAAAAGATGGAAAGGGAGAAAGAATGATAACGTGTGGCTGGATAAAGATGTACAAAGGGTTGTGCAAGAAAAGAAGAAAGCGTGGTTAGATTGGTTAGCAACAAAAGCTAACCAAAAAGTTCAAAAGGCAACGGATGACGAGATAAAGGAAGGAAGAACGAAGTATAAAAGATTGAAAACAGCAGCGAAAGAAACTGTGTCTAGAAAGAAAGAAGAACGAAAAGATGATTTCGATAGGAGGCTCACTGAAGATTTCCAGTCAAACATTAAGTTTTTCTGGAAAACCATCAAAACAGCCAGAGGAAAAACTTCTACCTCGGAGCTGAGTACAATCAGGAGTCAAGATGGGAGCATTATAAAAGGAGAATGTGTGTTAAAGAGATGGAAAGAGTATTTTGAAAGTTTGTTTGAAAGAGAGGAAGTGCAGGTACAGCATCTGCCACCTTCCACGGAAACGAATATAAATGTTGATGAAAATGAGATAAGCATGGATGAAATAGTGAAAGCGTTGAAAAGTATGAGATTAGGTAAGGCTGCAGGGTATGACAGGATTACCGTCGAGATGCTGAGGGCTGGACAGGGCCTGGTGGCTAGTCAGCTGTACCGCCTTTTCAATCTGTGCTGGCGAAATGGGCATGTGCCGGGAGACTGGTGCAAAGCCGTAATCGTGCCATTGTATAAGGGAAAAGGGTCACGGCAGGACTGCATAAATTACCGTGGTATAAGCCTTCTTAGCGTCATCGGTAAATTGTAGCGAAAGTGTTGATTGAAAGGGTTGTGAATGAAACAGACGAGAAAATATGGGATGCACAAGCGGGATTTAGAAAGGGAATGGGATGTACGGATCGGGTCTTTTCCTTGCGGTGCATAGCCGAAAAGTGTTTAGCTAAAAACAAGAAAGTCTACTGCGCCTTCGTAGATCTAGAAAAGGCCTATGATAGATTGGTGAGGAATGAATTGCGGTCAGCACTGTCCATGAACGGTGTGAGCAGTGTCCTCATACGAGCATTGAAATCTCTTTATAGGGATTCTAGTGCTTGTGTAAGGATAAACGGGGCATACACTGAATGGTTTAGTATCGAAAGAGGTGTTAGACAGGGATGTGTAGCGTCACCGTGGCTGTTTAATCTGTTCATGGACAATTGTTTGACAGATTTAAAAGAGAATGAAAGTGGGTTGAGAATGAATGAGTTACTCGTCAAATGTTTTCTCTATGCTGATGACCAAGTATTACTACAACTGCTATGAGTGGAGCTTTTGTTAGAAAGGGAATGAAGATGAATGTAAAGAAGACGAAAGTGATGGTGTTTGAAAAAAGATGAGGCAGTGACAGACTGCAATATCGTGATTGAAGATGAACAAATTGAACAGGTGAAAGAGTTTGTGTATCTGGGGTCAAAGTTTACAAGAGATGGAAAGTGTGAGAGTGATATCGAAAGAAGAGTGAATGCAGGAAACATGGTGAATGGAGCTTTGCACTCCTTTATGAGCAGTCGGAAAGTGTCTAACAAGGCTCGTTTGGCTGTGCATGAGGGGGTGTTGGTTCCGACACTCATGTACGGAAGTGAAAGTTGGGTATGGCAGAAGAAACATGAAAGTAGAATAAATGCAGTTGAGATGAGAGCATTAAGAAGTATGATAGGAGTTAAACTGAGTGACAGGATAAGAAATAGTGAGATAAGGAAACGTTGTGGTCTGAAAGAAGATGTATTGACTAAAATTGAGAAAGGTATGCTGAGATGGTTTGGCCACATCGAGAGAATGAATGAAGAACGATTGACGAAAAAAGTGTATAAGGCGAGTGTGAATGGAAGTGCTGGAAGGGGTAGACCTAGGCGGACTTTTCTAGACCAAATTAGGGACGTCTTGAAAAAAGGCCAGGTTAAGAGTACCCTAAACCGTAGAGCATGTATGAAGGGAATAATGAAAGTAGACGAAGCGAAACAAGTATGTAAGGATCGTAGCAAGTGGAAAGAAGTGGTCTCTGCCTACCCCTACGGGAAAGAGGCGTGATTATATTATATGTATGAACCTTGGACCGTATTATTGAAGCCTCCAATTCCTTTCACTACAGACCATGAAGGTGTCTTGTTTACTAATAATACGAAACGTTGGCAACACTGCTGTGTTATGGAGTTACTCTGCGACGCACTATCTAATAGCGTACGAACGCTCCGTTCGTTTCCATGCGAATCTCTGATTATAATACGTGCCGTACCTAACAGTGGCCGGGACGCGATCGGCCTTTCACCTTCGACAGTGAACACAGAGCAATCTCGCCCGATCGTCCGTTAGAAGTGTCGACCTTGGTGGGTGGAGACTCACTCTCAGATTTGCTTAACGCGGATATGGTACCACTCTCAAAATGCAACAATGTGTGGTGTCTGTTCTGGCATTTGTTACATACTAGAGTTATAATTAGCAACGCGGTGCCTGTTGCTTAAACAATTCAAACATAAGTTGGTAATGTTAATGTTGGCTTTTACTATTTTATAGTGAAAGGTTAATTTAATATTTTTGAGGGGCCACTGACGTTTCGAATTTATCCAAAAATTGTTCGACAACACATCACATCGATCAGAATTGCCTAACAAGTTTTACAGCACCGCAAGCGACTATTTGCTCCGTACCTCTATAACAGGGGTCGCCAAATGGCGGACCGCGGTCAGCATCGGGACCGCCGACCCATTTTGTGCTACTACGACTACTTCCGATATAAGTAACTTCCGTGGCCCCAAAAAGATTGTCGCGAGCTGTACGTAATTTAATAAAAATGTATCCCCCGCATTATCTTTGTTGACGTCAATTCGAAAACGGCCGGGCGAAGTAACGAGCGAGCGAGAAAGAGTTCGCGGATTGCGGCAAGTGTCGCGAGGGCGGGGGTAATTCATCGCGTGATCACTCTGCCGGCCGCCGGGAGGTCAGTGTTTTGTTTTAATTTTGAGCGAAGGACGCCGCGCGGCGCGCTGAATTAAATATAACGTTTGCTTGTTTACTTTACGAGTATATGTTAAATAGCGAGTTTTGGGTGTTTATAGAGAGTTTTGACTATGGAACCGAAAAAAAGAAAAGTTGAAGATGAAAATAGACAGTTTTTGCCGGAATGGACCGATTTATATTGTTTTACGCTGCCAAATCGTGCTGGAGCAGTACCAATGTGCCTGATTTGTAACCAAACAGTGGCGTTAATTAAAAGCTCTAATATAAAACGACATTATGATACCAAACACAAATCATTTGCCGGAAACTTTCCACTTAGTAGTGATCTGCGTAAGTCTAAAATTGCAAGTTTACTATCAAGTTACTCATCTTCGACCCAGATCATAAGTCGCTCAATGACTGAGCAGGAAAAATGTGGTGAGGCTTCTTTACGTATTTCTTGGACTCTGGCTAAGCATATGAACCCATTTACTGATGCTGACGTAGTTAAAGAATGATTTCTTTAGGCGGGTAATGCTTTATTTGAGAACAAAAAGGATGTTGTTGAGACGATACGACGGATTCCGTTATCTGCTTCTACTAGCACCAGAAATACACACGTTTTGGCAGAAGAAAATCATTATGATTTGAAACGTCAGTTAAATAATGCAAACTATTACGCCTTGGCTATGGATGAATCATGCGATGTCACTGATACGGCACAGTTAATTATTTTTGTACGCTTCCTGGACAAAACGAGAGAAATTTTTGTTGAGGAGATATTGGCTCTTTTGCCGCTCTTAGGAAGAACCCGAGGAGTAGACATGATCAAAGCAGTGATGGATTGTTTTGAAAAAGATGAGTTAGACTTGAAGAAGCTCTTATAGTAACCGACTGACGGTGCGCCAGCAATGGTTAGGAGTAAAAAAGGACTAGTGCACCTGTTGAGAAGCAATGAGAGATGTAATGAAAATTTGATTTCCTACCACTGTATTATTGCCCTTTGTTGCCCCTCTCTGTTTCCTCCTCCGGGCCGGTGTTTCCCTCCCTTTTTGTGTGTTGATGTGTGAGTTTTTTTCATCAAACTGTGCTTTGCTGCAAACTCAATCATAATTTTGAGCTTATTATGCAAGAAGTGATGAAAATAGTAAATTTTCTTCGTGCTAAATCATAATTGCAACATTGTGAATTGAAATCATTTCTTGAAGAAGTTAATGCACAATATGACGATCTACTGATGCATAATAATATGAGATGGTTAAGTAAACGCTGCGTTTTAGAAAGATTCTCAAGCAATTTAGAACACTTGAAGACATATCTTTTTAACAGTGATCATACTTCAGCAAACGCTTACTTAAGTTTTCTAAACGAAAAAGAAAATGTTACTGTCATTGCTTTCTTAACGGATACTTTTAAACATATCAATGACCTGAACCTTAAACTTCAAGACAAGGGGAAGCTGGTATGCGAGCTCATGTCAGATGTCAAAAGTTTTTCTCGAAAACTTGATCTCTTTATTAATGATTTTGGAAATGAATGCTTACACTTCCCCAATTTAAATAAAATAATCAGCAGTGACAACGTGACTGACGTCGGCCAATTCAAGACGTTCATTACGGATCTTAAATCGGAATTTCAAAAAAGGTTCGCGGATTTTAAGAAAATTGAGAAGGTTGTAGAAATCCTCAGCATCATTTACTCTCTGCATCCTGATGGTGAATGGAGCAATGAAGCTGCAATTGTTTTCGGAAGTGATAAAGCTACTCTGCAGATGGAAATGATCGATTTTCAAGTAAAACACAAACAATCGGAAGTTTCCAGTGAAGAGTTCTGTATAAAATTTGTGTATGGTAATAAATATCCAGAATTACAAAAATTAGCTTTGAAACTTCTTACTTTGTTTGGATCGCCATATATTTGTGAAGCAGCATTTTCGAAGATGAACTTCATTAAGAATAAATTTCGATCTCGACTTACTACTGAACATCTCCAGGATTTAATGTCAATAGCTTGCACCAATTTTACTCCAAACTTCAGACAGATAATTCGCAACAAAAAATGTCATTTTTCGCATTGATACCTATGTAACAAAATACTTTTGTTATTTCCTAAATTACATTTGTTTAATAAATATTTTTTCTTATAAATAAAAAGTGCGGACCATGATGGTCATTTCATTTCTTAAAACGGACCCCGAGCGAAACTAATTCGAGACCATTGCTCTATAAAGTAAAAGGAGTCCTGTAACCAGAAATGGGATATAATATTATAGACTAAATTTAAGGACATATTACACTACACTTAATTCAGAAATCCTAATCCTAATTTAAATTAAGGAAAGCAAGTGACTTTAAAACTCCTAATTACACTGCACTGAATTCAGGATCCTAATTCAGTTCGAGAGAAAACGTATATGAACGGGTGCGAACTTTTACAATAATGCATACTCTACTCAAATCCAAAACTAGGGATTGTTCTAGAGATAACAGCTAAAACAAATTATAAGAAAAGTATAAAATGTTGCCAGGTGAAAAAATATTTTATAGGTGTTAAAAATCAATTTGCTAAGATCCTTGTAACAAAATAAAATATATAGATAATTTGAAGAGCAGTTCTCACCTTCCATAATATCTTTACATGATCGGGATGGAGTTTTGTCCAATCTCGGGTATTTATTTTAGGACCTTCGGTACATTTATCATAATCTCTTTTTCTTTTAAAGCCAACTAAGCGCCCTAAATGCGATTACATTTTTCTTACTCCTTTCCTAATTAGGAAGCTAAGCTTCAACGAAGTCTAAGTCTTAACGCCTTTCTATTCCTTTTCTGAATCCTAGTTAGGTTCCTAAATTTTGTAGTGTATTACATCTTTTACTTTACCTTGGTTTGTTAGCTTTAGGTTCAGGAGAAAGTACAGATTGGCGGCAGGCTCTAAAGTTGTGGAATTATTGCTGTCGTCTTGCCAGATACATGCTGGATGAAGGACTATTAGATCGACATGACTTTCTTACCTGGATTATAGAGCTGCTTGATAAAAGGACACCCGAAGATGGCCTTCTGAGGTAAAAATTATGAATATGAACTTAGTTTGGGTGTTGCCATAGAAATTAATTTACATCCTTGTGTTGATTTCGCAATATGTCTGTACACAACATGTACATAGTATGATCAGCTGCTTTATTTGGTTTTACATGATTGGAGTGCCATGAAAAAATTGTAATTTAGAAATAAATCAACCCTTATTTCCAATTGCATCAGCTTGTGTAGTAAAAATCTAATAAGGGATTTAAAAAGTTTATTTTTAAGTATATGAATTTAAATTTTTGGAATGTACATTTGTTGTTGTAATTAATAATGATATGAAAATAATTGTTATATATTTACTACCTCACGCACCAGCCTACTATTGTATGTCTTCTGCAGGCTTTTTCTACCACTAGCCTTACAACACATGAGTGAATTTGTGTGCTGTGAAGGTCTTTCACGCCGCCTAGCGACCACATGCGCCAAAAAAGCAGCGGCCATCTGCTCTGTACTATCTGATACTACTCTTCGTACACTGAACCAGCCAGTGGTGTTTTCTAAGGATACTGACAGAAATGGTATTTATGCTGTATTTATAACATGTGGTTTTTAAGTATCTTACATTTTAATATGATATTCTTTTTGCTAATTACGTCTACTGTGAAAACAGATATTTTTATTAATATAACGATATAATATTCTAGTGCTCAAATAAAGTAAAATTGGATACAGTGTAACTGCCAATACATACAAGTAATGCAAAACAATAGTTTGTGTTTTTTGCTTAGCTATTTATTTTTGAATTTAAATCAACAGCTTGAACGCCGTATAATGTGGTCATCAATGTTACGAATAATAAATTGTTGTTGATTTTTGAAATTTCATGCGCATCCTCGACTATATTTTTCGAATATAAATTATTGTATATTTTTGTGGTGCTAAAATTATAGCTTTTTTGACATATCATTATGAAGTTTTAAATGTTAATATTTTTGTTATCTATTGGATACTAAAGATAAGGGATAAATAAGTTATCAAAGACAATGCAATTTAAATATTCTGCAGAATTAGTAAATTTCTACATTACATTACATACATTGCATTACGTACATTCTACTTTTTGATAATGTGAATAGAATAGATAAAGTAGATTTTTTTTAAATGTGTGTGCTTACAAAATAATGTATAAATTTAACGCTAATTTCAATGAAGAACAGTTAATGCCACTCTCATATAAATTTATGACTTGATTCGAATTTCCCGAGCGCATAATTTTGAAAGCCAATTTACATTTATTCTAAAATGGTAAAACGTTACATGAAAATTATGCCAATAAATTACTTTTCCTTTTTAGGGTTCCGTAGTCAACTAGGAACCCTTATAGTTTCGCCATGTCTGTCTGTCCGTCTGTCCGTCCTCGCTTAAGAGCCCAGTCTTTCAGAGCAAAACAGAAAAATTGCGTTCTGGTGACACATCTACACCCTCCCTGCCCCGCCACTTCATGTACCGCCACCGCAGTTATCTTTCTGGCCGTAGCGTGGAAAGTTGCTCTACTAAGATTTTCCAGTATCAATTTATCTAATATACAGGATTATTGATAATTAGCTAACAAATTTTCACATACAGATTTTCTACCTCGTATCTATTTTTGTTCCATGCTTTTATTACAAAATTCGTTACACAAAAAAAAATATTTTAAGTTTGTATAATTTTTGTTGTTTTGTTGAAAAGGTTTCTAAAAGATAATCATCTAGAACCTGTATAACATGTACTCGTATTATTGATTATTCAAATGAATCTGGCAAGTGCTAGAATGAGTCGTGCACTGAGGGTTTCGTAATAAGTCGATGACACTATCGAAAATCCGTCAAGTACGTCAAGTAGTTCTAAATACTAAAATAGATTAAAAAAAAAACTCAAAATAATTTCTATATAAGTACAAACAGTCCACTATCACACATTTTTATAGTTTCTCATTAAAGTATAATGTAACTTTGTATAGCATTTACCTATATGCATTACAAATATGCAACTCATTTATAAACTATTCTTAAAAGTACCTACCTAATTATATACCTAATATTTAACCAAGTGCTCACACATATGCACGTTGTTAACTATTTTACTATGAAACACAAAAAAACTTACCTTTGAATTCTATTTCTGTTCATTGCTTCAACGTTTGATTTCAATTTTCGTTTTCTGGTACAAGCATATTTTTTACGTTTATGGTCCATATCGAAATTAAAAGTTATAAAACAAATACAAAATGATTTATAAACCCTTAAAGAATTATATGCAAAAAATAATAAAGTAGAGCAACTTTCAATTCGTAACAATGCGCAACCAAGATTAGGGAAAGAGAGAGAAAGAGGAATGTTAGAGCGAGAGGAAGTGCAAAAATTTGGCACAGACAAGACGTCTGAACGCTACAGCCGCTCAGCGGCTACTAAGGAATATTACCCGCAATTATTGTTTATAAAGTCAATATTTTATAGGTCGATCGAAATAATTATTAATTTTGAAATAAAGTGGTTTAAATTATTATTTTTTAATATTTGTCTAATTAAACACCTGCCCTTGAGAAAAAAATAATTATAGCATAAATATTTTCAGCTATTGCTATGAAACAAATAGTTTTTTATGAGGCGAAAACAGCGAAATTTAACGAAATTGAGACCTCTTATTTAAGACAATGAAAGATATTTAGAAAAAAAGAAACAGCGCATTTTGGAGATGAAGATGTTTAGCTATTAACGCGCTGAATAGATTTCGCCTTTTTATTATCGATTTCCTTATAATGGTACACGAACAAAGCTCGAAATTGCGTTGGGTGCGAGAGAGCTCTATTTACCGTTTGATTTATCTAACATAGACCACATAGATGAACCAAAAAAAAATTTAGCCATTACTTATAATCTGGGTATTTATGTGTTATCAAAATATTTTACTCTGAAACAATAATTTGCTGTAAAAAAAGAAATCAAAGTGGCGTTAATGATTCGATGTGAGTCAACTTTAAAAGACTGTAGCCTTAATCTCTGTGACCTTTAGCACTAGAAAGCTGAAATTTGGTACCAATATGTGTATCAATCACGCCGACAAAGTGGTAAAATAAAAATCCCCTAAACCCTAACGTGTGATATATTGTTGGAAAGGTATTTAAAAATAAATAGGGGTTTACTAAAATCATTTTTTGATAATGTCAATAATTTCGGAAATAATCGCTCCAAAAGTAAAAAACAATGTGTCCCCTCCCCCTCTAACTTTGAACCGTAAGTTTAGAAAATATGAAACAATTTGAAAAGTAGAACTTTATAAGGACTTCCTAGGAAAATCATTTTGAACTTGGATGGAAACAACAGTACCCACTACCGGGAGCAGTTGCAGGAGCGCGGAGCGCTGCTGGAGCGCGAACATAATGGATACCCACCTTTAAACTCATAAGTGGGAACACTTATTGTGACGGACGGGAAACTACGGAAACCTACACTGAGCGTGGCCCGACACGCTCTTGGCCGGTTTTATTACGTAATAGAGCCATGCTGCAGCATATATTATGTTTGTAGCAAGAATGAGTCGGCTTGACTAGAGAGGGACCTTGCTCTCACAGAACACCAGTGTAGAATAGATGATGCTGTGTTTCGTATGGTGAGTTTAGAGAACCGGAGACCATTTTTACTGGAAACAAGGTATTCTAGCTTAGTCCTTAGAGGTGAAAACGCATCTGCTTATTGATTCTTAATTGAAGATATAATGTAGATGTCTATGGGCCACAGTATACCCCTTAACAAAAGCACCATTTTTTCCAAATTATTATTTATTTAAATTCCAAATTATTATTTATTTTATTTTAAAATATTTTTAGTTCTCTTTTTGAATTTTAATTTTTATTAATTTAAACTATTTTAAATTAAAACTTGTTATTTTGTATTTTAAAATTATTATATGCAAAGTTAGTACTAATAGGTTAAAGATTGAGTTGAACATAAAATGTTGCTTTTTTTAGAAGTAAACGGTGCACCTATGTCGCCAGCAACGGAAAACGCCAACGGCGATGTAAAACCAAATGTTTCCCAAATAAAACGCTCAGCAACCCCTGCTGATCAGAGTCAAGGCACACCTAACCCAAATCACTCTATTGGGACTCCGAATCCAAATCATTCCATAGGCACGCCAATCCCAATGGGCACCCCTAATCCTTCACAACCCATGGATGTGCAAGTGAAAGAAGAGAGTGGATCACCACCTAGAGACACAAAGGCAGCAATAAACAATGTGATTACAGCAGCCCTGAATCCTGTCCAAGTAGGATTCGGCGAAATATTGAACTGTGCCTATCATAGAGATACTATAATACAACTAGCTACAATATTGCAGGTTTGTAATAACAAATAGCTTTATTTAATTATTATACTATGTTTCATAATATTAAGGCTATGATATATTAGCAATTCAGAGAGACATACAGAACCTCTTTCTACATCTCACTAATCTGAGGCAATAGAAATACATACGCATCACCACAATTGCAAATCCAATTCATTAAATTAGTCATGAATATAGTAAGTAAATGAAAATGACTACTCCATATGAAAAAATTTCACTACTTCTTTTTAATAATTTACCAATAGACAAGGAATCCTTAAAAGATTTACCCATATTTACCAAGCTGGCTGTGAGATTATCTCACAGCTTCAGGTGGTTGTTTAGCTATTACCAGTCATTGGGATTGAGAGAGTAGATTTTTCTTAACTAAATACCGAGTAAAGTGCATACAACGCAATTAATTTTCAGATAATATGCATCGAGTGTCCAACTGCAATGGTCTGGTCCGGTTGTGGATCTTCTATGCAAAGTTCTCCTCTAGATTTGCTACCAATACCCCCATCAGCTTTGCCTATGCCGCACATGGACTCCGAAATTACAGAACATCATAGAAAATTGGTAAGAACAGCATAAAAGCATGGTTTCAAAATTACGTGTGTCGTTTTTTTTTTCTACCGACTCCAAAAAAAGAGGAGGTTCTCAATTCGACTGTTTTTTTTTTGGTGTTACTTCAGAACTTTTGTCTGTTTGAATCAATTTTGATGATTCTTCTTTTATTTGAAAACTGGTGCTTCTCATGTGGTCCCATATAAATTTGATCTAGATCTGACCTGTAGTTTTTGAGTTATCCTTAGCAATGCGTATTTAATTAACTTCAACTACATTGATGATGTTCTCATTTTATTTATATTGAAGTCGTTTGTACAAAATTTTAGATTTTACCACTTGTTTTGTTTTTATAAATTGTCTTGAATGATATAGTAAAATGTTATTAAGTAACACTTTTTAGTAACACGTTTTTCACACTACACACACCGCTTTAGAAAATATTTCTGTCGTGGAAATAACCAGCAAAAATCATAGTGGCGAATAAAAAATAAAACAATATTAAACTAAGTACAAAGAACTAAAAAGAAATTTCTTGTAACTTGTAAGATCTTACGCTGTTATTCTCCTATGTGAGCATGGTCATTCCGCAGTTGAAGCGACTCTTTCAATTTGCGTTTATAATACAGCTATAGCATTGCTTTACCGAAATTAATTAATTTGTTACTATTGGAAAGATAAACTTGTTTTTCTCCAGGTTTATGAAGCCGAACAAGAAATCGCGGCGAGAAGTAAAAAAGCTGAAAGCAAATGGTGTACTGACAAATGGCAAACAAGTTCGCAAGGTAGAACTTAATTCTAGTTCCCTAGTATAATATTTTTATTGTTACTTACATATTTGACCATTCATATAGAGTAGTGATGGTGTAGAAGAACAGAAGATCAGAAGATGGGCTGTAACATCATCCTGTAACAATACAAAACTATGAAAAACTACGGTTGCCAACCTACTGGCCAAGCGTGGCAACATCCTCCGTATGAGGCGATCTATGGGTGAAGCCTATGTTCGGCAAAGGACTTTTTAGACTGTAATGGATTACATATCTAAAGTGAAAGCCTGTGTAAGTCCCACTGCTGGGCACATGGCTCCCCTCATTACTGAAAGGTTTTCAGGACAAGAAAAAGTCTGAAATGCAAGTATCCCCCAATGTTTTACTGGTGAGCATAGTGATCAAGTAAAATTTTCAATAAACAATTTCCAAGTGCAGAGATCAAAATTTGATTGCCATTGTACTGTGATAAAGCGTTTGTTTATTCTTTGAGCTACCTTAGACTTTTTTTTATATGATAGGGTGACAAGCGAGCACACAGTCCACTTGATGGTAAGTGGTTGCTGTGGCCCATAGACATCTACATTTATCCTCGATTACGTATCAAAATGCAAATTCGTCACCTGTGAGGACTTGATGGAATGCCTCGTTTCCAGTAAAAAGAGTCTTCGGTTCTCTACACTCACTATACGATACACAGCAGCATTAAGCTAATATTTGACGCTGGTATTCTGTGAGAGTGTGGTCCTTCCCCGGTCGAGCCGACCCATTCGTGCTACAACTATACTACTTATATACCTGCAGTATGGCTCTACCACATATAGAACTCTTTACGACTAAAGTTATATTAAAATAATGTTAAAGTTGAATTTTTTTTAAAGTTATTTAACATTTTCTTACATCTTCGATCATATTGTGATTCCAATAAATTTAATTTCAGTTTGTCTTTTTTTTTAATTAAAATTAATGTTATTTCTTCAGCTCGTGTGTTAGCTGTCTTGGAAGCGTTGGACCGCCATTGTTTTGATCGCGTAGATCCAAACAATAATCTCGATACTCTATACAAAGAAGTTTTTGCTAATTGCACGCCTCCGTCGAAAGATTCGCCTACTGATGCAAAAGATCCGGTAAGCTTTGAACTTTCACAATGAGTGACATTAGCTGTATTGTGTGAATCTTCATTCAAAAATTGAACGACCCCGAGTTTCGTTCGATAGTACTCTGGAGTGGTTGGTGGTAGAATTTGAGCTTTGAATTCAAGTATCCTATGTCCAGCTATAGGCTTTGAAAAGGGTGATGATTGTGATATGAAGAGAATAGTTTAAAATGTAAAGTTACAGCCTATATACGTCCCACTGCTGGGCACAGGCCTCCGTTCATTTCTGAGAGGGTTTTAGGGCAAGGAAGTGTCCGCCGCGCTGCCCCAATGCGTGTTGGCGAACTTCACATGTCTTCGAAATATTTTTTTTTCTTATTTCTCTGACATGCAGGTTTCCTCACGATGTTTCATTCATCGCCGAGCGCGTGGTAAATCAGCACTTAAAATTGCAATTAACAATTTCATTGGTGACTGCAGGGATCGAACCCGGTTTGCTCGCGTACTGTGAAATTTACAGCGAGCGATCACCATCTGAAATACCACGGCTCTAGTTTAAAATGAACCTAAACAAATTAAAATTTATTTTTTATTTTTAGAAAGTAAGCATAAGTCCCCTAAGACTTCAAAACCCTAAGACTTCAAAAAAGGAGGAAATTCTCAATACAATTGTATGAAATTTTTTCTGTGTGTGTTAAACTTTATTATCGTCAATTGTGAAACAATTTTAATTAATATTTCTTTATTAAAAAGGTTGTACCTCCAGGGTGGTGCCATATATATAATTTGAAAAAAAAAACCTGGAAAATAGGGAATGATGTTTTTATTGTACTTATTTAGACAACATTCTAGTTGTATGCTTGCTTGCTTGCGAGTTCTCAGTCTATTCAAAAGGGAAAAAATAAAATTTTTTCGTGAAAAGTAATAACCGACTTCAAAGAACTAAAAGTTATTTTATTTTTTGTTGTTTTTCATAGTCCTTTTTTACATTTTGTTAAAAGTTTAATTTTAGGATTTTAACTAATGAAACAATTTTACCGCTGAGTACGTTGTAGTCAGCATTTGAAATTGCAATTAACAATTTAATTAGTGCCGGCGAGGACCGACTCCAAGTTGTTCGCGTACTGTGGAATTTATAATACACTATAGAATGGCTGTCAACCTTACTTTGTAGGAGGATTGGCGTCGCCGGGAGCACACATACAAGCAATAACGTCGTATTATCAGTTATCACTACTACGAACACATTTTAGACTTTTGAATAATGTTTTTGACCTGAATATTTCTTTATTTTTGTTTCTAATATTCACAAAATATAAATAGTTTCGACTTACTGGTTGTAGAATATGTCTCCTCTATTTAAATTCCATTTCCCTCTGTGCTTTCGACACGTTATTATTGCACAATTTGCCATTTTTTAAATAATTTGCATGCAACGACGCTTGACACGAAAATTGGAAACGATTGATTGTGTTGACGTTTATACGTGTGAATTGTCGTGTTAGTGACATGTTAGTGGCTACACGGGCTCCGCCCACTCCCTCGTTCTATTATGTATGTTGTAGTATTCTATGGGAATTTACTACGAGCCCTTATCCCTTTAGCTACCAAGGCTCTCAAACTAAAGGTTATTATAGTAGAGAAAAAAACTTATCTGGGTAAAAAAGTTAAATAAGACGAGAAATTTTTTTAACCACATCCTGCCATTAACAGAGTGTAGCATACAAATATTTGTACAAAATAAATTCATACATATATTTTCTATAAATCATACACTCCAAAACTCTCCCTAACCTCCTACTGGGGCAGTAGGGTAAAGAGCAGTGAGGAGTTAAGGAGTGTGCGTGGGTGTGTGTGTTGCAGGAGTGGGCGGGCTCGTACGCGGTGGTGCGCGTGCTGTGCGAGTGGGCGGTGTGCGGCGCGCGCTGGGGCGAGCACCGCGCCATGGCGGCCGCCGCGCTGCTCGACCGCCGCCAACAGCTGCTGCACCTGCAACACGACCACCACGCCTCCGGTGACCATGCCATACCTCACTCTGTTTCTGAGGCCGTTAGGCTTCTATGTATACCCTTAGCCTCATAATAATTCACAGCAGTAGTTTTCGTTTTTTATTTATACTAGTGGTCGGAATTCGACCGTAATTCATTAAAGAATCATGTCCAGTCTTGACCTGAAAATTTCCTAACGCGTCGAGTGATATAAAATATTTTATAAAATTGCATAGTTTTTGCTTATTTCGTATCGCATAATTAAATTTTCTCTAATCAAATCGAACCAAAATTAATAACTTTTGGAGTACTGCAAGGTTCCATATTAGGACCGCTGCTTTTTCTGATTTACATCAATAGTATTAAGGATATAGGATTAAAAGGTAATATTAAATTATATGCAGACGAACCAAGTCTGTTTTACTATGGATATTCAATTGACGAATTGATTACCGATGCCCAATCAGATCTCAACACATTGAATATGTGGTTTCAATCTAACCGTTTAACTAGAAATATTACTAAACAACACGTAATTTTTACATCAAAAAAATAAAAAAAAATGGTAACTATAAGCCTCTCACAATAAATAGTGAACCAATTTCTAAAGTTATCTACTTTGATGAAAAATACCTTGGTCTCCGGTTGGATAATCATGACATTTAAGTCTCATATAAATAATATTAAATCTAAATTGGTTTCTCTCACTGGCGCACTGCGAAATATAGTAAAATGTTTCCCACGTAGTGTGCGTTACACTATTTATAATTCATTAGTCAAACCACATATTGAATACCTTATAGAAGTCTGGGGCAAGCAAAAACCAATATAGAAACAATACAGGTAGCACAGAATAAACTGATTAAGGTACTATTTAATTATGACTTTCTTACTCCAACAGCCCAAGTTTATAAGGACACTAAAATCATGAATATATCACTAACATATAAATATTATACTTGCATTTTAGTACGTAAAATACTAAATAAAAGCATTCACACAGAATTAAGTACAGCAGCAAAAACCAATATAGAAACAATACAGGTAGCACAGAATAAACTGATTAAGGTACTATTTAATTACGACTTTCTTATTCCAACAGCCCAAGTTTATAAGGACACTAAAATCATGAATATATCACTAACATATAAATATTATACTTGCATTTTAGTACGTAAAATACTGAATAAAAGCTTCACACAGAATTAAGTTTTACAAAAAATAAACCTATAACAAAAGTAAGACCCAAGACTTTACAGAGAATTAAAACTATGCACAGCACGTACTAACTACGGTAAAAAATTTATTTTAAATGAAGGTGCCTTAATCTACAACAAACTATCAAAAGAGATAAGGGATGCCAAATCTATGACAACCTTTAAAAGATTACTAAAACATTATTTTCTAAACACATAATCAAGGTAGTTTAATTCTTAAAAATGAAATTGTGCTTAATTTGATTGGGTGGTTATAATATTAGTAGGTAAATTAAAATGCTAAAATGTTAATAAATTAGCATAATATCAGCTTGGATCTAATAAAATTATTATTAATAAGCCTTACTTTTATAGTAATATAAATATGTGTCTATATGTTGTATATATATGTGTGTACATATGTATATAAAATATAATTAAATATATATGTATGTATGTACTAATAACTAATAAAAAAGCAAATAAAACAAAACATTAAAAAAGGACTTCTTAATAAGTATACATATAAATACAGATATAGTTATTAAATTTCATTAGGTCATTTACCAATCGTCAATCAAAAATCTTCACTTCCAGTCTCTATTGTTCAACGTAAATTCGATTAAAGGAAGCTAAAAGTCGGTATATGAATAATTTTGCACTCTAAATAAAGTAACCGTCATGAATGTTTATCTTAATCTTTGGTAGCCTTCTTTTATTATTTTACTATGTACTCATAACTTTTTAACATTATTTGCTTAGACTATAAAAAATGTTGTATTTTTATTTTGTTATCAGTTTGTTTGTGTGTCGTGCCGTTTAATATAAAATTATGTTAGTGTTGTACATTTCTCATGTAAGTGAATTTTAATTCTTTTGAGAAATAAATATCTTAAATCATAAAATAAAGCTAAGAATAAAGCAATATTACTATATTTATCGTTCTCAATGGTCTTTTGGAGACGAAACGTGTTTATCAATGGCTCAAAGGCCCAGAAACCGTGGCAAACTATATAAAACAAACGTGTTTTACACGTTTCGTTTCAGACTACGATAACCTTGATCATTCGTCATGTGGTTTATGAATGTTCAAAATATCCAATTGCTTTTTTATAAGTTATTAATTTATGATTAGATACGATTTTTAATGATTTTGTACTATGGCGGGGAAAGAAAAAGAAAAAGAAGTAAGACGGACCTTATCTGACTGCTGTTATAACCTCAAAAACTTATATACTCTCTAAATGAAAAGATGATAAGTTATTATGTTATTATAAACAATAATTGTTTTTATACAACACTAGTTGTTGGTAGACGCGACGTGTTAAAGGAATCAAGTGACAGCTCAATCAATATATGAAAAGTGAGCATGATTATTATTTGTAGATTAAACAAGCTTTATTTCAGTTTCAACTGCGAGTGAATATATAAAACACATATTTTATATACAAAGTAGACGCTTTTTGACTTTTTTTCTAAAGCGTGATGATTATATAATGTGACTCTATTCTGAGAACATTAGCACTGTTAACGGAAACAATGCACGCCTCACAACGCGCGGGCGTGTTTTACTCTCGACATGCCGCTATGTGATGATTTTGCAATATAAATTTGACATTAAATCAATAAAAAGGGAGGATAAAAGGATAAAAGGATTTTTTGAAAACTAGACGCATTAAATTATAAAGTCAGCGAATTTTTTTTTATTCATATGTTTAGTTATATTTACAAAAAATGTAGTTAAAAAATTATTAATACGGTTGTCAGTTAGTCTGTGCACTTGTTTGTCTTCACGTTTCAGAAAAATATACGAAACGAAATTAAATAAATCCTTCTGAATAAATTTCGATTTATCCTAAGGACGATCCCTATTGCTGGTTGTTATCATACTCATAAACGTTTAAAAAATATTTATTTATTTTCACCAAATTGAAACGAATAAAAACGCTCATAAGGCGTTCCATATTATTTTATTTTATATAATGTTTAATAAACAATAACACATTTGAAAAAAAAATCGCTTTTTGCACTTTTTCTCTCACTTTTTTACTCACTTAATAGCCATGGGTAATACATGTGGTGATGAATCTTTTTCGCCATCTACCCATGATACACACGGGGCGCATTATTTATTGTATTTTTATTTCAGGTTCAGATGATAAAGAATCTATTAGTTCGGGCACGGGTCTCTACAACGGGCCGCCAATCTTCCAAAATTTGCTCCTACGGTTTTTAGACAACGACGCACCAGTACTAGGTATCTAGACGTGACAACGTATTATAACGCTACTATTTTTCTAGAAAGGAAAAATGTTGACCTGTCAATTTTTTAAATTATTTCAGATGAGAGCCCAAACGCGTCACCAGGAAACAGACAGCAGTTCGCGAACTTGGTGCACCTCTTTGGCGAACTCATTCGTAGAGATGTGTTTTCACACGACGCTTATATGTGCACGCTGATTTCAAGAGGTATTATGACGTGATGATTTATTAGTTTACGCGAATACGTAGTGTATTGAATGATACACATTTTTACCCTGGTAGCCTTGCAGCACGCAAGGTGCTCGAGATTTCGGTAATATAAAAATCAAATAAAATAACCGAAATATATTACGTAAAAATCAATTTCAATTAAGGTTTCATTTTAATTATAATTTTTGTGCTACGTTACCTGCTGTAGCTGTAATTATTCTTCATTTCCGAAATAGATATTTTAGGTTTCATTGGTGTCTTCTCGCTTGCTTAAGTCCGAAGTCGTAGGCTTCGATAATAAACTACTCAAATTACAAAAAATATTTTTTATTAATTTCGTTTTAATTATCAAAAACTGTACATGCATAATACTATTTCAGGTGACCTCATCTCGCCTACGGAACCCACGTCGACGGGTAGTAGCGGAAGCCATACGGTGGCGCAACCAGCAAACAGTACCGGCACCAATCATAACATGGACGATGACATATTTGCGGGCATTGATCTTAAACCAAAAATGGAGGTAGTTTATTCATTCTTAAATATGTATAAAAGTACCTATTTGGTTTTCACTTTTTTATATGTAAATGCTTTAAATCAATAAACTTATACTACCTTAGGAAAACGTAAGAATGGACTTGGATGATTCTAAAATCGATGATGACCTCGACAAACTTCTACAACACATAAAAGAGGACCAACAGAACTCTATGGACGCTCCCGACAGCCCTAAGGATCCTGGTGAACCCTCACACGGGTAATTAACGGAATTTCAATATTATATTTATTATATTTTAATAACAAATTTCTATTGTATATGTAGTTCTAACGATTTTTTTTACTGATATATTTTTATATTTGTCCCTTAATATGGTAAAAATTTTATGAATGATTACAGTGTAAATTCGCCAATGATGGGACCAAGTGGGATGAGTATTACCAGCATGCAGAGTATAGGAATGGGACCAATGTCTGTACCAGGTTAATAGTTTTTTTTTACAATTACGATTTATCCTTTCTATATTTTCCTCTTATTTCTTTAGAATTTTCCAATTAATGATGATGTAAACAAATAATTTGTTTAAGCATATCAGAATTTGTCAGTAGCTAGGAAAATACTAGATGGTTCCTTTTCGGTCTAGGTGACCGCCTGCATTTGTACATGCTGGCAGATTATTCACTCCTTTGCTATACGCCTTACCCTAGGCCTAAGCAAACCGCTCGGTTCAAAAACGTGCTATTTCGGCAACAAAAGCCCGCAGACTGGCCGAGAGCATCTGGTTGTCCGGAAGAAGAAGGAATTAAGTTATGCAGTTCCTGAGTACCGACTTGCCGATTTCCTTTAACTAGGTAAAGATCTAAAAAGCCCGATGGCAGGCATTTCCACTGAGTCAGGAACTGCTAGGTGGTATTTTGAAGTACCAGCCCATACGTAGCATCAATACTCCACGCACTACCGAACTTGTGCTTTATATAGTCAACAGCTAAACCGGGTCAAGCACTGCCGAAGCTGCACAGTAAGCTGGCAGCAGCGAGCAGCTGCTTTGGGTCTAGACTCAACGAACCGATCATTGTTCTGGTTCGAGGAAATTTTAAATCCCGGTGTCAGAAGGTGGTTTGTAAATTCCATTAATATATCTCGCAAGCAAGGAGCCAAGGTGAGCTGGTTCCATTTGAAAATGAACACTTGTTTTTTGGAGGCGTTTAATTTTAAAAGATTAGCATCACCGCATTTTGGAACTGTCTGTAGAGTGAAATTCATACACTCAACCATAGCTTCTTAGTTTGATTGAATTTGATCTCGACTGGACCGAGCGCTCGGATGGTATCTCTCTACAACTGTGATATCATCTGCGTAACCATAGCAGCCAGACATAAGCAGGTCGTTGAGATGCAATCCCTGAGAAATTTTGATGTTAGTTGTCTGAGACCGTTCGCAAAGCGTTAAATAAGGGTTGTGCCACTGTAGCTAGAGGGTTTTTATTTCGCAAACTTTCACCATAATTCTTTTATATAATAATTATTTTATTGTTTTCAAAATCACTCTCAACGTGTTTCACGGCGACTTTATCTAGGTTATATTTACTAAATTATTTTAGAGAACGTGAGTAGTTCAGGTTCTTAATACTGCAGTTTCATCAATTACTCTAGTCACCACAAATATTAAATTACTTAGCATACTTCAACTCACAGATCACCCAGCCTACGAGACATGAAACCATTACGATTCTTTAATTAAATTAGTCTGTCAAGGTAGAAGAAAGAAACGTGTGCGGGCGGCGCGGGAGACGTAACTTGTTGTGAGAGACAATTGTGAGAGACAGAGACGCAACTATAATACTGCGTGCTTGACAAGGATAGCCTCAGAACTACGACCAGAATATGTTAAACACTCACGTTTTTAGTATTTTAAGATTATTAAATGTTGCATTTACCGGTAAAACGTGATTTTATCCTTCTTGAAATTATGTTTCCTGCTATCACTACCACTTTACTGCGCAAGTAGGCATATTTTACTGTTTGATATGTGAGGGACAGAGACGCAACTATAATACTGCGTGCTTGACAAGGACAGCCTTTTTTTTATAGATGAGGGGGCAAACGAGCATGCGGCTCACCTGATGTTAAGTGACTACCGCCGCCCATGATCAACCGCTACACCAGGGGAATTGCAGGTGCGTTGCCGGCCCTTTAGAAAGGAGTAAGCTCTTTTCTTGAAGGTCCCCGGGTCGTATCGGTTCGGAAAAATCGCCGGTGGTAAACTATTCCACAGAGAGGTTGTACGCGGAAGAAAACTCCTTTTGAAACGTACTGTGGTGGACCGCCAAGCATCCAGATGGTGTGGATGGTATCGGGACGTTTGCCGCGTAGTGCGTTCACGAAATTTGGCGGCTGGAATTAATCCGAACAATTCCTCAGAGCACTCTCCATAGTATATGCGAAAGAAAATACAAAGAGATGGAACATCTCTTCGCAGTGCCAGTGAATCGAGTCGATCGGAAAGCACTCGGTCGTCGACGATTCGAGCCGCTCTGAGCTGGATGCAGTCAAGTGGAAGGAGCTGGTACTGGGGAGCCCCAGCCCAGAGATGGGAACAGTATTCCATGTGCGGCCGAACCTGCGCCTTGTAAAGTTGCTGGCGGTGTGCTGGCATGAAACACTGTCCCGCTCTGCTGAGCACGCCAAGCTTTTTTAGAGGCCAATTTGGCCTTCTCTTCCAAGTGACCACGAAACTGCACGTCGCTCGATATGTCGACGCCGAGGATTCCGATACTGGCTGAGGCAACAAGGGGAGTGCCTTGAAACTGAGGAGATACGACAAAGGGGTTCTTTTTAGCGGTTAACGCGCAAACTTGTGTCTTCAGGGGGTTAAACTGGACTAGATTTAGTCGCCCCCAATCCGAGACTGTTCAGCAAAGACTCGACTTCAGACACAAGTTTGTCCCGGCATTCGGAGACGTTTTCCCGATAAATATTAGCTCGGCCGGTGTAAAGAGCATCACCAGTGCTGTCATCTGTATAGCAATGAATGTTACGGGTTTGCAACATATCATTGATATGCGGAAGAAACAGCGTTGGCGATAGCACGCAGCCTTGTGGAACACCAGCATTAATAGGCTTGCAATCGGAGCTTGCACCGTCTACAATGACCTTGATGCTCCGATCTGCAAGAAAGCTGGTGATCCAATCGCACAATTTTCCAGAAGCCCATAGGAAGGGAGCTTCGAAAGAAGCGCTTTGTGCCAAACCCGATCGAAGGCCTTCGCAATGTCCAAACTAACGGCCAATGCCTCCCCCTTGGACTCTACTGCCTCCGCCCATCTGTGAGTTAGGTAGACCAGAAGGTCACCAGCTGACCGACCACGGCGAATACCGTATTGGCGGTCACTAATCAGCTGGTGATCCTCAAGGTACCTCATGAGCTGGCAGTTTACAATGGACTCCATTGTTCTGGAGAACAAGGAGGTGATGGCGATAGGCCGGTAGTTGGACGGGTCTGAGCGGTCGCCTTTTTTAGGGATCGGGTGGATGAAAGCCGTCTTCCATGATTTTGGGACTACGCCTAGGGAGTGGTAGTACCGGAAAAGACGCGTTGAAACCGGTACCAACTCTGGAGCACACGTCCTCAGCACAATTGGGGGGATTCCGTCAGGCCCACTCGGCTTGTGTATGTCCAGGGAGAGGAGTGCTTTGCGAACCGAGCGCTGTGTGAACTGCACTTCCGGCATGGAGCACTCATACCGCGGGATGGTCGGCGGCGTACTCCCCCCGTCATCGAGAGTCGAGTTGGACGCAAAGAAAGAGCCTAGAAGATCGGCTTTCTCCTTTGCGGTATGGGCCAGTGAGTCGTCCTCCCTGTACAGAGATGGAAGAGATGGCTGACAGAAATTCCCCTGGACAGCCTTGGGGAGAGACCAGAATGCACGGGTTCCAAAAGGAAGGCGAACTAGTTTCTCGCCAATTCTGCCTATGTGCTCTGACTTTGCCTTGGCAATGACTCTTTTGAAGGACCTAGAGGCGGAATTATACTTCTTTTTTTAGAGCGCTGGTGCTTACATCACAGGACGCTGATGCGTCAGCCCAGGCTCGGTAGCACTCTTGCTGCTTAGCTTATAGCATGATGCTATTTTACAGGAGCGACAAAACCATGGCTGAGATTGGCCTCCAATGGGCACCACAGAGGAAGAAATAAAAAGTTCCATACCCTGAAGTACCACATCAGCGACAGAATCCGCAACAACGTTGGGATCGTCCGGCGAGAAGCAAACCTGCCCCCAAGGGTAGGATGCAAAGAAAGACCGCATCCCATCCCAATCGGCTGACCTATAGTGCCAAAACGGCGGCAGCCTGCAGAATGCAACTGCGATTTCAGCGTGAGTGGCACCACACTCCGGACAAGACAATGGTCCGAGGAGCCTAAAGGGGCTTCGACGGAAATCTGATATCCGTCCGGGTGAGAGGTCAGCAGAAGGTCCAACAGGGAAGGTGCATGATCCTCCACATCTGGAATCCGCGTAGGCGAAGTAACCAGTTGTGTCAGACCATATGCCAAGGCAAAATCATGAACAGATCTCCCCGCATGATCGGTTAGATCGGTTAGCCTCAGAACTACGACCAGAATATGTTGAACCCTCACGTTTTTAGTATTTTAATATTATTAAATGTTGCATTTACCAGTGAAACGTGTACGTTACGTACGTTTTATCCTTCTTGAAATTATGTTTCCTGCTATCACTACCACTTTACTGCACAAGTAGGCATGTTTTACTGGTTTTTATTTTAAAAAATTGTAGCGCTAAGGACGCAGTGAGCAGGGCTGATGTCTGGTCATACTAAACAGGGTAGCGTTCGTGTTCAACTATACAGGCTCTGGTTGAGCAGATGAAGTACAGAAAGTTGTCGCCTTTCGTTACATGTCTCGTAGGTTGGGTGGTTTGTGCTTTAACTTCAGGCAACTGCTAAGTTCATTTCATACCCTCTAGCTACGCTGGCGTTTGGTGAATGTTGTTACTGCTTGATGGACATTTTTTCAACTATTCACCATGTGAGATGGTTCTCCTTCCCTCTACACTCCATGCTTTAATTTAAATGTTTATTATTATTATTTAAATTAACGCTCCTTTTAGGGTTTTAAGATGCGGCATCGGCTGATCGCAAGATACTCTTTTGTTTAAATTGTGAGGTGGCGACGTACTATCGCTGTCGTATCCAAAATTACGGCTTTTTGCATTTTGTTTCTCACCCTCACTGAGATGCCCAGCTTAGCTAAATTGTCAGTAAGGGATTTAGGAACAACTCCCGTGGTAGAGAGAATCAGCGGGATGATAAGTACCTGCTGCTGTCACCTTAACTGTCGGATGTCTTCAGCCAATCGCTGGTACTTAATCAACTTTTCAGTGCTGTACTTCTGCACATTATGCGAGTTTGGAATGCCAATATCCAGCAACCACGTCCGCTTCTCCTCTTTTTCTACTAATATTATGTCCGGTCGATTATGCTCAACGGTCCGGTCCGTTAAAACTGACCTGTCCCAATAAAGTTGGGCCGAATCATTCTCGAGTACCGGGGATGGATTGTATTTCCGGTAGGGTTCTGTCTCCTTAAGGAGACCGTGTTTTACTGCCAGCTCTTGGTGCACAATTTTTGCCACGTTGTCATGGCGCTGGGTGTACTCGGTTCCAGCAAGAGCCTGGCAGCCGCCAGTTATGTGCTGGATGGTCTCTGACTTTTGATGTCACCGTCGGCACTGGTCATCTTCGATACCTGTCTTGACAATGTACTTAAGATAATTTTTCGTAGGCACAACCTGATCCTGAAACGCCACCATGAATCCCTCAGTTTCAGCAAAGATCTCACCATGTCTGAGCCAGTTGTTCGACGCTTCAATGTCGACATGTGGTTGACTCAGTTCATTAGCGATTCGACCGTGAATAGGTTTTGAGGCCCATTGCTGGAGTTTGGCTTCTTTGTATTCAGCGTCAGCCTCTAACGGTGGAAAATTGTCGGCATGAGGGAGATCGAGCGTTGTTAGACGGTCATCAGCCTTTATCACTGCTTGATGCAGGGGAGAGGACGTTTGCGAAAGGAAATAACTTCGAAGACTCTGAATCTGCTTAGCACACAGTCTACGAATATCTATCAGTCCTCTACCGCCTTTGGTTCGAGATAGCGTTACCCGCTCAACGGCTGATTTTGGGTAATGTATAAGATATTTTGTAAGCATGACGCGAGTAGACCTCTCAATTTTCTCCAGTTCAGTATCTGACCGGTTAACTACTCCGAACGTGTAAGTTAATACCGGGATGGCTAAGGTCTTAATTGCTTTAGTGAGGTTGCGTCCATTTAGGCCTGAACTGAGGATTCTTTTAAGCCTTTGATTGTATACTTCAATCATCTTCGACCGAATTTCAAAGTGATTGATTCGAAGTGATTGGATGATGCCTAGATATTTATAGGTGTCATTTTCTGTCATCGCATCGATCTTTCCATCTCTCTGAAGGTCAAAACCTCTAGATGACTCGATTCGTCTACAGTAAACATTTACAGTTCTGCACTTTTCAAGTCCAAATGACATATTAATGTCACTAGAGAACTGTTTAGTGCAGTGAAGCAACGTTTGGAGCTGTCGTTCATTTGCCGCATAGATCTTAATGTCGTCCATATACATTAGGTGAGTCAACTTTCGGTGATATCCTTGAGCCCCTTTTATAAGATATCCATGTCCTTTTTTATTGAGGAGTGAAGAGAGGGGGTTGAGCGCGAGGCAGAACCATAAGGGGCTAAGGCCGTCTCCTTGAAAGATTCCTCTTCGTACGATTCAGATGAAGAGAAGTTGCCCACTTTGTCGTAAAATATTCTAAAAAAGTGACAACTTCAAGGTCGATCTTATAAAGTTTGAGTACCTCCCTCAACCAGGAATGCGGCACGGAGTCGAAAGCTTTCCTGTAATCAAATCATGTAGGCCATGTGGAGTTTCTTCGACTTTTGATACGCTTGCTCTGCGATAACTGAGCCTATCATGAGTATTATTGTTATTATTATTATTCTGTATTTGTTTTTGTTCTAAAGTGAGATGAATACAGAGTATCAAGAGTAGGACAATTGTAGGGTTTATTTATTATAATATTGTTACAAAGTTTAAAAAATATTTTACATTTTACACACACGCATACAAACATAGACACGTAAACATAAAACTCCCGGACCAGAGCAAAAATTATCATTTATCAGTGAGTTAATTTTCTGTTTAACTTTGTAATTGCGCCATCTAATACATTCTATAGGTAATAAAGTCATTTTATCGAACAAAAATTTATTGACTTTCAAGGTGGTAAGTACAATAAACCCTAGATGGCATAAACACAAAAACTTAAACATAAATCGGTCGGTATATTATGAATGGAATGGACAAATACGATTACTTTATTCAATATTATTATATATTTTATTGATTTAATGAATTTGCTTTTTTAATTTCATTCCTGACTATCCAATTTCATCTTACTACTTTATATTTTTTTTGTGTTTAGCCCATCTAGCATCCATTGTGCGTACCACCTTGAGAGTCTCATCAATTTTAGTTCGACTTAAATAAAATGAGAATGACTAGCTTAACCTGTAACTATAGAACGAAGTAGATGGCGCTATTTATTACAAAGCAAAGCAGTGTGGTGACTCTTGTAGTGTTTTTATTAATGCCTAGTCTAAAAATTTCCTTTCCTAGTCGAAAAATTTGACGCGGTATAAAAGTTGGAGGTCTTAAAAAGTCACCCAATTTTAAAAGTAATATTTTAAGAAAATGCTTTCATTTAAACTCATGTAACCTTTAGTGTTATATTATTCGTCAGAAGTATTAAGGATTGTAATCGTAGAAATAGATTACAATGGAATAAAAAAATACTCAAGAAGCCAGTTGCAAAATCTACATTTTATTATTTTCTAATAAAAGTCTAGTAAATATCCTTCATAATCGCCTTATTTCTGAGATAGCCTACTTAGCGACTAGTCGAAAATCAGAATTTCGGTTGCTCCGATTACTTTAGAGCTAGATAGCTAAAAATAGCTAAAAAACGACTAACTAAAGCAGTGCATGCATTCAAAAGTGTTGCCACACTTTCGAATGCATGCACTGCAGTGTGTACACTACAATAATAATAATTCATTCAGATTATTCGGGATTCGGTCGGAATTAGACTCATTCACAATTCACACCAATCAGTAGTTAAAAGGTTCCGTCAATTGTTTATGATTGGTTGTACCGGAACATTCAAAAACAGAAGAATGAATCATCAATATTTTTAGTGTACTAGCTCAAAGGAACGTAACATTAATGATTGACAAATCATGTCTAATATCAGCATTACTAGTATTCTTTAAAAAAATAGTTTAGATGTTTGGTGTCCGACAGGTATCCGCAGCAGCAGCGCGTGCGGCGGGGGCGTCGCGGGGGTCGGTATGGGCGGCGGGTTGGGGGGCGCGCCGCCCTCGCGCCACTACCACTACACCATGCACTTCCCGCTGCCGCCCGCCGAGCCCGACCACACGCCGCACGACGCCAACCAGCGGCACATCCTGCTCTACGGCGTCGGCCGCCAGCGGGACGATGCCAAACACGCCGTTAAGAAGATGACCAAAGGTCTCTCTCTCTCTCTATATATATATATTTGTATTATTAACCTCACAATTGATATGACTTTGGTCCTTAGGATGGAAATGCGTGTTTTTTCGAAAGATTAAGCTTTTTTCATTTATATATTTAGCTGCCTCTTATAATACTATCTCTATCGCTACCAATTTTACTATATCTCTACATAGTCTGTAGACTGATTTACACTTCGACAAGTACAGTAGCGAGTTGACTTGCGAACCTGGCGAGTTTAGTAGAAAATCTCTTTTGAACGGCAATAAGCGAGTTAAGTAGCAAGTTAACAATTAAGTTAAACGGGATAGCCGGCCGGGCTATTTTTCGGTAAGTGAGTGCGAAGTGCTGCTCGCGCCCTCGAAGTGCAACTAAGCTCGTCGCCATCGTGTGAAGGAGCGAGTTTAGTTCAGTGCATAAGTTGAGAGGACCCAACGTTTGCGCGCCAAAACGTACAATTGTACTTTTATAATTAAACTCGCCGCAAACTTGTACGGTACTATTTATTGAATATTTATACGTTTTATATTGAATTTTAACAATGAAATGAACCGTAGATATCACCTTTAAATTCGTACAGGAGTATTTAGAACACGAATGTTTATATAATAGTAGAAGTACAAATTATAAAATTAAACATGCTCGAGATGCTGCACTCATGAAAATCTTAAAAAGTTTTCCAACGACAACCAGTAATATATCTCTGGCTATATCATTTAATTCTTGACATAATCCTAGATCCATCTTAAACGAAAACAGGAAAAATTTGTAGTATTGAAACGTCACACTCAAACTCTATGAACTAACGTCCTTAACTAAACTCGCCACGGATACACTGTTTGAACGCTACTGCCCACTTAACCGTCTACTATCAACTGCTCTGTAACTAAACTCGCTGCTGTACTTGTCGAAGTGTAAATCGGTCTTAAAACAAAGTCGATTTCCTCCGTCTGTAGGTACGCTTAGATCTTTTAAACTACGCAACGGATTTTGATGCGGTTTTCATCAGTTGATAGAATGATTCAAGAGGAAGGTTTATATGTATAGTGGTTAAAAATGGAATCCGGGGCGGATCGCTAATTATCATCATACATTATCATTTAACATCACATGAAAACTCGTTTCGTTTTCAGAATAATTTAAGCTTCATGAATTTTTACAACATCTCATCAATCATCTTTAATTCAAGAATACATTACTCGATGAAAACATAGTATTTTTATTGATAATTCCTTCCAGAAATCTGCAAGTTGTTCTCCAAGAAATTCTCAATTGATGTAGCGGAAGGGGGGAAGATTAAGAAGCACTCACGAAGTGAATTTAATTTTGAATCTGTAACACAAAAATTTCAAGTAAGTTTGAATACGAACATATACGGTTGCTAATTATGAATAAAAATCAACAAGCAAAATGAAGTGCATGTTAATTGCGATCTTAATTTTTTATTGAAAATCATTATTCTCATGATAGTGTACTATTAACTTGTTCTTATTATTTACATTTTCTGATGATGCTGTGAGGCGAAATCAATCGATTTTTATAGCCATAAATTAAATTAAATGTATGTCAGTCCAAATTACGAAAATGTACTTGAAGTTGACAACAGTCTCAATTATAAATGAGATAACGCGTATGGTAGTGTAGTAAGTTGGGTGTGGCAGAAAAAGCACGAGAGTAGAATAAATGCTGTAGAAATGCAGCCGTAAAGGAGTATGTTAGGGCTGAATCTGAATGACAGGGTGGGAAATTGTGTGATAAGAGAAGAGTGTGGGTTGCAAGACGGTGTTGTGACCAGGATTAAGAAAGGTGTGCTTAAGTGGTTTGGTCATGTAGAAAGAATGAATGAGGAAAGAGTGACAAAACAAATCTATGTTGCAGAAGTGAATGGCAGAGTTGGGAAGGGACTCCCTAGACGAAAGATCGACTAAATTGGCGATATATTGGAAATGGCTCAAATTGAGAGTAACCTTAACCGACGAACATGTATGCTTAGATATATATGGATGTGGAGGCGAGTGAGGTGTGTCAATCGTGCCAAATGGAAGTCCGTAGTTTTTGCCTACCCCTCTGGATGACAGGCGTGAGTGTTTATGTATATGTAATATGTAATTTTCCCGCCCCCAAATTTCATAAACGCATTACGCGGCAAAACCTGCCGATACCATCCACACCATCTGGATGCTTGGTGGTCCACCAATGTACGTTTCACTAGGAGTTTTCGTCCGCGTACGACCTCTCTGTGGAATAATTTACCACCGGCGATTTTTCCGGACCGATACGTCCTGGGAACCTTCATGAAAAGAGCTTACTCATTTCTTAAGGGCCGGCAACGCACCTGCAATTCCCTTGGAGTTGCGGTTGGTCATTTGCTGCGGTAGTCACTTAACATCAGTTCGTCCTTTCGTTTGCGCCCTCTTCTATAAAAAAAACTATAACGTGTTTGCTGCCGGCAGGCGATGTCGATGTATGAGCAGGGCGCGGTGTCGTGGGCGGTGGGAGGCGCGGTGTGCGAGGCGCTGGCGGCGTACGCGGCCGGCGCCACCACCTACCTGCCGCAGCCCGAGCACGTTGCCTTCGCGCTCGACCTCATGGAGATCGCGCTCAACGTGCACGGCCTCATCGAAACTTGCATACAGGTATGAGTATCGTATCACTTTTGCTTCTTTTATAGCGACAACAGTTACGTCTACGCAGGATTTGGAGTAACTCACAGAGCCCAGCGGATTATTACGCTAAAGTTGCAAGGGTCTAACCCTTGCGACTTTTATTTCTCACGTCTAAGCAACTCCTTATATTCATTAAGACATAGGGCTTAGCCGTGAACTTATAGCCATAGCAGCGATCACAATAGATCTTCTAAAAGAAGAACGGCGAAAGAAATATTCCTACCAAATTTCATGTCTAGGCCATAATATAGTTTTCCAGAGGTATCATGATGAGTCAGTACATAGACGGAAATCTTTTAAGATTATACGCAGCCATTATAAGCTACACGCTGCCACGTAAAAAGAAACAGAATATTAAAAATATACTGAATATGTTCTACCTAGGAGTCATTGCTGTGTAATGGCAGCGTAAGCGAATCTGCTGCCTCGTGTTATCCCGTGGGTGTTGTAAGAGGCAACAGAGGTAAACTGAAACTGGAGATCAGCGCACTGCAGCAAAATCTTCCAATTAAAATCTCACATAGTAAAAATTGTATTTGCCAACCCAGTAGTATTTGTTATAGTGCCAGTAGTGGCAACTATAACAAATATCCCCCCTATGAATTTTTAATAAGCTGGACGATTTAATGAAATGTTTTATAGTAAATGACAAAAATCTTTACAGATACTCAAAGAATTATCAGAGGTGGAAGGTGCTCTCATAACGCGTGGTGCACCGAGCAGTGGCTTAGCGGCACCCAGAGCATACACATCTGCTCTAGCTCTATACACTGTTGGAGCTTTACGACGCTACCACTCTTGCTTATTGCGTAAGGAAGTTCTTATTTCACATCGTAGTTTTATTGCAATCTATAAAATTAAGATTTTCAAGTCTTACAAGAATAAACAATACACCTATTCTTTGAACTAATTTGTTTGCGAAACGATAGGACTTTGGATGTTAACAAGGCTCCTATATTAAAGTAATTTTTCATTGGTTTTAATACATAATTACTCCAACATAATAATAATATTTCTTTTATTTGTGAATATTTTGTCCTCCAGACCGAATTTCGGCCACGGCGGCCTGCCTCAACGGAGGCTAGCCAACGGCGCAGGATAGGATTATAGTACCCAAGTGTATTCGCAAGCACAGGTGCACTCTATATTCCCTAACTCTCATAATCCGATGGGACGGTAAACCGACAAGACCGGAGAGAGATCAGGCGCGGGAAACAACGGCTTTACGTGATTTCCGAGGCACGGGAATGAGACACCGCCGACTTCCTGACTCCGTGCAGCTACTGAGAGTTTCTCGACAGAAAAACTCAATAAATGATTTTTTGGCTCGACCGGGGATTTGAACCCAGTACCTCACGATCAGCAGTCAAACTACTACAACCGCTAGACCAACGAGGCAGTCAATTAAAATCGCACATAGCCCAATAAGTAAACTCCAACATATTTTTATAAATATTATTACCCTTTTACAGCATATTTAAGAAATAATTTCACGTGTATTAATTGGATAAAGTCACGAAAACTTATTTTTGAGATATTAACATTTCAAGTTTGGATCAGTGCCACTTTTGTTTGAATTACTTTTACTTTAGAAAAGTATAGTGATTTGGGTCCTTTTTTGTACTTACGTCCAATTGAAAGTGCGTGGTGAACACGTTTCATATTATGGCTTTTCTGTTGCCCGCCTGCTCAAGGTCCCCTTCATTTGTTTTTCGCATCATAGTGTTACATTTCTTAAATATATTGTATGTGGACGGTGCAGTGTGTGTGGAGCACACGTCGGCGGTATTCGAGTAGTTATACCAATTGATAAAGTTCGTGGTGGGCTCGAGAGAGGGCTTTTCCTTTGCCCGCTTTGTCAGGCTACTCCCCTTCATTTGTTTTTCGTATCATGGTGTTACATTTGTCAAATATATTGTATGTGGACGGTGCAGTGTGTGTGGAGCACACGTCGGCGGTGTTCGAGTAGTTGTACCGATTGATAAAGTGCGTGGTGGGCTCGAGAGAGGGCTTTTCCTTTGCCCGCTTTGTCAGGCTACTCCCCTTCATTTGTTTTTCGTATCATGGTGTTACATTTGTCAAATATATTGTATGTGAACGGTGCAGTGTGTGTGGAGCACACGTCGGCGGTATTCGAGTAATCGTACCGATTGGTAAAGTGCGCGATTGACCCGAGAGAGGGCTTTTCCTTTACCCGCTTTGTCAGGCTACTCCCCTTCATTTGTTTTTCGTATCATGGTGTTACATTTGTCAAATATATTGTATGTGAACGGTGCAGTGTGTGTGGAGCACACGTCGGCGGTATTCGAGTGATCGTACCGATTGGTAAAGTGCGCGATTGACCCGAGAGAGGGCTTTTCCTTTGCCCGCTTTGGCAGGCTACTCCCCTTCATTTGTTTTTCGTATCATGGTGTTACATTTGTCAAATATATTGTATGTGAACGGTGCAGTGTGTGTGGAGCAGACATCGGCGGTGTTCGAGCAACTGTGCCGGCTGGTGAAGTGCGTGGTGAACCCGGGCGACTGCGGGTCGGCGGAGCGCTGCGTGCTGGCGCAGCTGCACGACCTGTACAAGGCGGCCGCGCACCTCTGCCACGCGCCGCACGCCGACACCTTCGCCAACGCCTACCCTAAGATCAAGTATGTGCAAAATACTAAAGTATTGCCTGTAATCGTCTTTGCAAGACGTCATTTCTGTCGCACGATGTACTTACCAGTCCAGAGTGGTACAACAATTATATGCTTAATAAATGAATAAAATATAACATGCCTGATTTATACGTGATGCATCATAATCCCATTTAGTGTTTATATTTTTTCACTCTTTTTACCGATTAGGAAACCTTTTCTTTTTTAGATATGGTAAAAAGTAAATAACATTCGTTGTTTTTCATTTTGTTGATATGCCCAATATACGAACCTCCGGCACAGTTTTAAAAACTTGCCTTACTCTTGGGAAACGAATGTACTTGTGCAGAGCAACAGGGGGAGATGCACTGCGAGGTAGGGGGCGGGCCGACCTTGTGCTTACGCACTTCACTGAGTCTGATAGACAATACATACACAAGCATGTTTCATAGTACTTATTTAACTAATTTTAAGTCTGTTTACAGAACATATAATATATATAATGGTGAATTACTGATATAGTTATATGAGTTACTAAGTAAAATTGAATTCAAATGACGGCCATGTTTATCTTTCCCTATTTTTTATGATAAGATTGTTTATATGAATGCAAATACACTTAAATATTAAATTTAACAATCGAAAACTTAAAACATCTATAAACGGAAAGTGTCATGAAAATATTTGGTAATGCAACACACTTGTAGATGTGTTTTGATTTTGAAGTAATTTAAAATGATCTTGTTCAATAAATATTTTTAACTTATAAAATATTTAGATAATGATTGTTGATAAATGATAATGAGTATTATGATATTTAAGATTATTTTATTTCCATTTTCGTGACCACCCCAAGGATACACTTCTAATACCTATGCGAGCGGCGGCATCGCCTGATATCAAAGGCGTTTCACAACTGTAAGGTCTTTAAGTTGTGTGCCTCCCCCATCAAGTTAAATATATGTTTAGTTAGAATGCGGGATAAATAAATGCAGATTCGTAATATTTTAAATTGTTCCAGAATAGTAATTCGTAAAATTTATTAGGGCAAAGTCAGTTTTTTTTTGTAATAAAGAACACCGCCAGACGATACTGCACTCTTTAATATTAATACCTTTGTTACAGGCAAGCGCTATATTCACAGTTACAGCCGACGCCATCCAATTATGTATACAACCCGCAATTTTTAAGCGAGTTCTTTACGAATCCTCGTAAAGGTAAATAATAAAACATATTATTTGAAATGATTTTGTTAATTAGGATTATTTTAAGAAAAATATTATTTTACAGGTAAAATAGAAATTGCATGGGCCCGTCAAGTCGCCGAATCGCCGGCTAACAGATACAGCTTTGTTTGTTCAGCAATGTTGGCTGTATGTCGTGAAGTAGATAATGATCGGTAAGAGCAGTTTTTAAATCGCCCCTTTTCGACACGTTTTCTGTCAAAACGCACTGAAGGACTTCATCTTTTTGATTTTGATATTTACCTTTTTGCGACACTGTTTTTGGTTCATACAGTAAAGAACTGAAATCCTTACTGGCATCACACCTTCAAAACCGAAGTTAACTTTTATTCGCCTCTTCAAGATATTAATGAAGGCTTATCAAAGTAGAAGCTTTTATTATTTTGTACCTCAATGCTCCATCTAATCTAGAAGGTTGGCTGTAAACATTTGGCCTATTTATATGCAATGGTCATAGTTTTATATGTGGTAGAGCCACGCTGCACCTATATCATAGTTGTAGCACGAATGGGTCGACTCGACAGGGGCAGGACCACGCTCTCACAGAATACCAGCGTAAAATAGCTTAATGCTGCTGTGTTTCGTATGGTGAGTGTAGAGAACCGAAGACCCTTTTTACTGGAAATAAGGTATTCCATCTTAGTCCTCACGGGTGACAACACACCTGCATTTTGATTTGTAATCGAGGATACATGTAGGTGTCTATGGGCCACAGGAACCAATTACCATCAGGTGGACTGTGTGCTCGTTTGTCACCTTATCCTATAAAATTAAATAAAAATAAATAGTTGGTACGCTGTTAAAAATTATGAGTTGACGCCAAACTTCAAACGTCTTTAATCTTTTTATGTGGTAAAGCATAGGCTGGCTCGATCGGGGTAGAACAACGCTCTCATAAAATGTCAGCATGAAACAGCAGAATAATGCCGTGCTTCGAATAGTGAATGTTGTGAATTGAAGATGAGATCCAAGAAGGATCTCATCAATGACAACGAGGCATTCCATCTTAATCCTCAGGGGTAACAACGCATCTGCATTTTGATTCTCAATTAAGGGTAGATATAGATTTCTATAGGCCACAGCATCCACAATCAGGTGGACTGTTTGCTTGCTTGTCACCTCTTTTTTGTAAAATTGTTAATGCTTTCAATGAGTAAAGAATTCTATTTATAACTGAGCCATCGGGACTGGCAAAATGATTTTTAATTCTTGTTTCTACTTTCAATTCTTCAATAATTCGCTGACAATATTAAATTATATAAAAGTGCAACTGAAATGGCTATGACTAATGTCAGTTAAGAGAACAATTAAAAAGCGTAAAGAAAATTTTCAATGTCTTTATTTATAGACATCTGTGGGATAAATGTTAATAAATAATTATAAAAGCGTGCTGGTGCACACAGGGTGAACGAGCTGGGCGTGTTGTGCGCGGAGATGACGGCGTGGTGCAGCGGGCTGGCGGCGGAGTGGCTGGGCGCGCTGGTGGCGCTGTGCGGCGCGCAGCACTACCCCGCCGCACCGCACGCCGCGCCGCCACCGCTCTACCCCGACCTGCTGCACCACCGCGACCTGCACGACGCGGCCGCGCACGACGCGCTCGCCGTCTTCACCTGCATCCTAGTCGGTACGTACAGCGTGCGCCGCCGCCGCTCTACCCCGACCTGCTGCACTACCGCGACCTGCACGACGCGGCCGCGCACGACGCGCTTGCCGTCTTCACCTGCATCCTGGTCGGTACGTAATGCGTGCGCCGCCGCCGCTCTACCCCGAACTGCTGCATCACCGCGACCTGCACGACGCGCTGGCCGTCTTCACCTGCATCCTGGTCGGTACGTACAGCGTGCGCCCCACCCGCTCTACCCCGACCTGCTGCACCACCGCGACATGCACGACGCGGCCGCGCACGATGCGCTGGTCGTCTTCACCTGCATTCTGGTCGGTACATACGGCGTGCGCCGCACCCGCTCTACCCCGACCTGCTGCACCACCGTGACCTGCACGATGAGGCCGCGCACGGCGCGCTCGCTGTCTTCACCTGCATCCTGGTCGGTACATACAGCGTGCGCTTCACCCGCTCTACCCCGACCTGCTGCACCACCGCGACCTGCACGACGAGGCCGCGCACGGCGCGCTCGCCGTCTTCACCTGCATCCTGGTCGGTACATACAGCGTGCGCCGCACCCGCTCTACCCCGACCTGCTGCACCACCGTGACCTGCACGACGAGGCCGCGCACGGCGCGCTCGCCGTCTTCACCTGCATCCTGGTCGGTACATACAGCGTGCGCTGCACCCGCTCTACCCGACCTGCTGCACCACCGCGACTTGCACGACGAGGCCGCGCACGGCGCGCTCGCCGTCTTCACCTGCATCCTGGTCGGTACATACAGCGTGCGCTGCACCCGCTCTACACCCGACCTGCTGCACCACCGCGACCTGCACGACGAGGCCGCGCACGGCGCGCTCGCCGTCTTCACCTGCATCCTGGTCGGTACATACAGCGTGCGCTGCACCCGCTCTACCCCGATCTGCTGCACCACCGCGACCTGCACGACGAGGCCGCGCACGGCGCGCTCGCCGTCTTCACCTGCATCCTGGTCGGTACGTACAGCGTGCGCCGCACCCGCTCTACCCCGACCTGCTGCACCACCGTGACCTGCACGACGCGGCCGCGCACGGCGCGCTCGCCGTCTTCACCTGCATCCTGGTCGGTACATACAGCGTGCGCCGCACCCGCTCTACCCCGACCTGCTGCACCACCGCGACCTGCACGACGAGGCCGCGCACGGCGCGCTCGCCGTCTTCACCTGCATCCTGGTCGGTACATACAGCGTGCGCCGCACCCGCTCTACCCCGACCTGCTGCACCACCGCGACCTGCACGACGAGGCCGCGCACGGCGCGCTCGCCGTCTTCACCTGCATCCTGGTCGGTACACACAGCGTGCGCCGCACCCGCTCTACCCCGACCTGCTGCACCACCGCGACCTGCACGACGAGGCCGCGCACGGCGCGCTCGCCGTCTTCACCTGCATCCTGGTCGGTACATACAGCGTGCGCCGCACCCGCTCTACCCCGACCTGCTGCACCACCGCGACCTGCACGACGAGGCCGCGCACGGCGCGCTCGTCGTCTTCACCTGCATCCTTTTCGGTACATACAACGTGCGCCGCACCCGCTCTACCCCGACCTGCTGCACCACCGCGACCTGCACGGCGCGGCCGCGCACGACGCGCTGGCCGTCTTCACCTGCATCCTGGTCGGTACGTACAGCATGCGCCGCACCCGCTCTGCCCCGACTTGCTGCACCACCGCGACCTGCACGACGCGGCCGCGCACGACGCGCTGGCCGTCTACACCTGCATCCTGGTCGGTACGTACAGCGTGCGCCGCACCTACTCCATCGCCACGACACTGACGGCCCGCCGTCCTCAACTGTTTCTTGTCCTGCTGCAAAAACATATTATTTTCATTCTGTTGCGGATGTTATGGTTGTCTAGTTTTTCCACCAAGGATCATATCACATTCACGTTTCATCGGATATAGGGCATGTAATGAGTATCATTAAGTTAGCCTAAAGAGTTGTATGTATGTACTATTATATCTTAGTCTTTAGAGGTGACAACGCTTATATAGTGTTCTTTTTTATGAAGTCATGCAGTAACCACTTACAATCGGGTGTAATGTAAGTTCATTATGACACTTCATTATTATAAAAAACAGCACGTAAAGCTGTTGGTCCTGCGCTTGGTCTCTCTCCCGTCGTTTTGTATTGCTATCCCATCGGATTCTAGGAGTGAGAGATTAAAGAATGCAACTATACGCATACGGTCGTGCTAGTGGCTGTTTTACATTGAGACTTGTAGCCGTGACCGCAATTTGTTCTGGAGTGTTTTATTATTATATCTCAAGTAAAATTGACTACTTCCGATATTTTTCGTATTTCGCGTCTTTTAAAATCGTTTAGTGAACTACTCGTTATCATAATTGCAATATTTTTTATGTACAGCTCGTCACTGCTTCTCACTAGAAGACTTCGTGCGTCACGCGGCATTGCCGTCGCTTGTGAAGGCGTGCGGAGGTGGGGGCGTATCGAACAACCCCGCCAATGCACCCTCGCCTGATACAGGCGCCAGGCTTACCTGTCACTTGCTGCTTCGGCTGTTTAAAACTGTCGATACACCGCAACCCGGTAATATTTTAATGAATATTTAAATACTATTCTTAACAATTCTGCAATCATGGTTCATGAAGAACGGCAGCATTTACGAGAATTTTAAGAGAAATCATTTACTGTTACAAAAAACGTATCTGACTAGTGGTGCTCGGAAAACAAGTGTAGGGAAGTAAATGTTGGGAAATGTGGGGAAGAGTGTGGGTAAGAAATTTGGAAAAATTTGTAATATAACACTAGCGATCCGCCCCAGCTTTGCACGGGTGATTTTTGAATCTCAAGCACAGCGCCACCTACCGGGTTCAATTGAAATGTGTTTAAACCATCCAGGGACCCACTTAAACATACAGAAAAAATATCATCCAAGTCGTTTCAGCCATTTGTGAGTCTGCAAGGCTAACGGACAGCAATTGATTTTATATAATAATAGCGATCTGCTCCGGTTCCGCACGAGTGATTTCTGGATCTCGTCAACAGCGCCACCTCCCGGGTCTAATTGAGTTTTATAAACCATCCAGGGACCCACTGAAAAACACACAAAAAAGTACATCAAAATTGCTCGAGCTATTTTCGAGTTTTAGCGAGACTAACGGACAGCAATGAATTTTTAATAATATATGTGTTACGAGAGGTGGGGTCAAAGATTTTGGCTCATAAAAGCCCACTGTTTTGCCTAAATATATTGTATTATCTTTAATTTGGTCATTACCGTAGCACCAATGTTTAGTGGTGTTGACCGTGTAGCGGTGGTTTAAGAATATGCACTACTCTATATCGTCCCGTGGGTGACGTAAGATGTGGCAGCAGGAATTAAACCAGGAGATGGGCAGCAGCGTCTTCTTAATAACATCTAAAAATAAATAATTACAGCTGCACAACCCGCCTGTCAAGCGTAGAAATATGGCAAATGGGAAGGATATAGAACATAGACCTCTACCATAAATTGCCTCATGATGGTATTCACTATGAGGCAATCTATGGGAAGGGCCTATGTTCATTAGTGAACTTTAGATAGGCCCAATGGATTAGTAAGCTAAAGTGGCAATGGGCCGGCCATATAGCTCGAAGAACCGATAACCGATGGGGAAGAAAGTTGCTCGAGTGGCAGCCTCGTACCGGTAGGCGTAGTGTAGGGCGACCCCCCACTAGATGGAGTGACGACCTGGTAAGACATGCAGGAAGTCGATGGATGCAGGTGGCTCAGGACCGTGCTTTGTGGCGTTACTTGATGGGAGCCTATGTTCACCAGTAGACTTGTGAAGGGCTGTAATTATGATGATGATGATGATGATGATGAGATAGGCCCATAGATACGCTTACAGTAAGGGATAGATATAAAAATAAAAACATTTTTATTCAATATAAATATAATTATAACTTATTGAAAATCATTTTTATGTTTATTTTTCTCTGGTTTGGAAAATATCTGTTCTGGGAAAACCCAGCAAGAAATTCAGTGGGAATTTTCTTGAAAACAGTAAACCGAACAATATTATGTTACACATAATAAATTATAAATATCTATATTGGTAGCAATCACCTCATTTCCGGGGGTTATTATCATCAATTCCTGAATATTATAATAACTCTTTTTAATCAATCTTTGTTTAATAATGTTTTTAAACTTGGTGGACAAATTTTCTGGGATTTTGTAGCTAATATACCCATAGTTTGGAAGCACTGCGATACTAGGAAACCATAAGTTCTTTGGTAGTGTTTCTGTATTAAGCGGAGAATTCACTAGACCGACATGCCCATGGGCTGTTTGTCCGGGCATGTCTGTCACCCTGTCACCCTTTGCGCAGACCTATAGTAGCGAAGTCCGTCTAGTGAAATCCCCGCTCTAGAGTAATTGTTGCGGTGCGCAGGGCTGTACAGCGTGTCGACGTCACCGGGGCCGGGCGGCGGCGCGGCGAGCGTGCGGCTGTCGTGCGACCGCCACCTGCTGGCCGCCGCGCACAAGAACATCGGCGTCGGACCCGTGCTCGCCACGCTCAAGGCCATCCTCAGTCAGTACCTCTATTTATACAGGGGGGGGGGTACCCCGCGTGGCTTATTAAATTCAAACCCACGCATACCACTTCAAGACTTCAGGATACTGTAAGCTCATTCTGCGCAGATTAGACCAAAAATTAATATTCAAAAACTGAAAGTAGCCGAGATAACTATGACATCGGGACGTAAAACACCTCAATCCCCCCGTGATCATAGGTGCTATAAAACATCAGCAACGTCGGTAATTATAAAATTAAATTAAACTCGGTAAAATACGTAAAAATTAGTTTCATTTAATATGTAGTGTTCGCGTAAATATAAGAAGTTATTAAGACATTATCGATCAATTAATTCGCATGCATTGCCGATCGCATGTGTTACCGGTGATTTTTCCATAATTTCTATTATGAATTGTTATAGATAATATTTGTATAATTATCGTTTTGCTTTTATATTATTTTTTTAATTATCAAATATAAAATAGATTATTTTTGATTTTCTCATTTTATTTTTAATTTAGAATTTGAGGTATTTACAAAGAGTATTATATAAGTATTTTCATTTTCTAAACATTTGTAATTAATTCACTTATCAGTTATATTTATAACAGCGGTTTACTTATTTTCATATTATAAAAGTATTTGGATTGTATAATTCTTAGACATTCAAACTGTTGCTAGGTTCAGTTTTGATAGTTAGTAGGGATATGCTACCACCATTGTGAGGTATATTCAAACGATTGCAATAATTATTGACTGGCTATTCGAGTTGTGAACTAATAAAGTAAACAAAAAGTAATCAATCGTATTATTATCCTTCCTGCGACTCCTATATTGAAAACAAACCAAAATAACCTTGTTTTTGTAACTTTTCAAGATTAACAAAAATCTACTTTATAGTGGTTGGTGACTCGACTGCTCGAGACGGTGGAAAGCCAAGTGGCAAAAAATCCAGTGAGCTGTCACACATATTAGGCACCAGCGATACCGTCCCCACCGATGCACAGCTGGACCTCATGTCGTGAGTATCATGTTCTTATACTGTTTAGACTTCATATAAAATTCAAATGTTTTTCCAGTTTAATTTCCTTTAAATTAAATTTTGAGAACCCTAATTCCTTTAAAAACGTAACTAGGTCGCTTTTATACATTTATCACCAAAAGCTACAGGGAATGAGGTAGTCAATGCCATAATTAATAATTTTCTACATCTTATGATTTGAATTTGTTATTTTATTAGTATCTTAAAACTTGCTTACGAGATATACAAATAGGATTACTATGTAAAAATATTTAGAAACAGCATGGTAGCGATAATTTAATTCCCAAGGGTTATTATCAATTAGTAGTATAAATAATTTTATACCCATAATAAATAATTTTTGCTTAAAAAAATTCCTAAACTTTTTGTTGTAAAAGGGTATATATCTAAGGCGTACATTACACGCTCATGCAAGCTGTCAGTTTTACAACAATCACGGTTGTGATTGATGAATAACCTACCGTGTAATGCAGGCGTCAATCAATTTCATCAATAAAGATTGAAAAAAAAACGTATGACTGATAGGCATACATTACGCGCTCACGCAGGCGTAAATTACACACAACCGTGATTGTTGTAAAACTGACAGCCTGCATGAGCGTGTTATGTACGCCGTATTCATATCGTACTCATATATCAGTTATCATCAGTTTTTTATCAATCATGATTGATGGAATTGATTGACGCCTGCATGAGCGTCTAATGTGCGCCTAAGTAATGCAGTATTAGAATAGAATAAAAAGCACTACCTAATAACGCTTCGGGTTATAAGGCGTGCAATACCGACTCTTTGGAGTGTCATCTGACTGTTAATTACCTTGTTCCGATAGTTCATAACAGCAATTTTGACATTAATCGTCATCATCATTACATTACAGTCTTTCACAAGGTCACTGCTAAACATAGGGGGAGCCTACAAATAAAGGTATTCTACAAATACACTGTCCTGAGCCGTCTGTAACCATCAACTTGCATGTGTTACTATGTCTAGTGGAGGGCCGTACTAAATTCGCTTACATGTCGGTTGGTGCACGTCGGCTTACCATCGGTTGTCGGTTTTTCGAACTATATGGCCGGGTCATTATCTAATAATTTAATATTTCACGACATATATTTATATATATTGACTTGAGACCATTTTCTTTATTCATAGGATGGTAGATTCAGAGATGAGTGGGGGCCATAGAACTCCTAGGTTTGTTTTATTTTAGTATTGAGTTGTAATGTTGCACATCCAAATCCTTGCAATACATAATGTCACTCACATGTCTGTTACGAGGGCGCGAAAGTTGTATGGTCACAATGCTCACCCGCTTTGCTTCCATCCATATCTGATTACTCATTTCATTCTCATCTCCAATCTTTGAACGTGTTGATGATGGGATTTGCTTAGTTATTTTCCTTTCTCCTTCGTTGGTCTACATAAAACTTTGAACGTAAATTCCTAACTCTGTCCACTAATTGATTGTCAACTATCGATATTCAATAATTCATTACATGGTTGTAATATTGTCACTCAAAATTTTTGAAGTAAAACTTCTTTACGCACGCTTGACTGCCGAACGCGTTACGAAGTGTGATCGGGCGAAGCGAACGGGTGTTGAGTGGTGGATATAATCCGATATTAAATTTAAATATTTGTAGAAAATTAATATATGTATATGAACACATATAAACATATATATACGAGGGCGCACCGAAAGGTTTTAGAACTGGCCACTTGTAAACGATATAATAAAAAAAATAAGTTAAAATTTTGAAAATGGAACTCTTTGCCAATATTATTGTGGATGTATTTCGGTTTTTACACCTTTTTTTTTTTTTAAAAATGGTTCTAAAGGGGAGAAATGTCGCCGTCCGCATTTCGAAAGCCTTGCGCTTTCCAAACGCACCCATTTTCTTTACTTGTTAATTGTTTATGATTTGGCGCAAATTGAAAATTGTCTGTGTCACGTCGGCATGAATTCAATCGAGAAAATTTTCTTACAATGATTTTTTATGACTTTCGATGACATTTAAGTCAACAAGAAAGTTATGATAGACTTCGATTGACTATGAAGCCCCATCTCGTGCCACTGTTTACGACTAGTTACGAGGGCGGCACTGAAAATTTCGGGAATCAAGGAAGTGACACAACATTACTATTTAAAAATGTATTTATTGCTTTTCGAAGTATTCTCCGCAAAATTTGACACATTTTTCCATACGATGTAACCAATCATTTAAGCAACCATTCCATTCGGAAGTCGGGGTCTCCAAAATGGCCGTTTTGTAGGCGTCCACAGCTTCTTCAGGTTATGAAAATCTCTGCCCACGCAATTTATTCTTTATTTTTGGGGAAGTATAGAAATCATTAGGGCTTAGGTCGGGACTGTACGGTGGATGGTCTAATAATTCTATATTTTCTTGCTCTAAAAACTCTTTTGTTCTGTGTGCGGTGTGTGAACTCGCATTGTCGTGATGAAGGATGATGCGGCGATTGCAGTTTTCTTTACGGAGTTCAGAAACAACCTGTGGCAAACAAACGCTAGCATACCATTCTGAATTAACCGTTCTTTGTCCCTCAAGAGGAATAGTCGTAACATGGCCGGTTTTGGAGACAAACGTGGCCACCATTTTTTTTGCAATACTCCGTGAACGAACAATTTTTGTTAGCTTTAACTCATTTTCGAACACCCAAACGCGTATATCCAGGATTCGTCACCTGATACGATGTTGTATACAGCATTTGAGGATCCTGCGTAGAATCTTTCGAGAGTTCTGACGCACTAAGTAACGCGAGCCGCTTTTTGCTCTTCACAGAGCGGATGCGGTATCCATCGGGAAAACAACTTTTTTACACCTAATTGTTCATGCAAGATTATTTATATTTGACTCATGCCAATGTCTTGTTGTTCAGCTTACGCACAGCATCAACGTTTTCTTGGGTGACTGCAGTTTTTGGACGACCTTGACGGGGATCATCTCTGAGCTTGACAAGTCCACGTTGAAATTCAGCAAACCAGCGATAAATTGTGGTTTTGGATGGGGCTTCATCACCAAATGCAGAAATCATCTAGTCAACACACTGTTTTTGTATTAAACCACTTCGAAAGTCATAATAAATCATCGCTCTTGAATTTTCTCGAGTCAATTCCATTTTCTCAACGACTGAACAAGTTTGACAAAACCTTGTGACAAGACCAAGAAACTTTTTTTAAATAAATAAATGGTATTCGATTTTTAAAGCCAAGGAGTTTTCAATTAAAAATATTTTATTATGACAGGAACAGTGGAAATATTCCATTCCCGATACTTTTAGTGCAGCCTAGTAATTGAGTTCAAATTTAGTCGCACCAATCTCACCGATGATCTGCGTGAGGACGGCCTTCTACGGCGACGACTGGAGATAACATCGATGTTGTGTGGCGTATGACAGAGACTGACAAATGAGTGTCTTATCAGCAGATTCAGACAATCTTAGGCATCGGTATAAGTCAAGAACACAAAATTCTCCATGAACATTTAACGGTCAGAAAGTTTTATTCCCAGTGTATACCTCATAATTTGACAGAGGCCCAAAAACTCCGTCGTGTTGATTGGTGTCGTGAAATATCCTGAAACTAAGAGACAGTCTGCTGTCTGGGTGTTTCCTTCCGAGGAGTTGCCGTTTGTTTAAGAAGATCAAAAAACAGTTACTGTAGAGTGATACTACTAGTACTACTGGTAGTTTGCCACTTGTCTTGGAAAAAGTTCGGGAGAAACGACCTCGCTGTAAGGTCCTCCTTCACCACGACAACGCTTCGTCGCACACCGCCATGTAAACAATCGACTACTTAGCGACGTCACATGTGGAATTACTGGGTCACCCGATATATAGTCCCGACCTTGCGATTATTATTTATTTCCGAAAATAAAAGAAAAACTTCAAGGAAAACGTTTTATAGACGCCGAGGAAGCAGTGGCTGCGTTTCAAAATGCCGTCGAAGAAACCCCTAAGAACTAGTGGGCAAAGTGCTTTTCTCAGTGGTTCCAACCGATGCAGCGATGTATTGATGTAAATGGACACTGTTTTGAAAAGATATAACAAAACTAATAACTTGCTAGTTTGTTCAGTTTTTGATTTTCCAAGAACTTTCAGTGTAACCCTCGTATAGTATATACACACAGATAGAGCTAAAGAAGTTTTACGTCAGTCGTGTGGTCATAAGCACACTCGTTTTTTGTATGACACATTGCAAACTGTTTATTGACCTACCTTCCATCTTAATGGCACGACAATTTACGTTCACTGGGTGTTTTGTCTGTGTCTTATATTTAACTGGTGTCTTCTATTTGTTTGTACAGTTTTTAATAGTGGTGTATATAATCATTCTATCCTATGATAAGTTACCCTGCGACTAATTTTTACTAAATAATGTTAAAGGTCCAAAAAGTCAAAAAACAAACCATAATAAATATTTAGGCCGTGGTTCCTTAATGGTATTGTTATTTGATTTCAGTAATTCTTTAACCGTTGTTATGGAACAGATAAAGTTTTGTTATCATAGAGGGAGCGGTGGCGTTGGCTCTACATTACTGGACTCGTCCCAGTCACTTTCTTCTCTGGCGAGAAGGGTCCTTGCGGAAATCTGTTCTGAGGAGTGGGTGCTGCAGAAGTGCTTACAGAACCCAGATGAGCTCTATCAACCTGATATGCTGCTCGATTCTATGCTTACTCCACGACAGGCTCAAAGGTATAATAATTTTTTTTTGTAATTTCTTTTGGAATTGTTTTACCTGATTAATAAGAATACACACCACATGTATAAAAAGTCTGCCTAAATCGGGTTTTAATGTCGGTCACCTTCGTCGAGAATTAAAGAGGGGAGGTTTGGAAGGTGGAATGCAGATTCATGTATCTTGTAATTTGACACTGCTTTCTGTTACAAATGTCCAAGTATTTTATTTTTGGCTAAGACAAAATTTCGTACTGTCATGTGTTGTAAGCCATGTAGTCCTGACCTTTTCCGTAATCTGCTCTTGCGACACCCCCAGAAAGAAATGGGGTAATGGTTTTCCTTAAGCCACCACTAATATTGTAATATTCTTAAATACAAAATAATTATTCTTTCAGGTTATTGCATATGATATGTTATCCTGATTCAGCCAGTCACACTCATCCTGATCTTGACCAGAAAACTATGATAACGCGGCTGTTAGAGGTAATTTACATTTTTAAGACCACATTTTAACGAGTCAACATATTTGTAAGTATATTATGGATACTAAATTTATAAATATAAATATCTTGTGTAATTAAAGGAGAAATGCATCATAGTTTTGCCGTATTAGTGAACCGTTTCAATGATATTCAATTCAATTTTACTACTTTATTTATTTAATAGTTTATGTACACTTATACTATGTACTGGCTAATATAATTAAAATTAGATTATTTTAAAAGAAATACACAACAACTATCATTACCTCCTTTGATTAATAATTACATGAGCGAAATCGAGCAAATTCACTCAGAGAGTTTGTAATATATGTTTTTTATTGAACTATATTAAAAAAGCTAATGTATAAGTTGGTATCTGATCAGTTATCATTATATCTAGTTGAAATTTAAGTGGGATCAATGTTAAAATATACCATATACTGGCTTAATATGCTCACTAATCTTGGAGATAATTATGTTACAAAAATAAAACTATACAGTTGAATTAATAATCGTTTCCTGTTTTGAAGTCTAAAGATCAAAGAGTTACAACATGGTCATTTTTACCAAAGTTTAACCCTTCGGAACAGAACCTGGAGCAGTGGTCGCTGCGCATGTCGTGGCTGGACCTGCAGCTGATGTTCAAGCAGTTCCAGAGCGGCTCGTCCGAGCTGAGCGCGTGGCTCGACACCGTGGCCCGCGCCGTCATCAACGTCTTCCAACAGCCGGCGCCTCCCCCGCCAGATAAAGACAGGTATATATTATATGAATCATTTTCATCCTCTTCTATTGATGAAAACATGCTATAGAAACCGATAATTGAAAATAAGCTGAAGAAAAAATACGATAAATAATAGCAGAGTCGGAAAGGGACGTCCTAAGCGAAAATTTATCGACCAAATTGGCGATTTATTGAAAACGGGCCAAATTAGGAGTACCCTTAACCGACGAGCATGTATGCGTAGGTGTATGGATGTGAAGGAGGCAAGAGAGGTGTGTCAGGATCGTGCCAAATGGAAGTCTGTAGTCTCTGCCTATCCCTCTGGGTGACAGGCGTGAGTGTTTATGTTCATCATCACAGCCCTTCACAAGTCCACTGCTGAACATAGGCCTCCCCCAAGTAATGCCACAAAGCACGGTCCTGAGCCACCTGCATCCATCGACTTCCTGCATATCTTACCAGGTCGTCACTCCATCTAGTGGGGGGTCGCCCTACACTACGCCTACCGGTACGAGGCTGCCACTCGAGAACCTTTCTTCCCCATCGGTTATCGGTTCTTCGAGCTATATGGCCGGCCCATTGCCACTTCAGCTTACTAATCCGTTGGGCTATGTCGGTCAATCTGGTTTTACTGCGGATATCCTCATTTCTGAGTCTATCACGCAGAGAAACTCCGAGCATAGCCCTCTCCATAGCTCGCTGAGCGACCTTGAGCGTCCTCATACGGCCAGCAGTGAAGGACCACGTCTCTGATCCGTAAGTCATCACTGGCAACACGCACTGGTTGTACACTTTAGTTTTCAGAGATTGAGGTATACCTGACGAGAAGATATGTCGTAATTTCCCGAACGCTGCCCAGCCGAGTTGAATCCGTCGATTGACCTCTCGGTCGAAGTTGGACTTACCTAGTCGGAATATTTGTCCCAGGTAAACGTACTCGTCAACAACTTCGAGCATAGTGCTTCCAACAACTACCGGCATAGGTGTGACATGGACATTAAACATAATCTTTGTTTTGTCCATGTTCATCTTAAGACCTATCCGTTGGGAGGCACTATTGAGGTCATTGAGCATAGTGCTTAAGTCCTCCAGCGATTCTGCCATAAGGACTATATCGTCGGCAAATCGAAGGTGAGTGATGTACTCGCCATTGATGTTAATACCGTATCCTTTCCAGTCCAGTAGCTTGAAAACGTCTTCCAAAGCAGCGGTGAAGAGTTTCGGGGATATAACGTCACCCTGTCTTACACCTCTCTGCAGTTGGATAGGTTTCGAGCTCTGGTTCTGTACTCGGATAGCCATCGTAGCCCTACTGTACAAACACTTCAGCACTTCGATATACCGACAGTCAACTTGGCACCGCTGAAGGGACTGCAGCACCGCCCAAATTTCGACGGAATCAAAGGCTTTCTCATAGTCCACATACGCCAGGCAAAGTGGCAAATTGTACTCTTCAGTCTTCTGTACAATCTGCCGCAGGGTATGTATGTGGTCTATGGTACTGAAGCCTTTTCGGAAACCGGCTTGTTCGGGAGGCTGGAAGTCGTCGAGTCTGCGTGCGAGACGATTCGTAATGACTCTCGAAAACAGCACGTAGACGCGGCGCAGAAGGGAAATCGGTCTGTAGTTCTTCAAGAGAGCGTTGTCGCCTTTCTTAAAGAACAAGACCACCGCACTTCTGCTCCACGCCTCCGGAGTAGTGCCATCATGGAGGACGGAATTGAAGAGCTTCTGAAGGACTTCAAGTACCGGTGTTCCACCCGCTTTCAGAAGCTCCGCTGTAATTCCATCCTCGCCTGGGGCCCTGCCGTTTTTAAGGTGCTGGAGAGCCATTCTAATCTCGCTTAGACTGACGTCCGGGATATCATCGGAATAGTGTCGGATAAGACTTGCTCTTGGATCGTTACTCACACTTGCGTGTGGCTCCAACGATGATGTGTACAGCTGCCCATAGAACCTCTCAATCTCACTCAAAATCTCAGGTGTCCCGGAAACGATGCTGCCACATTCAGTCTTCAGCCTTGACAGTTGGCTCTTTCTGGCAGACAGATCTCTGGCAAAGACTTTGGAGCCCTGGTTCCGCTCGATCGCTTCTTTAATACGAGCAGTATTAAAGTTGCGTAAGTCTCGCCGTATGCATTTGGAGATCTGTCTGTTCAGTTGCCTGTATGCTGTCAAATCTGTTGACGATTGCAGCCTCATCTCCCGTCTAACAGCCATGAGATTAAGAGTGTGATCGGAGAGTTTTTGTGTTCTTCTGCGGCGGGTCTTGCAGAACTTAGCTCCGACCGCATGGACAGTTTCCACGAGCTTGTCATTCATATCGTCCACTGCATTGCAATCTTGTAGGCACTGAAAGCGGTTGTGTAACTCGAGCTGAAAGTTTTCGGGATTTTTGATCAGAGCACGAGGGGGACGGAGCGTTGACTTCATTAGACGAGACCTCTCCAACTTAACGTTTAGGTTCAGTGTGCCTCTAACCATTCGGTGATCGCTGCCAGTTTTCACCCTTGCGATCACTGAGACATCACTGAACAGTTGGCGTCTGGTCGTCATAATGAAGTCAATCTCATTTTTTGTCGAACCGTCGGGGCTCGACCAGGTCCACTTCCTGTGGGGCCGCTTCTGGAAGAAAGAGTTCATCATAAAGAGTCCCTCTTTCTCCATAAAGTCGGCCAGCTGCTGGCCCCTTCGGTTCCGTTGCCCTACTCCAAATTTCCCTAACTTCAGCTCACCGTTTTCTCTTGTGCCTAGTTTTGCGTTGAAGTCTCCCATCAACACCGTGTAGTGGGTTTTGGAGGAATGTATGGCTTTGGAAATATCCTCATACATTTCCTCCACCTCCTCATCGGAATGTGCCGACGTTGGTGCGTAAACCTGTATGACCTTCAGCGAATACCGTTTGGTGATTCTGAGTATCAGGTACGCGACCCTCGTCGACACACTCTCAATCTGTACAACGTTGTTGACGAGAGACTTGTTGACGATAAATCCGACACCTCCTTGGGACAGATGGTCGCCCTCCCGGTGATAGAACAAGTTGCCGGATTCGAGAATCACCGTGTCCTCCCCCTCTCTTCGGACCTCGGATAATCCTATAATACTCCAGCGCAACTTGTCTATCTCTTCTTCCAGCTCCAGGATCTTCTCGTCAGTCCTCAGTGTGCGTGCGTTAAATGTTGCCAGGTCGAGTCGTCGTAGGTGGCAACCGAACCTCCACCGGAGATTCTTAGCACCCCCTGCCCCGCCGTTACCATGGTCGCCACCGTAGCCAGGAATAGCGGGGCCGCCGGGGACTGGGGGCCGTCTATTTGTGTAATTGTTCATGGGGGGTATATTGCCATAGTTGCCACGCTTGGCGAGCGGGTTGGCAACCGCAGTTTTTTTTTGTCGTACAGTTGCTGTTATCAGGAAGATGCTGCTGCCCATCTCCTGCCTGTCTCCCTCTGTCGCCTCTTACGACACCCACGGGAAGATATGGGGTAGTGGATATTCTTAACCGCTACTACACGGCACAGTGTTTATGTTATGTTATGTTTAAAAAATATGACACAAGTACACTAAAAAACAAAATTAAATGCGATAAAATCCGTAAAAACAAATTTATTCGATAATTGTGACGAAAAATTGAACTACTTTTAAGTTTCAAACCCTTAGTCAGTCTTTATTAATCTATAATTTATTTATTTTAATAATAATATCAAATCATTTAATAATATGAGAGCAATCTTGTGCTTATCCTCAGGATAGGCACAAGTACAGTCTCTAGTACTTCACTCTCATAGTCCGATGGGATGGCAACCAAGATATATATATATATATATATATATATATATATATATATATATATATATATATATATATAAAAATTACGTGTCACGTTGTTTGTCCGCGATGGACTCCTAAACTACATAACCGATTTTAATCAAATTTGCACACCGTGTGCAGTTTGGTCCAACTTGAGAGATAGGATAGTTTTTTTTGCCCATAAGTGACTCGCTCACTTTTTTTGCGAATTAATGAATTTTTAATATGACGTGAGAGGGTTGTCGTATAATATATATATATATATATATATTTTTTTATACCATAGAGCGGACATTAGGAACGTTTGCATACAAAAACTGTGAGCTCGTGCGTGTGTGATACCCTCTAGCGAAATATAGCAACACTACGCTGATTATTTATATGGAAAACATTTCAGCTAATCCCCATTAGGTGACGCTAATAAATATAAGGTGAATATATAATATAGATTATAAATAATCGGTTTTAGTATCGGTTTTTTTAAGTTTAATGTTCCCGTTTCGACATCATAATATCGATAATGTTGTTGAAGGTTACTTGAAATGCATTACGATATAATAGTAGCGAATATGCATGATTGTTTTATTGTATAAATCTAATTATTATGGCTTCTATCACACATAAAAATCATATTAACTTTTTACGCCACTTTAGTGTCATGTAATAAAATACTTAATTTCCAATAACTAAGAATCAATTCAAACAGCAGTCACATTGGTGACATCTTGGATGATGTCGCTCGGTCCATTAGATGCAATAATAATAGCATATCATAGCACATCGAGATACGCCAAATGTAATAAGAGAGCGCCTCTATGTTTTTGAATTCGTTTCTTTTATAAAAATACATTTTCTAGCATACTTGTTGTTGTTTTAAAGTAATAAATTACATTATTATTATATTATTATTACTTGTAATTAGCTGCAGAATAATAACGGAGAGTAAGAGCAAATTAACGAAAAGAAGGTATAAATTTACGACGAGATAATACTGCCTTCGTCGATTGCTTATTGAGTCTATCATAGACGGCTTGCGTTTCTACTGTAGCATTTAAGAAATTAACCATATTTTTTTTAATATCAAACTTCTTTTCTAAATGTTTAACTAAATCTTTTAAGTTTAATATTTTGCGTTTGAAATATATATTTTGTTCATTATATATTTAGTTTTTTAATTTTAGCTTTATGGCGTATTTTTTGTTCTTGTAAATTGCGAACTTGCAACTTCAATGCAATTTTCCTCGGACTATCGAATATTGACTCAGAGTTTATTACAACAACACTGATTGGTGTAAACTCTGGTAGCCTCCGCATTTGTTTCATTATTCTGAAATTATAAAAAGGTGATGTCAAGAAAAAATTAAATAAAATCTGTGGTTAAGACTAATAGGCAAATGTTCAGCTTTGCTTGGCTGTACCGCTATGAATAACATACAACTTACCTCACTAGCAAAACGAGGAAATGATACTTTTTTTAAAATTGTATGACCAGTCTTTTCGTAGTACATATCTTCGCTTCTAAAGTGCTTTGAGCATAATTTTGATATAGCAGATGGAAGCCATATTTCTTCTCTGCGCTCTATTTGGACAAACCGTATCCACTTTTCACGCACCGCGGTATTAAGTGACGGAAACCTAAAACTACCAGATTCGTGCTTATACAAAAACCAAAAATATAAGTAAAGGGTTTTAATAACATATATAACATATGTTTGTAAGCTGTTTGTAAATTTTATGTTATTATGTCAATTTAATCAGATGCAATACTTATATACCCACATCAATAAAAAAAAACCGTCATTTTAGGTTTTTACCTTATCTCCTAACTCACGCTTAACCTACAATTTCTTATATCTTTAACAGTGTAAATTGTTTTTAATGTAACAAACCTATAGCCCTCACCTATTAGTGTTAGCCAGGATCTAAGTCTGTAAGGCTCCATCAAGTATATAAGGCTTCGTCTTTGAAAACCACCAGACAATAAAGCCCGGTGTGTAAATTCACAGCAAGTATCCTCAGCATGCTCAAAAGCAACACAGAAAATCTCATCAGAATGCGTAAACAAACATTTTCCCACCCTTTCTCCACATAAAGTAAGCTACTTAGCATAGTTGGTATATGCTACTCATCTTTGTTAGTATGGGTACAGTATCGTTGACTGTTTCACCTCCTTAAATATTGTAGATGATCAAATCGGCATGCTGTATTTTTTATCGATAACGCCAATGGTCAATCACTAACACATTTGTAAATAAATAGTGACACTACTGGATAACAGAGGGCGCTTATGACATAATAAATGTTCTAGAAAAATCAACTAGATATATTAAAATTAAAAGATTATTTTGTAAGCATACATTATAATTACGATAATAAACCGAAATCACGTTCATTTTTGCTCTATATCGTGACTTACAATATCTTAATGCACAACAGGGCATATTTTCTTTAAAAATAATTTTTAAATTTACGAAATGATTGCGTCTTGACCTTTTGACGATGTCACTAAAACTAAATGACAAAAATCAGAGATATATCCTATAGGACAAAAGTTACAGACGACAATTTTGTTGCTGATGTCCGGTCTATTACTATTACCACTTAAATGTCTTTGGATGGCAATAATTGTTATTTATTTTAAACATTATAATCGCGACGAGTCTAGATGACCCTCAAAGAGTGAAGTTGCCAGTAAACCCAATGCTATTGTTTTTATTTGGTATTGGGCTCGTACCGTTGTATCTATAATTTATAACTGTTTGTTGAACTTATATCTAACTCCCTAGCTCAGTTGATAATTGATTATAAGAAACGAAAACTGAGTTGTTATGATATGGAGAATTCATCTAACTTTTATATAAATCATCATATCAGATTTATTCATTTAATGGTCAGCCTCTTTAGCAGCAAATATTAAACTAATTATTACTAAAGCGTCATCAATGAATGCTTTCACATAAACTATATCGTTCAAGCATACTCCGCCGTGTATGGTTACTACCACAGTGATACATACTTGTGCATTCAAAGACTTCAATGGATACGGGCTCTGCGTACTGAATATACTCCGCACTAAGTTACGGTCAATTGTCCGTAATTTCTTTATCGATTGCGAGCGGGCGAGAAGACTAATTCTTTCGTTTGTAAACCGCGAATGTTTCCGCCAATTTAACTCTGATTTTGTTTAATGTGAATAAGACAACGTCGTCATTATTTACGTGCGCGTTTTGTTTATAGAATCAGGGTGACAAACAAGCACAGTCCTGGTGGTAAATGGATACTGTAGCCCGTAGACATTTACATTTATTCTCGATTATGAATAAAAATGCAGATGCGTTGTCACCCATGAGCACTCAGATGTAATGCCTCGTTTCCAGTAAAAAAGGTAAGGTGTCCAGTTCTCTATTCTCACTATACGGAACACAGCAACATTAAGCTGGTATTCTGTGAGAGCGTTGTCATACCCCGGTTGAGCCGACCCATTCTTGTTAAAACCATAATATAGCTGCACCATGGCTCTACTACATAAAAACTTTGTCGACGTGATTTGAAGATTGTTTTTATGTTTATTTCGTATTTACCCAAAATTCGATCTTTGTTCCTAAAATTGTATCTATTGATTCTATCGTTGTATAAGCCCCCGCACGTTGATACTGCGATGGAACCTTGTCACAATAACAGCTGCGTGACGTTATCCACCTCAAAAAAGTACAGACAACAAAAAAGTTAATCTTCTTTTCGTGTGAGGTGTTGCCACCTCTGGTGAAAAAGTTCATGCTAAGTCATGACTCATTTAGGTCACGGTTATAGGTATTTATATACATTATTCATAGGTATTTAATTATAAATATTTCCTATTAAATTACCTACAAATATAATAAACGGGAAAGAAGTCTGTTTGATACATTTCACTAAACCTCTCAATCAATTTTAATGGACGACTAATAAATAAAACCAAGTATTAAAACATCGATGTTTATTAATACAATTTAATAATTCTAGACTAATTCTTCAATTCCACTCATATTATCATCTAAATCAGAACTAGTTTCAAAGTCCGTTTTATCAGATTCACTGTCGTTTGCCGATTAAAATTTAAAATTTCTGTCACAATTTGCTTTGAAATTAACATGCCCTCAGTAGTGTCTTAAACATTTTTTAGAGCACGGTTTATATTTTGAATCAATAACTTAGAGTCCTCTTTCTCCTTTACAAAATAATTGTCCACTTTAATAATCATTTCACGAGCACGGCTGTTTATTACTTTCTTACTCATTGTAACAGAATAAGTATAATAACAATAACAAAACTTAAAAACAAAATAAAACAGGATACCGAAAATAAAAAGCTATAAAACACGAGGTTGCGGCTGACCTTGCGAACGGTACTGACAGTTCGACTACGTCATTAAGATGGCCGCCAGCCAAAAAGTTCACGTGAACGTTCGCAATATCAACGTGCGCGGCTTATAGTGAAGACGATGGCCCTTTTTAAAGTGTATTGTCAAAACATGTGCACGGGAAATCTGTGGGCCAGTTATACTAAGAAGTAACTGGACACCCTATGAGTCCAATATAATAATGTGTTCAGGATGTTGTTGGAGTGCCTCGTTTCTGTAGTGCATCAGCGATGTTTGCAGAATACCAAGTTGACGGCTTTGCATCAATTATTCGCAAAAAGGCCACATAGGGCGCGTGGCAGTCTCAATAGCATTCTCCAAACCCTAGCAGATAAGTACACGTCTCCGCTTTGGGCCTGCTTTGTGACGAGGGTTACAAAACACTGTTATTTAATTGAAATCAAAATTGACTTCATTTGATTTTATTTTCATATTTTATTTGATTTTGATTGTATTTAATTTAATTTAGTTGACATTATTTAATATCGATTGATTTTTAATTAATTTTTTTTTATTGTATTTAATTTTATTTTGAAATTACTATTATTTGATTATTATTTTCAGCTTGGTTTTATTGTGATTTCATTTTGGTTTTGAGTTGATTTTACTTTTGATTTAATTTTTTTTATTTAATGTCCTCAATTACTAACCTAATCTAAGTCATACTAACAACTTACGGATCTTTGACTGACTGAAATAAAGAATTATTATTATTACTAAAAACGGTTACTGTAATACATCTACGTGCCAGCTACCAGCCCAGACAGCGCCCGCGCAATCCCCCACAGTTTTGTTCTATATTTCTGGTCTAATATTATACATATAAGTCGTTGGTGCTAGTCTGAACCTGCTCATGTATATCGTTATGTGTGAGCCTACCATTGTTGTTCGCAGGACGGGCACGGATCGCGGCGTGGTGAGCACTAGCAAGTGGTCGGAGTCCGTGTGGCTGGTGGCGCCGCTTGTCGCCAAGCTGCCCGCCGCCGTGCAGGGACGAGTACTCAAACAGGCTGGACAGGTGGCGCTTACGTTTACAGCTTTATCTAAAGTCATTTACAACCAACAACATGATTTAGGTGCATATGAGTTCGTCAGCAGTGAACTTTTCCGTTCATGTGGCTATAAAAGTCCGAGTAAAAGTAGAGAGAGAGGTGGCGCCGCTCGTCGCCAAGACGCCCGCTGCCGTGCAGGGACGTGTCCTCAAACAGGCTGGACAGGTGGCGCTTACGTTTACAGCTTTATCTAAAGTCATTTACAACCAACAACATGATTTAGGTGCATATGAGTTCGTCAGCAGTTGAACTTTTCGATTCATGTGGCTATAAAAGTCGAAGTAAAAGTAGAGAGAGAGGTGGCGCCGCTCGTCGCCAAGCTGCCCGCTGCCGTGCAGGGACGAGTCCTCAAACAGGCTGGACAGGTGGCGCTTACGTTTACAGCTTTATCTAAAGTCATTTACAACCAACAATGTGGTTTAGGTGCATATGAGTTCGTCAGCAGTGAACTTTTCCATTCATGTGGCTATAAAAGTCCATTGCTGGACATGAACCTTCCCCATAGATTATATTTATATAGCACTACCAATTCAGGAGGACTTTTTTATTATTTTGAGTAGTTATGAATATTCGTATGGTGAGTGTAGAGACTGGAATCGAGACTGGAGATGGATCTTAGTTCTCAGGGGTGGCAACGAATCTGCATTTTGATACTTAGTTGAGGATAAATGTGGATGTCTATGGGCCATAGCACCCACATACCGTCAGGTGGGCTGTGTGCTCGTTTGTCACCCAATGCTAGAAAAAATGATGCTACTGCCCATATTCTGTTTTAGTTTCTTTCTGATGCCTCTTACGACGCCCACGCACGGTACGATGTGGTGCAGTGGATATTCTTACGCTGCCACTATTCGGTTTGTGTACTGTTAAGGGCTGATAAAGAAAGAGAAGTGTGCGTGAGATTGCGTGTTAAGAAGTTGAGCAAGTTGACTTATAAAAGTCTATTAATTATTACAATTATTTTGTATTTATAAACAATTATATTTATATCATTATTCAAAAACATTTTTTGACATTGTGAAGTTTGTCTCTGAGAGTAAAACCTAACCCTATTTCTGTTATGTTACATCAGAGATTGTTTATGGTTTCTTTTGTTTATATTAAATCTAAACATGACTTGATTAGACAATATGCATGTAACTGTAATATACATTTTTGCGGCTAGATTCTAGAAAGCGGTTGGGGTTCCGGTTGCAGCGGAAACTGTTCTGGCAGCGGTGGCGGCGGTGGAGGGTCACATCGAGATTGCAAGAGTCATCAGAGTCCTAGCTACAAAGGGTACATTTTATTTGTCTTATATCATATTATTTTTTCAACTGCATCGTAGTTCTAAAACATTTCAGTAATGAGAGACGGTATTCGTTTAACATTGGGACGTATTAAACTGTGTTATTTTATGCGAGCGTGATTGTTTGTCGGTGGAGCCGACCCATCCGTGCTGAATCTATACTACAGCTACTGTATTACAGATTCAGCACGGATTTTTATTTAGTAAACGCTGCAACCTACATTAGCAGCGCGTCGCGTATATTCAAATTTACTTATTTAATTGCAAACTGACAATCGGCAGTACGTTAACAACCGTCCTTCTAAACAGCAACTACTCAAGGAAAGATTTGCTACTCTAACTTTATTAACTATTTTACTTTTAATTAAACTTTTAACTTTGGTGATCTTTTCCTTTTGACGTGCTCTCATCAACTACAACTCTACTTCTAAAAAGTGTGTGGCCTTACAAACTATACAGCTATACTGTGGCCGAAAGGGGCTGATGTCTAGTATTGGAACGTATACAGGCTGTATACGTATATAGATTGTTAATTTGTTCCGCGCCAGCATCATCGTTAGCTGGTGATTCCTAAAGCTGTCACTTTATTTTGTGTGAGTGTTAATGTTTGCCGACGGAGGCGATCCATTCGTGCTGCTACCATACTATAGGTGCAGCGTGGCCGAGCAGGGTTGATGTCTATTATTAGGACGTATACACGCTGATACTTTATTTCGTGCGAGCGTGAACGTTCGCGTGGTGTGGCTACGCTACAGTTGCACGTAGCCTTGCGGGGTTAATTTTCAGCATCGGAAGACATGCTGTTACCTTATCCTGTGCGAGCGGAAAAGTTCACGTGATGCATATATAGGCTGCTATTTTATTCCTTGCAAGCGTGTACGTTTGCGTGTACGCTAGAATAGAGCGCATCTGTAGCGGGCACGTGGGCGCAGGTCGGCGGGCGGTGGCGGCGGCGGCAAGCGCGGCGTGGGCGGCGCGTGCGCGTGTGGCGGCGCGGCCGGCGTGCGCCTCGCCAACGAGCCGCTGCTCTCCCTCGTGCTCACCTGCCTGCGCCACCAGGACGACCAGAAGGTGAGCTCACTACCATGCCACGATAAAATTAATTCCACTTCAAAAAGGAGTTCACAATTCTATTGTTTTTTTGATAGGTAAATTTTCTTTGAAATTTTAATAAGATAGATGTTATACTTTGGTAGACATAAATAAAATTTCGAGGAAAAATACTACTCATAATTTTAAGGGTAAAAAAGGGGTACACTACAAAGATTTAAATATTTAAATGCGCCTTTACCTTGAAAACTGTGGTATTATTTTTGGATGTGTTCGTTTGTAAGACACTGACGCGCGCACACTAATGCAATAGTGTCATCTATTATTATCTTACAGAAATTGTGTATACTACTTTCTCTGTTGCACAAATGAGCACTGATTGCGAATGAGTGAGCTCACTCATTTAAGAATGGACAACATTTCGGAGTGGTCATACTATGGTAAGGGCGCTAACTATTTAAATCTTAGGTACACTTATTATTTTAACTTCTATAGAAAGGAGACGGGCGAAAGTTCATAGAAAGCTGGGCCTGATGTTACAGCAACGATTACTGTATTATTTTATTTATATATCAATACCATTTTAAAAAAACTAAAATGTTTACAAGTTCTTCATGGTAGAAAAAATATAGGTTGTTATTTTGCTTATGCTATGTATACAATGTTATTCTCACACCAAGCTCTCACATTACACTTTAAGAAAATAATTATTAGACTTTATTATAAACTAGACATCACCATAATTTTATGTATTGTAGGACATTCAGAAACAGAAGATTCAGACGCTGCCGTCCAACTAAATTCTAGAAGTTTGAAATAATTATAAAAAATCAGAAGGAGGATGAATTAAAAACATTTTCTCTTTTAATGATTTATTAATCGTCCACTTTATCATTAACAAATAAAATATCGTCTAAAACGGTGCAGGCAGTATTAAATTCTCTTGACGCCTTGCCCAGCTTAGGTACCATATTATGGACATTACATGACAACAGCAAACTACAGTTCTTTTTCCTGCCAAAGAATTGAAATAATCTGTTTGATGATCTCTCTACCATTAAGAGGTCTGTCAACTAAAATATATGTAAAATATGTTTTTGAGCTTAAGTATATTTTTCGATTTTATTCGACCTCTCAATAGCCGGCTAAAATGGTTGGATAGTAACATTATAGGTGGCTATTAAGAGGTCGAATAAAGACAATTCTCTAAGTAGGTTGCTGTCCGTTTCTAGACACACTTCTACATATCTCCCATCTTGTATATGTTAACCATAATGGGACCTAGCCCACTTAATTTGATAAATACCTAAAGATATTTTTATTAAATTACTGTGTGTGAGCTGGGGAAAATCATTTATCATTTTGCACATGTATTCTTGTAAAATCAGAACAGAAACCGTCAGAATTCTTTATACGTAGCCAGAGTCGTTAAAGATGGGAATATTATTATAGCACAGAAAAACAACAGAAAATATTCACTAGCACCGCAAGCTCAGAGCCAAACAAAAGTTGCCTATATGAAAAAGTACACTGTGAACAAAAGTAACAAATGATTTGAGTGACGTTTTTAGTTTTCAAACTAACGTTGACATTTCCGCTTTGTGGCCTGTATAAAACATTGATAATCAATTGTGAAATCGATTTATTAATTTATTCAGTTAATTTATTTTTACGACTATTTTGAAACGTTAAGGTGTCACGAGGGAACTATTATTTAAATAAGAAGATTCTTAAACTTACCTAAAGAAGAAAAGACTGAATCACTTTTTACTGTCTTTTTTCTATTTTTGTATTAAAATCGATTAACTAACCTATTTCATCTGGCAGCATTGTTAAAAAATAAAAATGACGGAAGTCAGTATTATTCTTATAAAATATTTAATTTCTTTTGCCATAATGATTTCTTAAATTTACGCGAACACTACACATTGAATAAAACTATTATTTACGGATTTTATCGCGTTTAATTACTTTAATTTATTTTTATTATTATCCCGACGTTTCGGGTGCTTTACAGCGCCCATGGTCGCGGGGGGGACTGAGATGTTTGACGTCCCAATGTCATAGTTAGTCCGGCTACCTTCAGTTTTTTTAATATTAATTTTTGGTCCGATTTACGCAAAACGAGCTTATAGTATCATGAAGTCTTGCAGTGGTATGCTTGGGTTTGGGTTTAATTTTGTTGATTATAGGATCCCAAGCAGATGGTAGCACCCAACCATCTTCTCTATTGAAATTTGGATGTTTTTTAATTTCAATAGCCTCGCGTATCATCCTTGGTAGGAATCGGTGTTCTTTTGCGAGAATTTGTGGTTTGTCAAATCTAATGTAATGGTGGGGACGATCTTGAACATGTTCGCAGACTGCAGACTTCTCGGAGCGTCGGTGCTTCACATCAGCTATATGTTCCTTCACGCGGGTTTTTCAAAGGTCAAACAAAGAGATCTATAAAAACCCGCGTGAAAGAACATATAGCTGATGTGAAGCACCGACGCTCCGGGAAGTCTGTAGTCTGCGAACATGTTCAAGATCGTCCCCACCATTACATTAGATTTGACAAACCACAAATTCTCGCAAAAGAACACCGATTCCTACCAAGGATGATACGCGAGGCTATTGAAATTAAAAAACATCCAAATTTCAATAGAGAAGATGGTTGAGTGCTACCATCTGCTTGGGATCCTATAATCAACAAAATTAAACCCAAACCCAAGCATACCACTGCAAGACTTCATGATACTATAAGCTCGTTTTGCGTAAATCGGACCAAAAATTAATATTAAAAAAACTGAAGGTAGCCGGACTAACTATGACATTGGGACGTCAAACATCTCAGTCCCCCCGTGACCATGGGCGCTGTAAAGCACCCGAAACGTCGGGATAATAATAAAAATAAATTAAAGTAATTAAACGCGATAAAATCCGTAAATAATAGTTTTATTCAATTCTTTTGCCATGATAAAACTGCTTAATATTTCATTATTAACTACAAAAAAAACTTTAAAAAATATTGATAAATATTTCACTTGTGTAACGTTAGGCCCAAATTCGCCCGTCTCCTTTTTTGTTTAGATTAGATTAATTCTTTTAATTTACTTGTTTGTCGACAAATACCTAATTAGATTCTAATGTAAGATACTAGTCCAGGTTTGTAGTTTATGCATCGGTGTTGCATGGGTGGCCAGGGGCCCATTGCCCCGGGGAACAGATTTTAGGGAGCGACATTTTGAAATTGAAATTGAAATTGCGACGTTCTGAAAATAGAAATAATCTGTTCATAGTTACACGCATTTGTCATGGGCAAAGATGAGAATAAAAATACATTATAAATAGTATAAAAAAAGAAGAAGTTTATCAATTTTTTGAAGGGCGGCATTTTCTGCTCTAGCGTTCTCGGGCGGCCGTTATCCATGCTACGCTACTGAGCTTGTGTATTATGCTATACCCATGCGATCACTATTACTGCAGCCAAACATAATATTGCTTTACTTGATAGAGCCATGTTGCAGCTTTATTGTGGTTATACATAGCACGAATGAGTCGGCTCAACCGGGTAAGTACCATGCTGTCACGGACTAACACCGTAAAATAGCAGCTTGATGCCGCTGTGCTTCGTATGGTGAGTGTAGAAAACCGAAGATCCTATTTTTTTTTGGAAACAAGGCATTCCATCTCAGTCCTCTGAGGTGGAATGCCACATGGTCTGAGGTGAGGTCTGGGCCACAGCATCCACTTACCATCAGGTGGACTGTGTGCTCTTTTGTCACGCTTTTTGTATAAATTAAAAGTTGTCGGGTGGCAGGAGAGCCTGCTGAGCTCGATCCACGCGCAGCTGCAGCACTACCTGACGCACGCGCGCGAGCACGAGCGCGCCGCGTGCAGCGACACGTGGCAGGACGAGGTGGCGCCCGAGGCGCTGCAGCTGCGTTTCTCGCTGGCCGGCGGCATGTTCGACGCGATCCGCCGCTCCTACCAGCTCACCTCAGACTGGGCGCTGCTGCTCACGCAGCTGCTCGCGCACCAGCTCGTCGACGCCTACAGCAACAGGTAACTGCGCGTCAACGCTCTAGCTTAATGACGGACTGAGATGGGAGAAAAGAGTATGGTACATAAACACTCACGCCTGTCACCCGGAGGGGTAGGCAACAAAAATTATGGTACCAGTCCAGACGAACATCTTATCAGAAAGAGAGCCTTACAACGTCTACTCATTTTCATGCTTATTAGTTCTTAGTTATTCGTTAATGGATATAACTGTTATTCGACCAAACGTCAATTAACGGCTGAAGCCGGAGGCGGTTGTAGCTTTTGCTGTAACCGTCAACTTAAGCCGAAGGTTTAAATGTGCTAAAGTTTAGTCCGACACTAGCTAAACTTAAATATCACAGTCCAAACATGAAGGCATTTTTACTTTTACGTCACATCGGTCCAGTGACTTGAGAGTCTTTCATTTTAGTGGTGAATGGTTTCAGGGATACGAAGTTACCATGTCTCACGCTTCCCTTCAGTTAGGTACGTTTCATACTCTGGTTCTAGGATAACGATTGTGGCCTTACTATACAAACACTTGAGTACTTACGATATACCAACAGCCAATCTATCGTTGCTGAATCAAAGGCCTACTCATAGTTCACAGACATAAGACAAGGTGGCAGCTTGTGCTGTTTGATCTTCTATGCAATTTTCCGAAGGGTACAATGGGGTATTTAAGAAACATAGTATTACAGTCTTAAAAAAATAAGAATCTGTCATATTATACATTAAAAAATAATTATTTTCAGTCATAGCTATTATGCACTATGCTATTATGCCACTAATATGCACATTATTTTTGTCTAACTTATGTTGTTTAACACATTTTTGGTGGTTGAATCATAACTTCGGCCAGCTTAGGCCAAAACTTCGACTGATTTTAGCCGAATTCCGAATGTATTGATAGTCGAAACCGAAGCTTCGGTCGGACATAACATATAACAATGTTCATCTTTCCACTACAGGATTTTGTGTGCTTTATCAGGAGTTACGCAGCAAGTCATATCATTAACTAACTACTATCATTCATAAATTGACAACATATTTAAAAATTATAGAAAATTTCATAAAAACAAACATAAACTTGCTGCGTAGCGGTGCCGAATGACAGTTAACCTACAATAAATTAATATAGTCTGTGTCGCAGCAACCTGTTCACAACCTTGATCGACATGCTTGCCACTCTCATACATTCCACCCTCGCCGACGGAGGCGACGACAACAACAGGAAGCACTACCAGAACCTCATGAAGAAACTCAAGAAGGAGATCGGCGACCGACACGGGCCTTCAGTGCAGAGTGTTCGACAGCTGCTTCCTTTGTCCAAGAACACTATTATCGAGGTAGTTATGGATACACCCCGTCCCTCTGTTTTAGACTAGTATATTAAAATATATTATATTGTATTATTTAGGCTAAGCAATAAAACCAACACATCAGCATTTTATATAAGATTCCTAGTACTTAGTTGATGAGTCGAACGTCTGCGTACGAACAGACTCTTTAAAATTTATTCATTATTAAAGCCACCTCCAAATCGGTGAGACGTATTAATTTAGTCGTAGTTTAGTTTTTAAAAACTCCTTTCGACGTTCCCGAAATTTGACTGGCGCAGCCGGTAGGTATTGTTCGTGAAAGCTGTGCCTTCTCTCGAAATATTCAGGTGTCCAAATTCGCCTGGATTCGTGATAGCGGTGCGAATAGCTGTTGGGCAAATTCAAGAACCAAATAAATTTGTCATCAAGGGAAGTGGAAGCGGAAGGCATGGGAATAGCAGCTGGTTGGTGAGTAAAACTTTTCACCATCCTTGATACCACTGTTATCCCTCACTTTTAATTTAATTTGTTATTATTGAGATCGGACTTCTCTCATTATAACGTATCTGGTTTTAATTAATTTTATTTAGTAATAGACACTCTGTTACTGTAGACATAACATAACGCTGATAAGCTTAAGGGACGCAGAGTGCCTTTCGCACAGAGATTATTGAACGTTTAAAAAATAAGACTTTTTATAAAAGTAATAAATTAAATCTAATTAAAAGTTTACTATAATATAATAGATAATTAATTAATGTATGTTTTATTAATGCTAGAGATATAATACAGTTTTATTTCATTTATTTTCTTTTTATTACGTTTACATATTTTACAAAATTTATAGTTAGATTAACTTTTATTTTATAAATTATATTGTTATATGCTTTAGTGTGTTCTACCTTATATGTTTTGTTATTGCATAAAATAGTGCACTATATTAACTGACTCCTCTGACTCGTGCATTACTCTATAACGATGGAACAACCACAGGCAGCAGAACGACAAACCGTTGTAATTAATCACATTTCTACAGAGATGCTACGACTTATTCCACTTTTTAATGGCGACAAAAGACAGCTAAATTTATTTTTGAGGAAATCTGAATATGTCATTTGTAGGTATAGGGGTGACGAAGAACAAAACTTATATGTATATCACTCCATAACTAGTAGGCTTACAGATAACGCGGCGTCGTTCTTATCGGAACATGAGGATGTCGTGACGTGGTCGCAGTTGAAAGATTTGTTAACACAACATTTCGGAGACAACAATACGAAGACAATGCTAAATCATCTAACAACTAGAGAAAATAACTGGGTTTTCTCTACATATATTTTTGGATTATTTAATTTATTTATAAGCAATTTTCTAACTATATTTGATAAATTAAATGAAATAGAGACTGCCCTAGCTTTTAGTAGAGTATCTATACTTCATCAATCTATTGTAAATTCTACAAAACTCTTAGATCATTTAAAACTAATATCCAATACCAAAAATTTTGTGTACCAACCAACCGAAACTAATTTGGTAAAATTAGAACAAACCATAAGAGTAAAATCTTACCTTAAGAAAAACCATATAGCATTTATAATGGAGATTCCGTTAACTGATAATAATACCTACAATTATTTTAAGGTTTATTCCGTACCTATTTTCCGCGAATCTGTAAACGAAACAATTACCATATTCCCAAAATATCCTTACCTCCTGGTAAAAGGGACGAAATACTTACCAGTTACGAAACCCTGTCGCCCCCTTGCTGCTGGTAATGATTTCCTGTGTACCGAAGAAAATAGAGCCCTCTACCCTGGACTTACCTGCATAGAACAGTTGATGAAATTTGAGAATAACCTTACCTGTTGCACGCAACACGCTATTATAATTGAAGACGTTAAGGTACAGCAAATTAAAGCAGAAAATTGGATTGTTTTTACAAAGCTAAAAACGACACTGACCAAACACTGCGATAACGAGATCAGCAAGCAACCCATTTTTGGAACCTATATACTAACCAGTGATAAACCCTGTGACCTGCAGATACATGGTACTTACATTCATCACCACCGTGTTTACACAGAATACGAAGCGGCGCTACCAGTTCCAGTCATCAACTTACCTCAATTACGTTCAACTACCAATGTAACAAGTACACGCATAATTCACATGAATGGTGTCACTTTGGACGGAGTGAAGTATATGTCAAATGCTTTAAAACACAGTGAAATCTATTACACAGACTCAAGTGCCTTCAAAGGAGAAAAAGACTAACTTCAGTGTTCTAACATATGTAATTTTAAATTTTCTAGCCTTATGTTTCTTATTGTTTTTAATATACTTGTAAAAAATGTATGCCTCACTTCCATAAATTATCGTAAAAACATTAAAAATGATATTACCGATAATTTTGCTCTTAGGGAAGGAGGAGTTATGGATACACCCCGTCCCTCTGTTTTAGACTAGTATATTAAAATATATTATATTGTATTATTTAGGCTAAGCAATAAAACTAACACATCAGCATTTTATATAAGATTCCTAGTACTTAGTTGATGAGTCGAACGTCGTACGTGCGTACGAACAGACTTTAAAAATTTATCATTATTAAAGCCACTTCCAAATCGGTGAGGCTTATTAATTTAGTCGTAGTTTAGTTTTAAAAACTCCTTCCGACGTTCCCGAAATTTGACTAGGTATGCAAAATAATTAAATACAATCTCATTTGAAAATAAAAATTGTTCTGGCATAACCTTTTTTATAATTATATATAATATAAACATAAATATAATATATAGATAAACAAATTATACTAACAGAACTAAGAATAGGGAAGGAAACTAGCCCCTGAAATACAGGTATTATATCCTAGTCTACGGGCTAATGACCACTTTAAATTTTGTGCATGTAATATGCTTATCAATAAAGATTATTATTATTATTATAATTATGATTTCTTACATTTACGCGAACACTACACATTGAATAAAACTATTATTTACGGCTTTTATCGCGTTTAATTCAACTTTAATTTATTTTTTATTATCCCGACGTTTCGGGTGCTTTACAGCTCCCGTGGTCACGGGGGGGGGGGGCTGAGTGTTTGACGTCCCACCTTACTGCTTGATAAAATATTTATTTAATTGACCCTCTCCATAGATTGAACCTCTCATGGCTGAGTGACTTTAGGTTTCCTCATGAGATTGGTAGAGAGTTACAATAGGATAAAAACGGTAACAAAGATATTCGCAGTAGAACCGAGTAACCGAAATTGTCTAACGGAAGTAAATAGGTAATAGACTATTCGTATAACCTGAAGAACCGACAGTCATCGTAAAAGAAAAGTTCTTAAATGGCATTCTCGTACCGGTAAGCAAAACACGGATTGGACCTCCACAAAACAGAGTGACGACTTGGGAAATTCAGGAAGTTTTGGAATCGTTTGTTATGTGTTATCATTATGGTAACATTTTTAAACTTAAAATTCGATATTAATAAAAATTACATTAGCTTTATACCATTTAAAATTAAACGCGATGAAATCCGTAAAATTATTTTGAAAATATTTGTTACCGTTTATTGTTTTAGGTGATAGCTTGCGAGCCTCTGGGTTGCTTGGTGGATCAAAAGGGCAACAAAATCTCCGGATTTGACAGCGACAAGAAACAGGTTAAGCATTATATTTATTTGAGCATTATTACCAACAATTCATTGTCTAACAACTTTAAGTAAATTAACATACCAATACTTAAAGCTTTGTTCAATATTTTTCCCACAAATGTATAAACTACAACACCTACAATAGTACTCTTTTGGTATTTATATTAAATATTTTAAAGTTTCAAAATTCCAAACTGTCTATTATCTATTCCTGGCTGTCTAATGTCTATTTGAGTAAATACATTTTTTATATGTGGTAGAGCCACGCTGTAGCTATATTATGGTTATAGCACGAATGGGTCGGCTTGACCAGGGAAAAACCACGCCGTCACAGAATACCAGCATAAAATAGCAGCTTAATACTGCTATGTTTTGTATGGTGATTGTAGCGATCCGGAGACTTTACTGGAAACGAGGCATTCCATCTTAGTCCTCAGGGGTGACAACGCATCTGCCTTTTGATTCTTAATCGAGGATAAATGTAGATGTCTATAGGCCACAGCATCCACTTTCTATCAGGTGGACTGTGTGCTCGTTTGTCACCCTTATTCTATAAAAAATATATACAATTGCATAAAATTGAATCCAAACACATTATACCTTATTACCTACTTATATTATTCTGTTTTGTTGGCGACTTTAATAATTTGTTTCATTATTCTTTTTACATTAGGGTCTTAGACTAACGGATAAACAACGTGTGTCGAGTTGGGAGCTGGTGGAAGGCGGACGGAACCCTGCGCCGCTCTCCTGGGCCTGGTTTGCTGCTACGAAAATCGAACGAAAACCCCTAACATATGAAAATGCTCACAGGTATTATAAAATGAAACATATCAAATGTAATACAGAAAAAAATATAATACCTAAATTAATTAATTATAAAAGTCATTATATAAAGCGTAGGATATTCAGGGTATGTTCCAAAATAGAACCCAGTGTACTGTCCAATGCAAATGACGTCATGAATCGACGCTATACTGGTGATTCGTTCCAAAACATAGGACAGTATATGACGTCATACATTTGCGCCATATTGGAAAAGTGTTAGCGATTATTTTGTCATTTTGTGCTCCAAAAATCATTACATCCTCCTAATGGAGATACCAACAATTATTCTATAATTTTTTTGTATTTGAATAAATAAAAACAAATTCTGGCATGCTTCATTCAGCGCACACACAAATAAAAACTGTTTTATTATGGCCGGATATCCGACGCAATATTGCGGCGGCACGCCTGTACAATAAAGTGTCAATTGATGACGTCATTCGTATTCGGCTGTATGCTGAAAACATTTCTGAACATACCCTCATACCAGAAAATCTTGATTGGAAAAAAATGGCTTCAGATTTTATACATATACTTTTCATCATTCATTGCAGGTTATTGAAGTATCACACACACAGCCTGGTCAAACCGTTGAGTTACTACTTGGAGTCACTCCCATTGCCACCTGAAGATTTGGAGACTAACGAAGGCAAACAGGTAATGGGTGTCCTATTTATTGTTTTAAAAATAGGAATATAATATTTATCCTGTAATAATAATAATTTGTGTGTTTAGGATAATGGGAGTTTGGAATCCAGTCCAACAGGAGCTGGAAAAGGACGTAAGATGCCTTGTAAAAATAATAAGGCCAAGAAACCAAAAGTTACAACTCCAGTAAGTTTCTATATTCTGCATATTACCATAATCTGATGCGTATTTTTCCCATAACTAATCAATTGTTAAATACCTGATTTATTATACTTGAATATAACTTTATTGTTATAGTCAACCAAATTTAAGAAATACCTTTTGACGTTTCACATTAATCATTCCGCAATAACTTTGCACAAGCGTACTCACACGATTTGAAATAACTATTTACGTAAATCCGAAGAATTATGAAGTTATCTATATTTCATTATAACGTGTATAATTTTTTATCACTAATTTAAATTCGAATTCTTCAAACAAAGTAAAATATTAAAAAATTAACCAGTATCAACTTTTTTACTGGACGTCGCTTCAATGATATGTCTCTATGTACCTTACCATAGTGTTTCGATGATTAAAATTCATTGTTATGCTATTCATCGGCAAAAATATTCAAATAATCGAATCATTATTTTTTATTGTATTATTTGTTAATTATTTTTTTGAATTCCTTAAATTACATGTATCATGAATAAAACAAGTGTATTTTTTTACTTCTCAACCTAACCTAACCTGTTGTGTTGGCAAAAAACTCATATACATACAATGCCGCGCTGAAAAAAGCACTATGTAATTTCAATCTCCCGCCATTTCGGGAGCTTAATGTGCGTAATTTTGTGTTTGTCTTATTATTTTGTGACTCGGCTTTAACTTTTTGGACTGTTTCTTCTATATTCTTTGAAGCATGTGCCCAAGTCGCATTGGGCAAAAGCGGTAGAAAAAAACAAAAAAAAATTGGTTATGGATGACTTTGAAAGACACATTAATTTTGACTGTATTATTGAAAATCAAACAATAATAATTCGAAAAAAGTCTAGGTGCGACCCGAAAGGTCCACACGACTAACTTCCCAGAGGAAAGAATAAAAAAATATCATATGTTTTAATATTTTCATCTAGTCATATTTTTAATCTAGTTTCAATCTTAAATTTTTATAACTGTGCGTCTAGAAATACGCAGTAACAACAAATACGAAGAAACTGATAAATCTTGTATTTTAAATTAACCTTTTTTTGATTTATTCTGGTTTTATTCAAATCAAACTGGAAATGATTACCGACTGTAAATAATCGATATCGATTTTTTAAGAATCGAATATTGTATGTTTCCATTTTTTGGTTGGCATGCTTGGTGCAATAAGTCTGACCAGCTGTCAAAACGTATTTCTTAGATATGGTTGACTATAAATATGCAGAATTACATAACACTATTTAATCACTCATTCATTAGTTCTTTTTGTCAGTGACTTGCCTAAGAGGATCCTAAAAGCTGTGTTAGCTCAGAAGATAGTCAGCGCTCGCTGTAAATTTACACAGTACGCTAGTATCCCGGGATCGATCTCCGCCGGCATCAGTGAAATTGTTAATTGCAATTTTAAGTGCTGATTTATCATGTGTTCGGCGGTGTAGGAAAACATCGTAAGGAAACCTGCATGTCTGAAGAAATAAGAAAACAAATATTTCGAAAACATGTAAAGTTCGCCAATTCGCATTGGGGCAGCGGATACTTGCACTAAACCTCAGAAATTAGGGGAGGCCTGTGCCCAGCATTAGGACGTATATACTGTAATTTTAGTGCAATTACCATATAATGACATAATTTTGAGTTATATATATTCCTCCTCCATTCTTTGGTCACACCAAGATATATATGTAACGCAAAATCGCAGATAGGATATTACTAAACACAGAGGTAAACAACTCTATTATAATATATATATATATATATATATATATATATATATATATATATATATATATATATATATATATATTATCCTAGAGTTGTTTACCACTGTGTTTAGTAATATCCTATCTGGGATTTTCATATCGTCATAACTGGGATATCGTCATAACACTTACACGGAAAACTTAATTGATAACTACAATTATTATTAAAGTCAAAAATATATTTGTCACGCTTTATGAGTAATGTTATCCTCACGGTCCCACTTATTTGAATTGTATGTTTTTACATTATTATTTCATATTTTATTTTAATTAATTAATTATATAAATTAATAAAAACTGCCAGTATTCCTCAACTAGGTAACACAGTACTTCCGAAAAATTAACTGTTAGTAAAGTTAATACGCGGGAAGAGTATTTTTTACGTTGTTGACATTTGCGTCAACAGGATATGCGTGTCTACTCAATATAAAAACCAAACCATGGGATTTAACCTCCCTCATTTGTGTCTTTGGCTAAACTTACGGAAAAGATGACTTGAAGCTTTTGTCATTGCAGTAACACGCGCACAAAGCATGTGCAAACTACGAAATCTACTGAAGCAAGTACAGTACTTCACGAATCGTTGCCAGCTTAGCGATTTATGAGGCTTCAAAACAAAAAAGCGTACCTACAGTGCACAATGCTCGTACGAATCTCTTGCGCGAGTTAATGATTCCGCAACTTTCTGCCATCAGGGCGGCGCCACTTTCGAGTGAGGTTAAATATTTCACAGATTTCATAGCGGGGAAGTTAATTTGTCAGGAAAATTCAGGCTTAATGTTTCTTTCTGTCGTTTGTTATATAATATATCATTTACATTAAAAATAAATATACCAAACTACGGATATTCCAAAAGTAGAAAAATAAAAAAACGTAAAAAAGTATGTAAAAACTTAAAGAGCAAACCAATGAGGCATTGTTCTGTGTATTGTAATACTCTAGAAAGTGATAATTTTTTATTTTATTCAATTCGTCATTTTTTATTTCATTCTTCTCAATCAAATGATATTGTGTAAGAAAAAGTTTTACATCAGTGCCAACTGGCGACATCTGGTAAACGGCAATTATTGGATGCTTTTGGCAGAAAAAAGCGCTAGCAAGCGCTTGTAAGCAAAATGGCGATCGTAAGCGGTAAGCGCTGTCAAATCGTAAGTAGCTATTTTCCTCTAGGACACGAAGTTAGTTTTAACCGGGACTAACCTATTTTAAATATATGTTTGTAAAGTATTCATATTAAAAACTTACCAATCATGAATTTTTAATAACATGTATATGTTTATTCATGTCATTATACTACTTAAAACTAATATTGCACAAAACATCTTATAAACTCTACTTCAAAACAAACTTAAATAAGCAAAATGGCGGATTGTGTCAGCGCTACTGAAGTTAGCAAACGTGTCCTGGCCGAAAACTGTTTATGTTCGCCATTTTGTTTACGCGTTGCTAGCGCTTTTTTCTGCCAGACGCACCCATTAGGTCTCATTGTATCCGTTGTGTCAGACGGGCGGAGGGGGGGCCGGTGGGCGCGGTGGGCGCGGCGGGCGCGGGCGGCGCGGCGGGCGGGCTGGCCGCGGCGCCGCAGCAGCAGCCGCAGTTCATGCAGTCGCAGCAGCAGTGGTTCCCGCCACCGGGGCCCACTTACTACAATCCACCAGGTAACTTCGCGCTTTGTTTTTTTATACAACAAGGGTGACAAACGACCACACAGTCCACCTGATGGTATACGGATATTATGGTCCGTAGACATTTACATTTATCCTCAATTAAAAATCAAAATTCAGACGCGTTATCACCTCAGAGGATAAGATGGAATGGCTTGTTTTCTGTAAAAAAAAGTCTCCGCTTCTCTACACTCACCGTACGAAACGCAGCAGCTTTAAGCTTCCGTTTTACATTGGTATTCTGTAAGAGCATGGTCCTATCACGTAGTAAAAAGGACGCTATAACATTATTATTATATTTATTTAGTAACTATAATATTTCACTACAATACACTCGTTAAGTGCACGTTACGACACTATAGTTTACCTTTAGAAGGGTTGTAATGCTTGAACTAGGGATACAAGATAAAATGAAAACTACTAAATATCGATGATCTGTTTCAACGCGATATCATCGATATTTACATACGTTTAATTTAGAGTAGTGAAATTAAAAGAAATTTATAGTAAATAGAAAGCATTTATCAAAATAAGGTTAAGGCTAAGGTGAACTGACAAATCAAACCACCTGAATATGAATATGTTGTGAAATCTCGAAGAATAATCTTACAATACGATTTATCGATGCACCTGAGGAACAATAATTTGAAAGTCTTTCTCCATGTAACCACTTCCGATTATGCTAAACTTTTTTATTTCTCCATGAGCATGTTACATAAGTATTTCCAGATACTTTTTAAATTTTTTTTACATTACCTGTCGGCGACAAGGTCTCATCTGCGCTCCTAGATGCACATACTACAGTTATGCATAATTAACCAGTGACGATCTGTGTTTCGTTTATAAGACTATTATAATTTCCTAATTAGTGTAGTTAGCGTGTAATAACTCATATTAGAATATAATTTATAAGGGTTAGCTTTTAATAATAATTTTATAAGGGACTTTTTAAGCGAAAATTTGTATTGTAAATACTTATAAAAAAATAAAGAATTTAAATTTTGTTTATCGGTTGAAAACTAGTGTTAAATTAAAGGTTTAAATGTAATATAATATAAACAAAAAGAACTAAGTAGATCAGACATCTGTTTCAAAAAATATAAGATAAAATGTATAGTGAATTAACAATTTTATAGGTTTTTGTTCTAGAAATTTTATATTTAAGAAATTAATAGCTTATATTATTATTTTATATTATAGAATAGTACTAGAGAAATCTAACGATGTATATATTGTAAGGACTATGTAAAAATTATAATAAATAAAGGCTCCAAAGGTTTCGGCTTTAAATAAAAACAACACGCAAGAAAGGCAAAACCGCATAAGCGTCCGTACGGTAACGCCGGCGGGTATAAAAGTCGAGCCGATTTCGGCTCAAGTCAATTGTAATTTATATAATTCAATTCAATTGTAATTTATATAATTTTCATTTCGCACTTTTGCGTTATTAATTAACCAAACCAATTACAGTTTTGAAGTCAGTTTAAATTACTTACCTATTAAGTTCTTTTAATTCCTTTTTTTATTTCTCCGTTTTTATATTTGTGCTAGGTATTTATAATTTTCGATTGGGAAATAAAGCACAAAAGGCGTGGCGTGACGCCATCTCTTGCTATTTGAGTTTATGTTTTTGGCATTCAATGCAAATCGCCATTTTCTATTATTAATTTACTTTGTTATCAATCACTTATCATATCGACTCAATTGGGTTATACCTTACCGAAATTACAAACAGGTAAAATGTATTGTGTCAGTACATCTTTGTTATGAAAAATTAATAACTACTGTAATTGGAAATTGTTACAGTTCAAATTATTTTTAGTCATACTAACAAAGGGTTTTTTTTAAGTTAAAACTTAAATTAATTCACAAAAGGTATGTTTTTATTTTTGGTATGAAAGTTGTTCAGTTTCACGGGTAGTTATAACAACCGCAACAGTATAACAAAAATTACGGGAAATTATGAAACACGTTGTATAGTCAGTTACAGATATTCGCGTGTCACAGTTTGCTTTACATACAAGCGAGCAAAGTGCATACAATCTCAGAATGCTCTGAGCTCGTATGTACTTTGCTCCAATTTGTTTGTGATTTCAATGAGCACGATGTAGTTCAGTACAGACTATGTGTGTCTGGGTCGGCATACAGTTTGGCAATACGCACCCGGGAAGGACAGGCGTAGAGCTGCCAGCTTACAGGCCGATCACGCTGCTACTGCATATAGCTAAACTGTTTGAAAAAATACTGCTCAGACGTCTCCGCCCGTGATCCAACTTCGGGCGGAGCAGCATGGATTCAGGAGGGACCACTCAACAGCAACACAGCTGACCAGAGTGCTGCACCTACTTGCGGCCGAGCACAACCGCGGCCGCACATCGTTGGGCGTCTTTCTCGATATCGAGAAGGCGTTCGACAGGGTGTGGCACCCAGGACTACTCTATAAGTTAGACGATCAGACCAGTGTCCCTCCTGCTCTATTGCGGCTAGTGGCGTCTTTCCTCGTAGACAGGAAGTTCTACGTCTGTGTAGAGGACGCCGAGTCCGCAATAAAACCCATAACAGCTGGTGTGCCACAGGGAAGCTGTCTGTCTCCAGTCCTGTACGCGGCTTACACCAATGACATCCCTACCCTGGCAGGACATCTGCACGAATGGTAGGACGACGTCGAACTGGCGCTTTTTGTGGATGACAGCGCCTACTTCACCTGGTCCAGAAGAGTCCATATCGCCACTGCCAGGATGCAACGTCTGCTGGACCTGCTGCCACCATGGTTGGATGAGTGGAGGATGGCCGTCAATGTTAGCAAGACGACCGCTCTGCTCACTCGCCGCTATAGAAACCTACCACCACCGCTAACCCTCAGAGGCCAGGAGATCGCAATTAAAATTGTTTTATTATGGCCGGATATCCGACACAATTTGGCGGCGGCACATTAGTGTCATTAGTGTCAATTGATGACGTCATTTGTATTTGTATTGTATTCAGCAGTATACTGAAAACGTTTCGGAACATACACGAAAATTCTGCATACGTCGCAAGATGTTGCCTTTTTGTGAAATGCAAATTTGTCTTTCCGTCTTGCTTGGGGATACAATGTATGGTGATAATAATCGAAATTAGTGCCTCGTAATAATATTATATTGTCAATACTTACCGATATTTAATTATTCTATTTTTATGAATGTAGGTGGCTTAGAACCGTATTGTTGCACTCCTTAGGGGAGACCTATGCTCAGCTGTGGTGGACAAGTGATGGGCTATGAAAATGATAATTCAGTTTATTATGCGTAATAATTATGTTTGTAACCTTTTAGCGGCAGGCGTGAGCCCACGTGGAGTCTCGCAACCAGCCAACACTCAGTCCAAACAGGCTCTCAGCAATATGCTACGACAACGCGTGCCCTTCAACCAAATGACTCAAATGCAGGTAAACGTTATTTCATTTGTCAAAAATATGGGTCTAATTGGTATGGATGGGTTACGAATAGTGTTGCCAGGTTTAGTAAGAAAAATTTCGGGACGGAAGGTAATAATAATCGGGAATTTGGTTTTCACATCGGAACAGCTACAATGGCTACAAAATACAGGTTTTTTTGTAGGCTTTTTGTGCTTTAAAATTATTATTCGGGTAAAATCTCACGAACGAATAACTTTTCATCCAAACATCGTAAAAACTACATTTTCTTCGTCTATGTTTTTTCGTTTTAGGCAAATAAATCAATACATTATTTTGAACTATTTGTTTTTTTTTTTTGCGGTCTCTGATTTTTTCAAATCGCTCATTTTAATATAATTGTGTTTAAAACTTTTGTGTTTTTTTCGACTGGTGAGAAAATGTCGTAGTAAAAATATTTTAATGTAGTAGTTGCTAACAGATGTAATCATTTTTGCTGTCAAAATTATGGATTAAAGTACAGACTACGAAGGTTAGTGAAAATCGGGACATTTGAAGTCCCGATCAAGGATGAATCGGGACGTGTCACCAGACCCTTGAAAATCGGGACGTCCCGCGCTAATCGAGACCGACAGTTTGCGATAGTTAGAGTTCGCTTTAGTTCAAAGACAATCTGAAATTAGTAAATATTAACTTTGTTGCTACCCTTCAAGACTTAAATGGAATGTCCCTTTAGAAATTCGATTGAAATTGAAAGAGGTGTGCAAGATCTTTTTTATTTTTATTAAAATGTACATGTGTAACAGACATGTAATTATATTTTTAATCTGTATTCCTTCGCAGAGCGCTGGATATCCGGGTGCGCCACACGCAAGAGGGCCCTTCCCACGGCAAGGCATGAGGCAGATGCAACCAAATCAAATGAGTCAAATGCAACCAAAGTAAGTTAATACATTTTCGTTTCCATATTTATAACATTCCTAGAGCCACGCTGCACCCATATTATAGTTGTAGCTCGAATGGTTCGGCTCGACCGGGGAAGGGCCACGCTCTCACAGAGTACCAGCGTAAAATAGCAGCTTAATACTGCTGTGTTTCGTATGATGAGTGTGTAGAGATCCGGAGAACCTTTTTTAATGGAAGCGAGGCATTCCATCTTAGTCCTCAGGGGTGACAACGCACCTGCGTTTTGATTCTTAATTGAGTGTAAATGTAGATGTCTATGGGCCACAGCATCCACTTACCATCAGGTGGACTGTGTGCTTGTTTGTCACCCTTATTCTATAAAAAAAAAAACTTGTTATTTGTGAGTCATTATGTTTATCGTTGAGATTGTAACTGAATTGACAAACTTACTGTCCAACTGATAGTAAGTGTCTACCGCAGTCCATGTAAACTTGCAGCCAACTTCAAAGAATACTACAAATGCGTTGTCACCTCGGAAGACTAAGATGGAATGTTTCACAACCTGTAATCATACTGATTCTCTCTATGTCGTTCAGACCAGGACAACATATCAGTGCAAGCAATGCTAAGAGCATATATGTATAAAGGTGGTATTTAATATACATATGGACCTCGAGGCGGAAAAGAGATTTTACTAATTTGTATAATATGTATGTATAATATTTTAAGAGATAATGTATATATAGATGTTTTATCATAGAATAAACATAGGTGATCAGTAGATAATTATAGATTGTATTGTTAAATTGGTAAATTATATCGAGTACAATTTTTGAGTTTTGTCATTTTTTGTATATTAAATTGGCTTATTTTAATATAATATTACATAATATTATATCAAAATTACATTTTAATTATATTTTTATCTTAATATTTTAAAAGGTAACATGTCAAATATTAAAAAAAAAACTTACTAAATGTATGTTTAGCAAAACACGTTAATATAACATTTAAATTACAGATATATTTATTTAAATTACAATAACATTCGTATATAAATGCTGGGCCCATGAGAGATAAAAATGGAGGAGTTTATTCCACTTTGACTTTGATGTGGAAACCTAAAAATAAAATAAAAGAATTATGAGCAGATTTAAATTTAAAAAAATTTTGCCTAATTATGATAACTTATATACGTTTCTACAAAAAAAAATATTGTTCATAATAATATATTCGTCCTATACTTAAGTACCTACAGAAATATCGCATCTGAACTAATTAATTTAAAAATATAATTTGCCATGACACGAGATGGCTTCTTAGGAACAATTTGTTTTATTATTAATCTATAATACTTTTTTTTATTGATTAATTATCTTATTAACCGATAAAAAGTTATTCCTTAGTATTTACTAACATTACTTGAATTATTTGTGCAATATCTAAAAACACACCAAGACATATTTTATCGAGAATTTTTTTTAATATAATTAATCAACATGTGTCAAGTCACTAGTGCCTAACGAGTAACTGAGTGTGCGGTGCAACGCCGCAATTGAATGGTACAGGTATGAGGTAGTTAGTTGGTTTTTTTTTCAAATTTATTTGGGAGCCCAGAAGCATAACCTATTTTATAGTAAAAAAATCATTAAAATCGATCCGCAATTGACAAAGATATCGCGCATCATACATAGATAGCATTGAACGTTAGTTAGGACATAGCGAAGGCCTACGATCGGCTCTAGTACAAAGATCTTCTTTCGAAGATCCGATCCTATGGGCTTCCCAAGAAATTGTGCAATTGGAACACCAATTTCCTTGTTGATCAGAGCACCAAGGCCGTAGTAGACGGTAAATACTCTGATTACAAGCCTATAAAGCCGTGTTCCACAAGGCTGCGTGCTATAACCACCGCTGCTCTATCTACATCTCCTTTTGCATATCAGTGATATGTTGCAAACTGAAAACATTCATTGTTATGCAGACGACATCACTGGTGATACATTATACACCGGCCGTGCCAATACGTCGCCGAGTACTGGAACAAACTTGTGTCGGAAGCCGCGTCTCTGCTGAACAAATTCTTGGATTGAGGGCAACTAAATCTAGTCCAGTTCAATCCACAGAAGATACTAGTTTTACAGTGTTTTTTTACGTTTACCGCTAAAAAGAACCCCTTTGTCATATCTCCTCAGTTTCAAGGAATTCCCCTTGCTGCCTCAGTTATTATCGGAATACTTGGCTTCGACATATCGAATAGTATGCAGTTTAGTGTTTACTTGGAAGGGAAGGCCAAATTGAGCTCTAAAAAGCTTAGCGTGTTTACCAGAGCGAGACAGTATTTAATACCGGCATTTCGCTTGCAACTTTACAAAGCGCAAGTTCGACCTCACATAAAATACTGCTCTCATCTCTGGGCCGAGGCATCCCAGTGCCAGCTCCTTCCACTTGACTGCATCCAGCACAGAGCGGTTCGAATCGTCGACGACCGAGTTCTTTCTGGTCGGCTCAATTCACTGGCGCTGCGTAGGGATGTTGCATTATTTTACATTTTCTATCGCATCTAGCACGGCGAATGTTCGGATTAATTCCAGCTGCCAAATTTCATGAACGCACATCGCGTCAAAATTAACGATACTATCCTCACCATCTGGATGCTAAGTGGTCCACCACTGTGCGTTTTACTAGGAGTTTTCTTCCTCGTACAACTTCTCTGTGTTCTAAAAGGCCGGCAACGCACCTGCAATTCCCTTGGTGTTGCGGTTGATCATGGGCGGCGGTAGTCATTTAACATCAGGTGAGCCGCATGCTCGTTTGTCCCCTCTTCTATAAAAGAAAACATACATACATAAATTAAGAACTTCACCTTTTTTGAAGTCAGTTAATAACAGTTATATTGCTCGTTCTTTCAGTCAAATGAATCCAATGAGTGCTATGGGCAACATGGGTCCAATGGGTCAAATAGGTGGCGTCCAAATGGGTCCCGGACAAATGGGCGCAGGTCAGATGGGAAGCGGTCAAATGGGTCAGGGACAGATGGGCGGCGGTCAGATGGGAACCGGACAGATGCCTGGGATGGGGGGACAAATGTTTGGCGGACAATACGGCGGTATGCAGCAAGGATATGGTGGCTATGGACAGCAGATGATGCAAGGTGGACAACAACAGATGATAAACCAGGTAAATTACCATAGTGTATTAAGAATTCTTATAAGGAGTAGTTGGTGATACCAAATCATACCTAGTATTAAACTATAATTGTGTGTCGTATCGTGACACAAATATATCGTATCATATAACGAATCAGATTTGTTGCTATAGTTTTAAACTTTTAAAGTGAAAATGAGTAAGCAAGGGTAACATATGATTATGTGGCTCTTCATATTTAAGTATTGTTGCTTTTATTTGGTTTTTCTGTTTTATTGCTTTTGTATGATAATCCTTTTTTATTAATTGTTTTCAATCTAAAATATAAAAATTAATGTTTGTTTGTTCGTACTTTTTGCGCTACCTTACAGTTCATCAGATTGCGGTAAAACTTTGTCAACTTATTGCTTGCTCTTGCGCGAAGGTTATAGGCATAGTACAATTAACTTACACTAGGTGGCGCGTGTATCATGCAATTTCGACGATTGTATTATCATTTCTAAATAAACAATATAACTCTTTCAAATTTAAAACGATATTTCCACAATTATTTCTTCTGCGGTAGCAATGCGCCGGGTACTAGCTAGTATCTTATAAAAAATGTGTGTGTTCATAGTTCTTCTGCTCTTAAACCGCTTGATCGATTTGATATAATCCTCATAGGATATTTCGGGATTTGTATGGTTCTTGGCTATAGTTCTACCCAGCAGGTGGCGCTATTGTCGAGATCCAAAAATGTTCAAAACCAAGGTGGATCGCTTGTAATATTCATCATCATCATCATTACAGCCCTTCACAAGTCCACTGCTGAACATAGGCCTCCCCCAAGGTATGCCACAAAGCACGGTCCTGAGCCACCTGCATCCACCGACTTCCTGCATGTCTTACACTTCACACTTCGTCTACCGGTACGAGGCTGCCACTTGAGAACCTTTTCTCCCCATCGGTTGTCGGTTCTTCGAGTTATTTGGCCAGCCCACTGCCACTTCAGCTTACTAATCCGTTGGGTTATGTCGGTCACTCTGGTTCTACTGCGGATATCCTCATTTCTAAGTTTATCAAGCAGAGAAACTCCGAGCATAGCCCTCTCCATAGCTAGCTGAGCGACCTTGAGCGTCCTCATACGGCCAGCAGTGAAGGACCACGTCTCGGTTCCGTAGGTCATCACTGGCAACACGCACTGGTTGTACAACTTAGTTTTCAGGTTTTGAGGTATACCTGAAGAGAAGATGTGTTGTAATATTATATGAAACTATTACTATCGCCCTTTATTGCTTGCGTTCTATATTACATGTTAAATAATGTTAATTTTTTACAATAAGATACAGTGTCTTTTTGTTTCTTTTCTTTACAGATATAACTTATTGTTCAATGTGAGCTAATATGTTAATATCATATTGGTAACAATTAAATGTTATAAAATTACTTATAGTAGTACCTTATATTACTTTCAGGGCATGGGACAGAGTGTAAATCAAATGGGTCAACAGGTAAATCAGATGGGGCAAGGTGTGAATTCGATTGGACAAAATGTTGGACAAATGAATCAAGGCGTTGGACAAGGGGGGACAGATGGCACAAGGCATGGGACAGATGGGTCAAAGCATGGGTCAAATGGGACAGGCAATTGGTCAGATGGGACAAATGGGACAAGGAGGAGGTATGGGAACAATGAATAGTCAAGCGACATCGATGGGACCACAAGGAGGCAACGCCATGGGAGGATTCCCTGGGCAACAATCATTCCAACAGGTATTATTTTTACAAGCATTTAGACAATTATAATGCTATGAGTTATTGTAGTTGAATACTGTTTTATAAAAAAAAAGCCGTGGTAGCTCAGATGGTTAACGCTCGCTGTAAATATAACAGAACGCGACAGTAACCCGGGTTCGATCCCCGCCGGCGCCAATGAAATTGTTAATTGCAATTTTAAGTGCTGATTTACCACTGTGCTCGGTGGTGAAGGAAAACGTGAGGAAACCTGCATGTCTGAGTAATAAGAAAAAAAATATTTCGAAGACATGTGAAGTTCGCCAACACGTATTGGGACAGCGCGGCGGACACTTCCTGTGCTCAGCTGTGGGACGTATATAGGCTGTAACTTTTACTGTCTTAGAATTATATTTAAAAAAATTGTATGTACATTAAATTTATATAAAAAATAATGTAGATGCATATTGTATTAAAACAATTATGCCGATACTCAAACACTATTCAATTTTAAGATGCCGTTTAGTCTTGTGTTATCTCTACCACTTTAAGTCAAAATGACTGACACTACGGGCACTTGTACACGCTAAGAAATTTCACCGTGTCTACGGCAGATATTGCCAATTAATCATGTATACGTCTATAATTTAGTCGGATCTAGCCACGAATACTTGTCGAGTCTGTTTCAGACAAAATAAATGGAGACGTGTAAACGATGACATTGTTTCCGGTCAGTTGTGCTTAGTGGAAAATATTTATGATAATAAATATTTCTCTCCATGCTTCAAAAGTGCATCGTTTTTCTTTATACATTTTAAATGTTTTGTCCCATAATACGGGTCGTGCCTCTACTTAAATTATAAGCTACTCATTCGTATTATTTGATTCCATCCCGAATCCGGCGTAATAAACTGGGTACTTGCATGTAAATACGTCCACGCATGTACAAAAAGTACTCGAATTATCCGAAGCACTTCACCTACTAAAAAAATACTCCCGCCGGGTTTCTTGCTGATTCTTCCCAGAACAGAGGTTCTTTGCGAACCAGTGGTAATGAATAAAAAAATTACTACAAGTATTACGTGTAATCCATATTGAATAAAAAGTTTCTGTTTTTATTTTTGTTTCTACTCTGCCCCTTCCTTACCACTACCACAACAACACAGAGCTCGTCTTAGCCGACAAGATTTTATTCTTTGTCAGCGCTGGAGCATTGTACACAGTTGTGTGTAAAAATGACACGAATACTTGCATACACTCGGCGACTTAGCGTGTATAAGCGCCCTTAAGACCGATTTACACTTCGATAAGTACAGTAGCTAGTTAACTGGCGAGTTAAGTTTGAACCTCGTTTGAACGGCAATAAGCGAGTTAAGTAGCAAGTTAACGATTAAGTTGAACGGGATAGCCGGCCGAGCTATTTTTCGGCGAGTTAAGTGCGAAGTGCTGCCGTCCCGCGCGTCACCCGCAACTAAACTCGCCGTTCGTGTAAACGAGCGAGTTTAGTTCAGTGCATAAGTTGACAGGACGCAACGTTTGCGCGCCGAAACGTACAATTGTACTTTTATAATTAAACTCGCCACAAAGTTTGTACGATACTGTTTATTGAATATTTATACGTTTTATATTGAGTTTTAATAATGAAATGGACGGAAGATATTACATATAAATTTGTACAGGAGTATTAATATAATGAATGTTTATGTAATAGTAGAAGTTCAAATTGTAAAATGAAATCTGCTCGAGATGCTGCACTCATGAAAAAACTTCTTTAAAAACAATCATTAATGCTTCTCTGACTGGATCATTTAATTCTTGAATGAAAACCAGAAAAAATTCTGTAGTCTTGAAACGTCATACTCTGACGAACTCTATGAACTAATGTCCCTAACTAAACTCGCCACGAAGACATTGTTTGAACGCTACTGCCCACTTAACTGTTTACTGTCAACTGCCCTGTAACTAAACTCGCTACTGTACTTGTCGAAGTGTAAATCGGTCTTTAGAGACTTAACAATATTTATTGAGTAACAATAAAATTGAATAGTGTTTGAGTATTTGGCCATTAGTGTTTATGTGTTTTATTACGTTTACTTTCTTGTGTTATTGATATAATATTGTTTTTATTTTGTTTCAGAACATGATGAGTGGTAGAGCAAGTCAAGAAGCATTCTTAGCACAACAAAGACAGAACGCTCGACCTCAGTATATGCAGGTGAGAAACTTGATATTATTACAAGTAAAGTAACAGACTACAAAACAATATGCACTGCTAAGCACAAGCTTTCTATAATTTCTGAAAGGGTTTTAAGGGTCCGACGCGCTACCACGATTCATGTTGTTGAATATCACATGTATTAGCTCATCAAAAGTACATAGCTGGAAATAAGCGTCTCCAATAGTTTGTATTATAGACGCGTATTTGCCACAGTTATATAACGTCTGGCAGGCGGGCTAGCAACCTTTTTGTTTTGGGCTGTTATCAAAAAGATGCCGCTGTCCATATCCTATTTGTCGCTTCTTAATCACATAAGGGATGAAGTTATAGTGGATTCTCTAATGTCGCTATACAGAGCTAGTAAGTAGCTCATGCCCTGAATAAATTATTGCAGATTTCTTTGATAATTTTTTCCACCTTCGAACAAAGAATACATCACCACATAAAATTGCACTTAACAACTTCACTGGTACCAGCAGAATAGAATAGAAATGAAATTTTAACAGCAGCAGTAACCATGGCTTTTATCACTTTTATTTTAAATTCCTAACATCACGTTGTTATGCAACAATTATGGTGACGATACTCAATAGTGATGGAATTTAAAAAGTGTTTGGTGAAATGTCAGCCACACTGTTTTGAGAATATATTTTTGTTTTAAGGTAAATATCACGTGATATAACGGCTTAAAATAAATATTTGTAAAATGTATTTCTTATTCTAATTTTTTTTACACACACACTTGAAGTGAGTTCACAATTATTATAAACAAAATATCGTTACCGTAATATATTAACACAATCACTAGGTATATCTTCTATATTATTACGTGGTTATCTTTGTAACTATTTTATTTTTACGTCAAATAACTTTGATATATTTGTAAAAGCATTCAATTTAAAATAGTAAAAGCCATCATTTTATAATGTAATTTTGGGAGAAGCTTGAGTGCAGCTGTGATGTGTGACTGATTACGAGCTGACAATAACGCGTTAATATGCTAGGCGCCGAACGTGACGATGGGCGGTATGGGCGGGCCGGCGCCGCCGTACCCGCGCGGCATGCAGCCGGCGCAGGGCGCGCAGTACCAGCAGCAGCTGACGCCGCAGCTGCGCATGCGCCAGCAGATGCTCGCCATGCAGCAGCAGCAGCAAGGCCCGCTCGTGCAGCACCTGCAGCGCCAGCAATACCAGCCGCCCTACTAGACCTCGCCACACGCAACTACACACACTTCAATTATACGTGGTTACGCAAAAAGTATCCAACCCACAATCAGCTTAGAAATTAGTCATATATTCAAAAATAAAGGTTTAGGATCTATTCTTTCATAGCATAAAAGAAATTCAAACAAAATCACAATCAATAGAGAGAATAATTATGTAACTAAACGCTGGTACATAAATTATTTATATCAAAAAAAAAACCTTACCAGGAAACTTACAAAAATACCTCAAACGTCAATATTTCTAGCCTTTGGGGAATAAAATCCTTTTTGCATAACAACAGTCCATTTATATCTACCAATTTCTCATAAATTATATATCGTAGGGCCAGCGAGACGAGATAAATAATATAAACAAACTTACACGCTTAAGGGGATATATTAAGTCAGCTCAAATTCTAATTTCGCCCCCCACTTCCCCGCGCGTCGATGCTATGTACCAACGTGTTTGTAATCACTAATACTGTAAGTAGATAGGTGGCGTTAGATACTTATTTCATTAGGTTTATCATATTTATGCCTGTTTCTTAACGCCAGCCCAGTCACTTCTTATTTTTATCACGGTTATTTCCCATTTTAATTTTACGTCGTCCGGTTGCGTAATGTATATTCTGATCGTAAGCGACACAACTTCTCCCTTCAAAAGCCTAAGCGATACTAACGGGACGACAGGAATTAGGCGTGTGTAACTCTTAACGGAACTGACTCACTGATTCGAATCACTGAAGTGTTTCAAAAGATTGGTTCAGTAACAATGTTTCAAATGCATCATTTGGATCTGTAATATTAATTTGCTCATTTAGTGCGATGCGTCTCGCTCGCGAGGCGACTGAGCCACAAGCGAGAGATTGGCGAGTGAGCGCGCGAAATAATAACAATCTATACAAGTCAGAAAGAGATAACAGATGAGAAGTGTATAAGAGTATCGATTTTATATACAATCTTATTACGGTACACAATAAATAACAATAACTAAATATATGATAAAAATAACCTAAGCACTTATATCATTCAGCATTGTTGCCACATAACATTTCACTGAATCAGTCAGTAATAAACGCCCGCGTCGCAACTTAATGTATTCGTAACATTCTGTATTTTATATCTTTTGAGTCGATGATCCAAATGAGCCAAATGAAACATATCAGTGCTTCGGAACATTTCAGTGATCGAGATGCAAATGTTCCAATCGCAAAAATGATACACTTTGCCCACCTCCAACAGGAATCAAGCTTCAAGACGCCGATAGGTAGGTAATTTCTTTTTACAGTGAAAATAATGGTATTTAAAAAAAAAGTAAATAACATAAGCACTGCTTTATAGTTAGTTCAGTTAGTATGCAAAGTTTCATGATCTTATTTAAAGTATTTTATGAATAACAGCGGTTTATTGTTCAGTTTGGAGGTAACTTTGGATTTTTTTTCTATCGAGAAAATTTTACGGAATCGTGTTTTCGTCTAACATAGTCCTTAACATTAATCTTCAACTTTACCATATATTTATTTCAAAATTAATGCTGCAATACTTTCGGCATAACGGAGGATCTTGCTAAGCCATTTGAGGTTATATTTCCCCTTAAATAATTTATATAGGATTATTTATAAATATTTCAAGACTACAATTACCTTTGTTTGTCGTCGTCGTTTGCATTAGATATAGTAGCTTTATGATTTTTTCGAATTTTATAACATTACTGTAAGTGAAGTAAAAATAAAAAAACAACAAAATTCTAATCCATTCAGAAACTATAATTCGAGCAACATGTAACACAAATTTTAATATTCTGGAGTTCTTTATAAAATAAGGATAAGGACGACAAGAGGTTGCTGTGGCCCGTAGGCACCTTTATCTATTCTTAATTGAAAATCAATTTTCTTTTTTCGTACTTACAATCCCGGTAAACTGGTAAATGGAATGGTAATTGGTTACTACAGCTCATGGAACCCTGCAACCATCTTCTAATAAACAACTACGGAATCGTTATCTAGGACTAAGATGGAATGTCTCGCGGCCTGTGAATTTACTGGCTCTACAACACTTTCAGCATTATTACATACAAAACAAAACGGATATACTCAACATTCGCGATCTTAATGCTACTCAATTTTACTCAACCTTTTACAATTTTAATCTCGTCCGTTGGCCTCCTTAACAAGATGGAATACAGATGTATACAATTGTTCTTTTCTTATAAAAGTATTTATCAATAATTGGCCGTTGTATTTCGATACGATCTAGATGACACAGCTTCAAGTAATTATTTTTATAGGGCTTGCAGTCCACCATAATCATCATTAGTCACTACAAATTAATTGACCTCTAGATCTGAAATGGTATGTATGAAATCACGTTAAGTATTATTATTTAACATTTTTGAAATTTGACAGTTAACACTGTTAAATAAAAATATTAATAAATAGGTACATATCAACTCTTATTGAAACTTAATTTGAAAAGCGAAAATGCAGATGGATATAATATCACGAAAGATAGCAAAATAGTATTTAATATCTTGTTCTTCTTAAAATCGTATTGTAATGATTCATATTTTGATACTAAAAGTAATAAATAAGTACGTATTTTAATACATTTGAGAACATATATTTGTAAAGCAAAATATTTTTGTTTATGTAAATTGTTATAGGGCACTGTTTATTCAGTCCTTTGAAAAAGCAGCAGTGGCTAACTATGTCGATCTCTTGTGCGAGGAGATTAATACACCAAATAATAATTATTGTTAAAGTATTACAGCCCCGTAATTTATAATAGGTTAGCTAATAAATAATAATATTAGTGAGATAAATGCAGTTTTACGTAAGTTGTACACATACATTTTGTACATATTATTATCATATCTTAGTATCTTGAGTTCATGTGTGTGATAAAACTAAAATATTTTGTAAGTAAATCTGTGTATATAAATATTATAAATGGTCATCTTGTATAATATGTTTAGATATTAATCAATAATTTATAAATTATTTACCCTAGTATTTATATGTAAAATGTATGAATAAATGACCACAACATACACATACAAATAAAATTAAATTTCTATTTCTTATTTAATTTTTATTTGTTATTTTTATATATATTCCGAAAATAATTTGGTTTAGTCAGAGTTCATATATGGTATATTTTTGTTACATACCTTACACATTATGTACAATCCGATAGTTTGATGAATATTAGTTTTAAGCTTATAAATATAATTTGTAAAGACTCCTCTTAAACATATAAAGATATTTGATTATTTTTTTTTAATTAATAAACCTTACAATATCATCACCTAAATTATCATACGTTATACTCTTAGGGCGATTGTCCACCGCCGCGACGTGACGTCAACGACAATGAGTTTTTTTTTCTGGTCGAGATCAAGATGACGAGACGGTGATCGATTGACCAACGCGACGATCTCGGTAGTTCAGTCAGTTTGTTGTAGCTGTCGTGTCGTGCGTAAAATTTGCTTGGCCTTTTTATTACAATATATTTTTGATTTAAATAATCAAAGCAATATACCTTGAAAACGAAAAGGGGTGCGGTGTAACGTCACGGCGCGGGCGTGGATGGACAAGTTTAAATGTGGTTTGTATTGCCAGTACATCAGCCCGTCACAATCTCGGGCCGAGTTCTAATGGTCGCACCGATCTACTCTAGACCCTTAGTTATAGAAGATAGGCATTTTTGGTATGTGAAGATATTGTTTTATACATGATTCTCACTTACATGAGTAGATAGGTAAATTCCACAATCGTTCGCCAAATTAATTTCACCAAAAACACAAACTTCACTTTTCGCACTTCACATTTTAACGAGTTAATTTCAACAAGATAATCATACAATTGTTTCTTGAATACGTTGAATGAGTTAACATTATTTATGTGTGCGGATAATTTGTTATAAAGTTGCGCTCCTTCAAATGTTAAAATTTTGTTACCGTAATTTTTTCGAGCTTTGGTAGGACGAGAAACCCGCGCGACTCGAGCAGCAGTGGTTGTAAAGCTTTTTAGGTTTTATTGATGAACCAAAGTAAAATAGGCAGGTATCATAAGCGTAAAGGGTAAATATGGCCATTTAAACCTTGGTCATGTATGTTATTAATATAGGTCCAAAAAAAGAGCAACGGGTCTAAAATTGATCCTTGAGGAATTCCACAAGTTATTGGTAATGAATTACTTTGAATATTCCCTATTTTGAGTACTTGTAACCTAATGATTTCTTATATTTACGCGAACACTGTACATTGATTAAAACTACTTTTACGGATTTTATCGCGTTTTATTTATTTTATTTTTAATACCCGACGTTTCGGGTGCTTTCCAGCACCCATGGTCACGGGGGACTGAGGTGACTGACGTCCCGATGTCAAAGTTAACCCGGAGTACCTTCAGCTTTTTTAATTATTGTCTTTGGTCCGATCTACGCAGAATGAACTAACTGTACTTGTAACCTATTTTCTAGGTAGGATTCAAACATTTATAGAACTTTGCCGGTAATTCCGATTTTCTCTTAACTTTTTTAGAAGAAATTTATGGGTCACCGTATCGAACGTTGTTTCAGATCTATGAATATACCTAGGACTATTTTTTTATCTATATTATATGCATACAAATCATACTCGAATCGATAAGCTCCTTTTTTAAGTTGGCTAAAAAGAGTATTAGAGTTGAGGGAAGGACTCGAAATCCCCACTTGTTAAGCTAGCAATACCCCTCAGTCAGCGCGAGCGTAGGCAAATTGATACAAGGTAAGTGTTACAGTCTATAATCCGTGGTTGTCACAGTGCGGCCCGGCTTCAAAGCAAACAATTTAAGGAAATTATATCAAAATATCATCTACTAAACACATCAAGTAAAATAAATAAAAGTACACGGGTAATAAACTTCCTCCTGCAACTTGTTCTAAGTGAGCGGGTTGCGGGAGGGGGAAGACGCGGCAAAGGCGAACGCAATTACGCAACATCAATTTCATTCATTTGTT